CGAACATTTATGAAATGCCCATGACACTACGACCGTGAACTTTAAAGAATTGAAATAAAGAGATGTTGACTGATATGATGACTGATACCCGGCCACCACACGGAGTCCCTCGCCCTGGCTCTGCATCGAACGACGCCCTGATGTTTACTGTGTAGGCATCTGAGAAAATCTTTCCGTAACACGGGTGGGCTGACAAGTCGGTTATTTCTCATTAGCAACCCTTGAACTATGATGGTTAGTTCCGAGGCCACACTGCCATACTGCCTAAGTTCCGGTGTCACGTTAATGAGCACAGGACATTGACTTTGACAATAAAGCATAATCCGAGCCGTGGTCACATCCTTATTGAGTTTTAACCCGAGTTCGTCGAGAAGCTGACAGGGTGCGAGCAGGAGTTCCACTGATGGGAGTTCAAACACCTTTACGTACGCCTCCTTCTTCCCTGGGTGACTTGCTTGTGGTGACTGGAGCTTTCGCGAGGGTACGTCGCCGGTGTGCATCTCTTCCTGCTGTCTGAGATATTGTAAAGTCGTACTCCAGGATCCTCATCCGCAAGCGTTGCAAACGTGGCGTCATCTCTAGTCGTTTCGTTGTAAACAGCGGCACCAGCAGTTTATGGTTGCTTTCAACATAAAATCTAAGTCCCAACAAGCTTATTCGGAAGTGCTCGCACGCCCATGTGACAGCAAGGGCTTCCTTTTCAACTTAAGCATACCTTTGCTCTTCCATCATAACTAAAAAAAAAAAAAACGTAAACCACAGTTGTTGTTGTTGTTTTTTGCTTTCGCGTTTTTTTTTTTGTTTTTTTTTTTTTTTTTTGGAACAGTACAGTCTCGAGTTTGTACGATAATGCGTCTGAAGAAAGGGTGATGCTCGCTTGAGGGACATAGTAGGCAAGGACTGGAGTCGTACCCATGTCGGCCTTGATCAGTTGAAAGGCTGACTCCTGCTGTTCACCTAAGCACCAACTTCCGTCGCTATGTAGTAGATCCCTCAGCGGCGTTGTCTTAATTGTCTGCCATCATAAGAAAGAATATGGCCAAACTATTCACCACTCTGAGAAAAGATCTTAGCTCCTTCAGGTTTTCGGGCGCCGGCATTTTGATGAGGCTGACTTCTATGTGTCAGCCGCGATGGCTGTGCTGTCCAGGATGTGCCCCAAGAACATGATTATGTTCGTCACGAAATCACATTTGTTCCTGTGTAAAATCAAGCCAGCATTGCATAGGCATTAGACACCTGATTGAGGTTCCTATCATGCTTTTGCATGTTAGTCCCGAACACCAGTACGTCGCCCTTGTTCATACCTGGCCTCGTCCTCCTTCAGGATTCGGAGATGTCTCTCTGGAAGAATTCAGGTGCTATGGAAATATCAAACGGCAACCGTAAAAACTGAAAGCGTCCTACGGGAGTGATGACGGTTGTCAGCTCTCTTGAGTCGGGTGCCAACAAACCCGCCAGTATATCCCGCGTTTGCGTCCTGCTTCGTGAATGTGCAAGCCCCAGCGAGTTTTGCCACGTTTCCTTTGACCAGTTCTGCATAATCCCCACAAATCCTCATGCTTCCTTTTTTTCGTTTTTCTTATTTTTATTTTGCGATAACTATTGGCGCACACCATTGCGTTGCTTCTTCTACCTGCTGGATAGCTCCCATTTCCAGCATTCGCTGTACTCCCTGCGGACTTTCGGCAGAACCCGAATAGGCACGCGTCGAAAGTAGGTAATCGCAAAGGGTTTGGCATCTGGATGAAGGGTGTTCTTGTATTCTGTCTTCATTGTTCCCAGGCGGCCCACGAGAAGCGACTCCTAGTCATTCAACACTGGCTGCTGGTGGTGCTAACCTCATGCAACGATGGTCGCACGTTGAGGGCTTAAATAGCTGGGCGTCCTACTAGCGGATATTGGAGGCCTCCAGCAATGATGATATTCTGCTTGGTCAGCCAGTTGTTCCACTGGATGGTGGTGATGACTTGCCCAAGAATGGGGAGTTGCGCTCTCCCCGGACAGGAGAAATTTTGTGTTGGCAACACAATAAGAAAAGGAAACCCACGGCTTCCTCATCGTGTTCTATGACTGGAATCATCGAGACGTCTGCAGAAATGTCAACCTTGAAAGTCAATGTTATTTGGCAACTCTGGATAACATTGCCCATGGTTGGTCGTTCAATGAATGGAGTAATGGGGTGCCTGTTCCACGAATAGCTCTCTGACGACGGACTTCCTTTGCTTCCCATGTTTTTTTTGTTTTTTTTTTTTGAACGTCTGTGTCTTGGACGGTCTGCAACCATGGTAACCGATTGGAAATGGCCCATTTTCTTACATGCGTTGCATTTCTTCCCACTTGCGGGCATTGCGGTGTCTCCGCAAGCTGCCTCACAATTTGCAGGACCACGAGGTCTCAGGAGTCGACGGTTACTCGCCATTTCCGCAATGTGTTGAATTTTGACGGCCTCCTTGCCTGTTTCCAACTTCCTCCGCAACAACGTGCGCTTCTTCGTGGCCACGGAGTTCTTGCTGTTAATGCTGGACCGTTTCCGAATTGCCAGCTGCTGAAGGGGCCTTCTGTAGCGCGAGTTTTGCGTCAAGTTGCGGTTTTCGCTTAATTTCTTGTCTAGGAGACCTACAAATAGGTTAGTCCCTGATTAGGTTTTCTCTTAGGTCACCGCAGTCGCGGGTGTCTGCCATCTTGTGTAAGTCAGCTATGAATGACTCAGTTTCCCTCTCAAAGATGACGTTCGTATGAGGAATGAAGTGCCCTTTGAACCTGTATTTTACTGTTGTGTAGACGTTAAGCTAATCGCTTGTCAGCTTCAGTGAAAAGAGCACGTCGTCTTCCCGTCCGATAGTGTAGAGAAAAGTGTTTACTTTGGTGACATGGTCTCGGAGATGGAGTCCGGAGAAAATATTGTAACGCTCCCTTGTGCGATCCACCTCCTCCAGTCGTTTGGATCTCTGAAATCAAGCTTCTCATGAAGTTACACGGCGAACGATTTGAAGTACAAAGCCGCTCCCGATGGTGCCGTCCCATCTTCCGCTTGACAAGGCCCAGAATGGTTCTGTCTGTAACATCGCCAACCGACCGGAGGAGCCTTCGATGTCTCGTGGATGATCCCTTCAGAGCTGCCACCATGTCGCGTACCGTGAGTGGACCTTCAAGATGGGACGAGACAAGCATAAAGACTAACAAGCGTTCTGGTTTAACAATGATGTGTCCGAAATTCTGCTCCTCGTGTTTTCGTGACTCACTTTATTGTCTTTTTTCACTGTATACACGTGACACGACATATAGCACTCCTCAATGCAGGCTTTACACATGCTTTTTCATTCAGGTTTTTGTTGAATGCTGGTTGGGACTGTCGTTCGAGTTTTTTTATTGTTTGTTTCAGGAGCATTGACCTGGGTTTTGGCCCGAAGAATTCCTGCCCGGATCCTGGGCTTCCTTCCTGCGTTCCGGGAGCCGATCCGTGACTCGGCATTTTCTTTGCCGGCAAGATTTTCGTCAATTCGGATTATCCGATAATGTTCGAATTTTGAAATTACAATGCCAAATAAAACGAAAACGGTATTCTACAAATAGGTTTGTTCTAAGCATGGGGGCATCCGACCTCTTCGGAGTGTTCAACATCAGGTATTTCATGCATTTCTTAGGCCGTCAGTGCGCTAACGTTTCGACTGATTGCGACTTTTAATTCACACGTCTTTTTTTCATTTCTAATTTGCTGTGACCACTTTTCGTCAGTGTGCCCGTCGTCGGGCACACTGAACACTCAGACTGCTCCGAATCATATCTCCGCAAGTAAAAGAAAGACGAAGCAGACGGACGGGCACATTGGCCCGCCATCATGCGACGACGGAAAACCTCGGTCTACGCACCAATGGTCCGCGCAGTCTGTCGCTTTCGGCGCGGAAGCGCGGAAACCGAGCAGCACGGCCCACCGGGGAAAAAAAAAAAATTAAAATAAATAAATAAACGGACAAAAGTTTCGGGTCCACAGAGTGGGGTCTTCTTGGTGGTGTCCCCCCATCCGGCCGTAGCCCCGTTCACGTTTGCCCCTTGTTGCTGTTGCCGCCTTGCCCCGTGGGGAGCGAGAGGGGTCTTGCCTCCGTCCGAAACCCCCGGGCAAAAGAAAAGAAAAGAAAAAAACATGGCGTCCCGTTCTATCTTGGCCCCCCCTGGGCCCTTTTATCTTGTTTTCTTTCTCAGGCTCTTCCTCTTTCTGCTTGGAGGCTGCCCGCTTTTCGGCTCGCGCCGGCTGCGTCGGGGTGCGCTGGCTTTGGGGGCAGCTGAAGAGGGGGAAGCGGATGGTGGTGGGGGGGACGCTTCGGAGAAAACGGAGCCAGCCCTCGCAAGCTTCGGCGCTCTCTGCGCCAGAACGCCAGCGAGCAGTCCCAAGGCCGGCGCCTTCGACGCTGCCGCTCCCCCCTGCGTGCCCCCCTTTTGCCTTTTTACTTGAGGGCAAGAGACAGGGAGGGGGGACCGCTTCTTTGGTCGGCGTTCGTCGCCCGCTGCGCCATCGTCGACCGACCAGCCACCCTTAGCTGACGACCCCATGGCTTTCGGGCACAACGTTTTTTCCGTTGCTTTTTACACCCCCTTAACTCCCTTTCCACCGTTTTTGAAAAGAGGGGGCTTCGCGTAGTTACTTCCAGCAGACGATGGTGACCCCCCCTCCTCTCCTAACGCCCAGCGCGGTGGCGCTGCGGCGCTGCGCTAGGCGAAGCAAACTGGAGCCACACTGGAGAACCGACGGCTTTTGGTGTTGTTGTTTTTGGGAGCGCGCCTCGGCTGTAATTAAGAAAAGGCCCTCTTTTGTCTGGAATGTTTCTGGCGAAGTTTTTGGAGCGGCGGTGGTGGCGGGGAACGTTGGGCTGGCGTCGGAATTTGGTTTCCTCCGATGGGAGCGGCTGGCTGGCGGTCGCCGGAGGGGGAAAGAGCATTCGAAAAACGCCCCCCCCCCCCCCTCCCTAAAAGAAAAAAAAAAGAAAAAGAGGGGTGGGGGGTCAGTTTTCCGCCGGTTACAGTTCGGTGGGGAGAGGGACGGAGGATTTGGAAGAGAGCCATGCACTAAAGAAAAGAAAATGCGGGGCTTGGCTGCTAGGTCCCCCCCGCCTCCTCCTCCTTTGTCCAGCGTTGACGGCAAAGCCGCAGCGCGACGGCGGCGGCGAGCGCTTAGCGTTGTCGTCGTTCTGCTGCGTTCGCGGTTTGACGTGTTTCGGGCAGCGGGCCGGCAGCGTCGCCACGGCGCTTTCTTCGGGGCGATGGCACCCGATTCCGTGGAAGCCTTCATTTCGTCCGTTCGCAAGTATCCGATACTGTACGACTGCAAGCGGCTCGGCTACAGGGACGTGGATCGGAAGCGAGAAGTCTGGGAGTTGGTCAGGCAAGAGACGGGCATGGACACCGGTGAGACGATCGCGCTTCGGCTGCATTTGTTGACGGGCGCTCTAGCCCGCTGCCGAACGCATGGCTGTCTGGCGTTGTGCCAGTTTTGACGGAGATTTCTCTTTTGTCTTTTAGTATGTTTTTGTAGCGCGGCTCGCGCAAGTGTCAACATAGATTTTTGTTTTTGTGTGTAATTTTGTAGGTTTTGGCGTCCGCGTCTGCAAGTGTTTGCAGGTTTGGAGCAGATTTGTTTTTAGGCAGTATTATTTTTTTTTTTTTTTTTTTTTTTAACGAGCACGCAGTTTTTGTTTCACAACAACCGGCACCGCATTGGCATGACTCGGGGCGAAATTTATTATTGTATGAAATGTTCGTAAAGTTCTTTTTCCAATTTTAAAACTCATTTCCGTCTTGCATAGCATTAATTGGCTGTCAAAGTTTGTCATTCTATTACCCTTTCCGTGTTCCAAGTATTCCTATAATACTACTATTCTGTGTGCGTGTGAAATGCCTTCTTCGAGGTGGTTTAGTGGTTGCCTTCGCTCAGTCCATTGCCTATGGAACGAGAAATTTATAGGGGACAGGATTCGTGCTAAATAAAAAAAAAAAAGTAGTTGACCGAACACACACCGCATCTCTTCTTGTAGGGAAGCCATTTCACGAACAAAACACTATCAAAAACGAGTGTTCAAAACTGGTAAATATGCCTTTATGGTCATGCTGTACCATAGGAGACTTTATAAGCCCTCGTGACAAATGTGCAACACGAGTGTTGGAATTTTTCCTCAAGTGGCATTTTCGCTGTTTCCAGTGGAAGATTGTCAGCGGCTATGGAAGTCTCTACGCGACAGGTACATTCGAGAACTAAGGGCATTGGAGCATCCGAGTCAGCTGCCTTGGGAAGCTCGAAAAAGCAAGTGGACCTACTTCAACTCCCTCGACTTTTACAAGGACTGCGGCAGAGCTGCAAGGTAACACCTGCTGCAAATAAACTTCATTCTGGGCTTTGTTACCTGTAGCACATAAGTGGTAACCAGTCTGCACTGCCAACACCAGATGGCACATACTCAGAAACATTATCCAAGGGTAAGGAAGGATTCGCCTTTCCACCAGTCCAAGAATTCAAATTGTTTTGGGGAGGCAGTACATGAATTGACAGCTGTTTGTGTATTCCAGTTAACAAAGTCTGGTGCAGTTGTCTGCATTTGTTTGGCTTCACTGTATTCAGCCACTCTACAAATGGCACAGAAGGAGGCAAATGACATTATTTCGAGGCAGTTCGAGGTATACTACGCTCAATCAATCTTGCCCCCGTGTCTCAGTGACACTAGACATTGAGCGGGGGTTGCAGCAAATACTTCGTTTTGGCACTGTCCCATAGTGGCTTCTTTCAATATGTATTCTCCTTGATTCATGCTCAAGGAGAATACTCAAGAACTTTACATTATACTCAAGAACATGCACTTTCATTGACCTAGCCACTGAAGTTTCTATGAAAACCAAGCCGTTTCCACATTTTCCGAGAGCTGGTTTGGACCCCTGTGGTCAAGTGAACTTGCTTTCAATTTTAGGTGGGCTATCTCTAGGGATATCATTGTAGTCCGTAATATTCACTGTCATCCACTTAATCTAAAAAGTGCATCTTCGAGCCACCACAGAGAGCAAACTTCTTTTTAAGTCTAAACCAGTGTATGTTTTGTTAATGTGAACCCTGCAGTGTTAATACCTTGCGATGTACACACACTTTTTGGGGACGAACTGGGTCAAGACACACACTTCTAGTTTGCCATTATCGTTGACCCGCATCTTACAAGTTTTTTCGGGGGGTAACAAAGGGGCACACACTAACTAGAAACGCTTTTCCTCGCACAAAATAATGGTCCAGTTTTACCACGCAGAGCCAAGCAGCCGCTCGGAATGTCCGAAACAAGCATGGACCACTACTCCAACGGGAGCGAGACCCCGCAACTGGAAGAGGGGCTGTCCAGCGAAACGCCGCCCCCCGCCCACTCGCACTGCACCAAGATGGTGCTTATTGGATCTCCGCAGACCGCTCCGGAGGACTATGCTCCGCTCAGACTCCATCAGAGTCCGGAACCACCGGAGCGCAAGCCCCAGCTGATCAACGAATCCCTGGACTCGTTTGAGTCGGAAGTGCTCAACATCCTCAACCGTCCGCTGGACGAAGACGAGTACTTTGCGCTATCTATCGTGCCCTCGCTGCGCCGGCTTTCGCTCAAGAAGAAGGCGCTCGCCAAAGTCAAAATACTCCAGGATCTTTCACTCATCGAGTTTGGCGAGTGACTGAAGCTGCCGTGTTCCTTGATGCGTTCCGCAGGGTTTTGTGTTTTGTTTTTATGTCCAAGTGTCAGTGCCATATTTACCAAAGGAAAACCCGAGTTTTTTTTGTTTTTTTTTGCTTTTGTTTTGGAAAGGTGAATGGCATGGGTGTCTCTCGAGGCTTTGAACTGTTTTTCCTGCAACTTCGACAGTTTTACCTGTTCAAAACGGCAGTGCCAAAACTAATCTTTTGCGACAAGCCCATTCGCCAGTCACTTTTTGGGTGCTTGAGACGAGATTCAGTCAGCAACTTTGGGCAGCTTTCGTTTCTACCAGACCCCATAAAGCTGTGAATAAGCTTTTATTTTTTCAAAGTCAATGAGCATGCTGCATTATGGGCCTCATTAGAAGGTGCTGAAAGATGTCTCCGTCATTAATATGCAACAAAAAGTAACACTTTGTCACCAAGCTACCTGCAAAAACAGCAGAAGCGCTCACCTTGTCTATATCATTAAACAACTCAAAGGTGCAAAGCTGTTTTCGAACTTAAGGCATGGCTAAGAAAAGGTAACCTTCTTGCTGTGACAATGGTAGAGTTTTCGAGACACCCCAAGCTCTCATTCCATGCCAACTCTGGGAACAGGACCACCCTAAGATAAAGAGTGATATTTTTAACCAAGCGGCAAAGTATGCCTCAGTATTGACACTCAGTGAGGGAACAGTCTCCCCATGGCGAAGTCACGATGTGGTCAACTCCTGACAGTCGCCGTGCAAGTGCCAACCTCAGTCGGAAGTTGTCCGTGCTCTATAAGGACATAAGATCTCTGGGACTTTAGTGTGAAGGCCGCAAGTGCCTTTCAACGATCCAAGTGCCACATGTGTGTTTTTACATGTTCAAAATGATTAAAAGAAAGATGTATTTTTTTAAATTCTTATGCAACAGTACCATTTGTTTTTTACATTCACACTTGGTGACCACAGTTCTAGGATACAACCATTATATACACTCGTCGATTCAGGAAGATGAAATTAGCATGCAGATGCATCCAATTCCATACAATGGGCCATTGAGTGTCATGAAGCAAAGACATGGGTGTGCATTTATTAAGAGTTTTATTGCTGGAATATTTGTAGGTTCAGTTCGGTAAAACACCTCAACATATCGAACATCCAATTTGGCTTTTTGATTTATTGACGTTATGAAATATGAGATTATCAACTCAGCATGCTTCAATCTTAAATACAATTTCTACTGCTGTTCTCACCAAACCCCCATTTGCACAAGCTCCACAAGAGTGCCCCAGAGCAAACGAGAGCAACCACTTGGAGGTCGGGCCAACTTGCTATAAAAAACGCTTGTGAAACTAAACTGAGCTTAAACACAATTGCTTTTTTCTGTTTAAAAAAATATATATATGGTTGTGCTCATGCTAGGACCATGGACTTTGGGAATGTGAGCTAAAAAAGTAATATCTACACTCTATTATGAAAAGGTGAGGGTACCCAAAAACAGCACAGCCTTGCTCTAGCTCTGGGTTTTTGTTTTTTCCTCTATCTTTGAGAATATCAAGATAAAACAGAAGGTGAAGTTTCCCGATTTACAGCAATGTTGTAGTCATATGCACAAAAAGAAACCATCAGCAACTTGTACAATTGCTCGTCTGGCCTTTAGGATACAAACAAACAAAACAACTTATATAGTCCACCGTGGCATGGTAACAACTGTCAATCGACACAACCTCGCGCTATCCCTGTATTTCCTAGAACAAAACGACCACGGCCACGATGCCCCACTAAAGTGGTGTTGTAGTCGCAGGCACAAAATGCTGCACTATTAGCAACCGGTTAAATTATTGAGTAAAATTCATTCATCGCCTACAGAAACAATGAAAATCCAGTAGTATTCCAAACAGTGCTAAGTTGCCTAGAGTGGGAACGTCACTAACACGACACAGTCTTTGTCCAGTCGCCATGCGTTGGAGGGTCATCAACAGGCAAGCGGGGAGGTGCCAACTCTTGACATGATGAAACCCACAATACGAAATCACGTTGGGCAGAAGGCAGAAACTGTAGAACGACACAACCTTGCTGTCCCTGAAAAAGTTGCTACTACATGCCACTACCGACAAATGTCGATCAGAGATGTCAAACAGGTTGGCGGTCTGGTGTTACCGATTGCATGGGACATTACTTTGGAGAAAGATTTTGTCGGGGCCCGACGTAATCGCAGTCTTCAATTTATCTACAAACGCGTGGCTCGCAGCGGCGATTTCGCATGCCTATTCGTGGTTGTGATGGAAAGGTAGACTTTGGACGTCAAATAGTTTGAAATGAAAGACTGGTGACAACAGACCGAGCCTCTGGCCATTCTGAGCGCAACGCTCTCGCACTTTGGTGTGTCGAACTCCGACGGTACAATCCGTAGCCTACACTAAGGTCTGGTCTCGGCTAAAGACTTGGTTCTGGCTTGTACAGAGCGAGGTAGCCCACCGTGACAATGGCAACAATGGCCGGTATTCCCAGCCCAACTGACGTGACTGCAATCACTGTCGTCGAGACTTGCTCCACTGGCAGGCTCCCAAATCCCGCCGACAAGGACCTAGAACAAACAAACGAAAAAAAAAACGCAAAAAAAGTTTGGGCACACGTTTCTCTTCTGTTGACGACTGCAAACGTATGACTCCAACAAGACTATCCTCTTAACTCAAGTATCCAAGAACGCACTGATAATTACAGTGGCTATGACCTGCAATTAAAATGTTATTCTGTCATGGCTGCAGCTATTTCTCATAGATGGTGCACTGATTTGATACCCAAACACTAGAAAACCTCACAGACGGAGAGGAAGGGCTAAAGGGCCACCTGAAAGATGACTCCAGCGTGGCGGCGTTCGCAAGCGGCTACAGGCGAACGCAATGCACTCGATCTCGCACTCCAACACAACTGTGTAAACCAGCCTTGAAATGCTCCAAAGTCAAAGCTACTGCGAAGAAAAAATTATTCAAGGGAGCACACGACCTGGGAATGTAAACTTTTGAACCGCTCACTCAATCGGCGTGAAATATGCAGGTAGTGTTAATTGCCATATAGAAGGAGGGCACACAAAGATCCAGCCCTGTGAACCAATTTTATGACGTACTATAGCCCCAGAACGATGTAAAGCATAGCTTGGCGTGGAATCTGCTCAATTCGCAAAATCTCAGAGTCCCAATAGTATATTTAAGATAAGGTACAACAGGCTTCACCTAAACAAGAAGTGTTACGCCTACTGCAGTACGAGTGACGAAGTTTATGAAATTTCTAGTGCTACCAGTGCTACTGATAGAGGTGCCGAGTCACTCCAACCGCAACACGTGCAATCAGCAACGTCATAACAATCGTGCACTCTTCCAGTCAAAGATTCGACGGTGGAAAATGTTTCTGTTTTCTTTACAAATATCCGAAGCGTAATAAAGAAACGCGATGAATTGTGCTCCGCTCTTGATTCTGCTTCTGCCGACATCATTGTGTTGACCGAGACATGGCTCTCTAGCAAAATACGTAACGATGAACTTTTTTTTGTGATAACCAGTACAAAGTTTATCGGCATGATAGGGATTCGCGGACGGGCGGAGGCGTGCTGGTTGCAGTTGCTGATTACATTGAGTCATCCCATATTAACTTAGCATCTAGCTTAGAAATTGTTTGTGTACGTTTCCAACTAAGTCACAGAAACATTGTTGTCTGTGCATGTTACCGCCCACCTACCTTTGCTAAGAATTTTGTGGAGTTATTACATGACACACTTAGCGGGATTGTTTCAAGGTTTCCTAACTCGCAGCTATTTATTTTTGGCGATTTTAACTACCCAAATATTAACTGGTCACAAGATATTCCTATTTGCGTGCCTTATTCTTCTGAAAGCAACGATTTCCTAAATCTCTGTGCAGATTTTAATCTTTCACAATTAGTAACCGAGCCCACGAGAATTACGTCCTCAGCATCCAACGTTCTTGATCTTATTTTAACTACGTCTAAGGACCTCGTAGAGCCGATCTCTTATCTTCCAGGTCTTAGCGACCATTTAGCCTTGCATTTTTTCCTGAAAAGTCCTAAGAACAATCCTGCTGATTGTGTCAAACACATCCGTGATTACGCCAGAGCCGACTTTGAATCCATAAACCGCGAGCTATGTACATTCATGGGCTCTTATATGCAGAATTTTTCAGAACGATCGGTTGAAGGCAATTGGTGTCTGTTCAAAGATAAAATTACTTCATTGATCACCAACTACATTCCCTGTCGTGTTGTCAAATCAAACTCGAAATCACCTTGGTATAATACGACTTTAAAAAGGCTGTCTAATAAGAAAAAGCGCTTGTTTCGAGCAGCTAAATCATCAATGTCTCCCGATCGCTGGGCCGCGTACCATTCGGCAGCTGAAGTATACAAATTGGCCATCGATGAAACTAAATATAACTTCTTCAGCATAAAATTACCCTCAATGCTCACTAACAATCCAAAACAGTTTTGGAACTTAGTCAACCCTGCCGACAAACATTTAATACAACTTAAAAATTCAGGCGGAGAGGTGATTTCTGGTGAAGATTGCGCTATGACTTTCAACGAAAGTTTCATCAGTGTCTTTAGTGATTTCTTAGGTGCCAACCATCCCGTACTACCATCTTCTGATTTTTTGCCCATGTTACCAATTGTGTTTGATCCACCCGGTATTGTTAAAATTATTGAAAACCTCAAGCTGTCGTCGGCATCAGGTGTCGACGAGATAAACGCGAAATTTCTAAAAAATACCAAAATGTACTCCTCAATCATCTTGTCATCTTTGTTTCAACAATCACTTGATCATGGCGTCTTACCCGAGGACTGGAAGGTAGGGAAGGCTGTTCCAATTCACAAAGCTGGTGACCGTTTCTCCCCTTTCAATTACAGGCCAATATCTCTTACTAGCGTACCCTGCAAAATCATGGAGCACATAATTTCTTCACAGCTCTCGCGTTTCCTGGAGTGCAACTCCTTCTTTAGCCCTTTTCAACATGGATTCCGCAAATCTTTCTCGTGCGATACTCAGCTTTTAGTTTTCACCCACAACCTCCACTCGGCTCTGGACCGTGGATCTCAGACTGACTGCATCTTTCTGGACTTTGCAAAGGCTTTCGATAAGGTAACACATAAACTACTACTATACAAGCTTAGCCTACTCAGTACTGATCCATATATCTTATCTTGGTTAGAGTGTTTCCTCACTAACAGATCGCAATTTGTAACTGTCAATAACAAAAACTCGTCATCATCCCTCGTTAAGTCCGGTGTACCACAGGGTTCTGTCCTAGGCCCCCTCTTATTCTTAGTATATATAAATGACCTACCTACTAGCATTTCCTCCTCCATAAGCGTATTTGCGGATGATCGCGTTGTTTACCGTGAAATTACTAATGACTCTGACGTACACATAATTCAATCTGATTTAAATGCAATTTCTTCCTGGTGTGATGCTTGGCACATGAAACTAAACACTATGAAGTGTAAGACAATGAGGATTTCTCGCAAAGCAGCACTCTGTCCTAACTACTTCCTATCAAATAACATCCTTGAAAACGTATCAACTTACAAATATCTAGGTGTTCATATCTCTCCTGACCTATCATGGAAAACTCACACCGAATATATTGTTAATAACAGTAACCGCATGCTTGGATATTTAAGACGTAACTTTTCTCTAGCTCCATCATCATTAAAATTACTACTTTATAAAACACTGGTGCGACCAAAACTTGAATATGCATGCTCGGTCTGGGATCCCGGTACAGAAAGCCTCATATCAGCGCTTGAAGCCATCCAAAACCGGTCAGCACGTTTTATATTATCAAACTACCATCGTACATCAAGCGTCACATCCATGAAAGCTAGTCTCTCACTGCCCCCTCTTTCCACTCGTCGCACTATCTCCCGTCTCTGTTTATTCCATAAAATTTACTATGCCAATTCACTCTTGAAAAAACAACTAATCAGTGCTCCCATCTACGTATCCTCTCGCCTCGATCACTGCTGCAAAGTTGGTATACCCACTTCCATTTCAAATTCTTTTTTCAAATCTTTCATCCCAAAAACATCTCGTGATTGGAACGGCCTTCCCTCACCCATTGCGTCCATTGGCGATTTTGTCCTCTTTAAAGAAGCTTTAACAAGTTACTATTCATGATCTGTGCCGGACTAACCATTTTCAGCGTTTTTTGTACTTCCGTTGCCCACCCCCTCTGTAATGCTTCGGCCCTGAGGGTATAATAAATAAATAAATAAATAAATAAATAAATAATAATAATAATAATAATAATAATAATAATATTTTATTTCCATCACACTCGATGGTGGCGACCAAGGGAAAAAGCTGCATACACAGCTTGACGAGCCCTTGACCGCCTACAGTGCACGGCGACGGAACACAACAGGAAAAAAAAAAAAAAAAAGAAACATACATACCCACAGAGGTTGCAACACGCAAAAATTCACCATGGCAGATAAAGCAATATAATCAAATACGAGAACAGTGATTTAACTAGTTATCATGACCACCCATAATATATAATGAACGGATTTCCCCTATTGACATTTTATTCCAGTCCAAGTTTTTCGATTTGTAAAGATTTAATAAATTAGGAATATTGTGCCTCAGCATTTGAGTGCCATAATTTGTTCTTGGCATGACCACCCCCCAACATTCAGCGCCACGAGTAGGATAAGTAATAATATTTTTTGAGAGGCGGCCAAGGGTTACTAGAAAGTTTGTGTTCCTAATTAGCTCTATCTTAAGGCTTGTACTGAGCCTGTAAGCATACAAAGTGTGCACACTGATAATGCGGAACTTTTTAAATAGGTCGGATGTATGCGATTGAAATGGGACATCGGCTATGGCTCTTATTGCTTTTTTTTTTGTAACAAATGTATCCTTTCAAGATTCGTTGAAATGGTGGTACCCCAAACTAAATTACAATAATTTAAGTGCGAATAGAACAAGGAATTATAAACTAGCAACTTGACGTTTATCGGTAAGGTATAACGATGGCAGTTTAATGAATCTATCAATAAGAAATGGTGTAGATAACCGCATATTTTTCTGGAGGAATGCACACTGGAATACCTGTTGCCAGTTACTATAGAAAAAAATTCACGAAATATGCATTTTTTTAGTTAAAATTTATGAAAAAGCTCAGTAAATGTGTTCATAACCACATTTATCAACTTTTGCAAATTACGATGTTTTCATAATAAAGGAACATGAAAATGCAAAGATAAGCTTATAGTAACCGTTCCATAAAATTTTGGTATATAAGCCGCAAAAATTAAGTTTCTATAGCTTCATACTGAAACGAGAGATTTAGTAAGTGAAATCTATGCCAAAAAGTGGAACGAAGAAAAATGTGTTCAAAGTGCTCGAATCTCTACCTTTTCTTTAGCATCCCACAGACTGAAAATAATTTAACGGGTAAGTTCCACAGTTCCTGGCACGAGATGTTTTACATATGTCGCCCAACCCAGGCCACAAACCCGGCGAGGACGAGCTGGCCTATATTTAACGCCCTCGCCACTCACCAGGTGGCGTAACGGTACTTCTTGTAGTGTTCGTCCCCTTCCGAGCCGAGGGTCAGGTTGAGCGCCGTGGACGACACGTTGGGCGCGCGATGCGCCATCCACGCGGTGGCCGCGTTGAACCGCCACCAGCCGGCGCCGGACGTCAGGTTCTGGTTCTTCGCGTCCACCGAGAGAGTCACCGTCCGCCTGCCATCGCGGTAAGACACCGGCTTCCAGTGCAGATACGTCGGCAACGTCAACGACACGTTGCTTCTCGGAACCAGGGCGACGTTCTGCAAACGAGAGACGGCGAAAGGCAGACTCGGCATTTGGTCCGGACAGTTGTCGCCTGAGAGGCCCTCCCAAGAGTATGGCGCCCGAAACGCCCGGCAACGACGCAACACTTCTGTGACGACGTCGGGTGGAGGCCGAGAGACCGCATGTTCGATGACGCAGTAAACACGCCGGCCCTCGACGCGTTCCACGAACCGTAATTGCTGCCAACCATATGTTTCCACATAGAAACAGCAAAAAAATTTTAAGAATAGTATATGTTTTGGGGCAAAATACATTTTTGCCGTCTAAACCTCTATACAGTCGACTCTCTAATTCAAACTCCAGGAAGCTGCAGGCTTTAGTTTGAAATATCAGAAGATTAAATCATTGGAAATTCATATAAATATGATGCGAGGCAAAGCAGCGATTTGCTATAGGAATAGCTACACTTACCAAGCAGATTTTTTACACTTTCCTCTACACAGGCTTACTTATAAGCAGGCACACAGATAAAACATTGGTGAAGTTCAAAGCGAATTGTAGCTTTGGCCAAACATTTTCTAAACGAATATTGAATAGTTTCTCCGAGCCTATTACGACCGTTGTACCCTGCTGAAATGAAAATTCAGCTCAACTCATGACGGTTGTTCCCAACTTTCCACTTGTCCAGTTTCAAGCTCAGTTAGTCTTAATATAAGTAATCTATGAACTGTGGCCTCAGAAAGGGCAATTCCTGCATTGGGATGGCATGTAAATGAGAGATTTGACATAAAATTAAACCTAAAGAGATGCCCAGCTATTCTAACCGAGGAAATTTATAAATCTGCTTCCTGTATGCAAACATCCTTTCTTTAATCCTCAAATATAACCCCTTTCGAAAAATAAAAAGCAAGCAGGAATAATGAAAGCAGATCGTCAGGACAGCACTGCTTGCATAATCGCGGTCGGTTAGCCCCATCGAGCGAATTTCTCACCGAGAACCTGCATACTGTGGAAAAGCAATGACCGCGAACTTCACGGGTATTGCTTTCCCGCTGTACACAGGTGCTCGGTGATAAGCGACCTCAAATGGATCTAACCTGCCGCAACAAACAAATAGTAAGAATTAAGCAAAAACTCGGTCTCAATTAAGCACCTTGTCAACCAAAATTTTAAAAATTGTTTGAATCAACCGGAAGTATGAAATATCCGAGTTTGAATTATTGCGAATCCACTTACAACAAATCCGGCTTTCGAAACGCAAATCGAGAGTTCGCTTCAGCGTGCGACCGAGACGGCCGGCCCACAACGGGTGGGGTGTCGTCCTCACCGTAAACACCCCCGGGGTGTACTCGTCGTCGAAAGAGCTCCGCTGGTCGACCGTCAGGGTCCAGTTGACGGGAGATTCGTCGAGTGCCGTCAGTTCCAGGCCGAACTGCGAATCGTCGCCGAGTTTTGTGGCCAGTCCCAGCAGCGACACTTCCAGCTGAGTGCTGTTGCTTGTGTAGAGCAGGTGAGGGAGCTGGTCCTGGCGACCGGGTGTGCTCTGCACTCGCACCTGGAGACGCGCAAATGCTCGTAAGAAATATGCACAGAAACGTTTAGAAAGACAGAGCCAGTCACCCACGGTCCGATAATGATGTGGCTCGGGCCGTGGGAGAACCTTCGAATCGTTTCCATAATATAGTTCCGTGAAAAGCTGCCCCAGTTGAACGCAACAAGATAAAACGGGGAAGTTGGAGCGCGTTTTTCACGTTTCGTGTGTGGTAAAATTTGGGAGGTAAAAGGCTTTGCTTTGTTTCTTCAAGCTGAACTAACATTTGAGAAACTATCTTTTTATAAAAAGAACTGTGAAATATGTAGAAAAAGGTGTGAAAAAAAGGCCCAAAGGATGTTAGCAAAATATAAAAAAGCAAAGTGCAGAAATTGTGCAGTACAGACGTCTTGCGACAATTTCTATCATGCCATTTTGAAAGACCTGCATGTAGCTAAACTCAAAGGGGCAGTAAACCAGTTTCTGCAATAGTCTATTCATGGTCATAACTCAATCTATGGGCTCTAAGCATTTTACAAAACCAAAGATTATATTCATGCGTGGCCGATTTCTCTATTAAAATCGGTGTCAAAGATCAATTACTTTAAAACTATCGCAGACACCAAAGGAGGCCGTCGGATGAAAAGGAGGGCTTCTCCTCGTTGCGCGCCTTTGGTGTCTGCAATATTAAGCCAAAAAATATTTGGTCAAAATTTTTTGGCAAACGTTTATTTTAAGATTTGCCTGTCCTGACAAGGTAAAAACAATTTTTTTTTTTTTTAAGGTGATTTTTATTGTTCTGTTATTAGAAAAGCACCTGGAGTCAATCTGCTTTGTAAAATTACTATTCCACGTTTTGTTGCCTTGTTTAGTTACGCACTGTATTTTTATGTATGCTATAATATAATATAATATTTTTTGTACAGTCTCGCTGAACAGAAATACAAAGAGCGGAACGTGCCATGTCTGAAGCCTGCAAAACCTCCTCGCTCTGGCGAGAGTTTTGTGGATGCTTCGCGCCATGGCATTATTTGCAGCCCTGGCCACGCGCGGCACCACACTTTTTGTGAGCGGCGCACTTTTTAAACTGCCGCTGCTAACAAACAAAAGGCTTGCCAGCGATCGCAGTGAAATGAGCGCAAAGATAGAAGGTCAGTCATTTCCAGTGCAACGTGCTCAAGGATCTATAGTTGGCAGCTGCATTATGTAACATCATTGCATGTTTCTGTTTTAATAAAGAAACTCATTGGGACGCAATAGTTCGACTGATATTGCTCAAGTTGCAGTATCAGTGCCCAATTAGAAAATGATGCCCCCCTCCAGGCAGAGTTCGGATCCCTTCAATGGAATGAGTTGTATACCTAGCGCATAAATAAACTTTTCATGTGCCCACTTCCCAATGCAAGCAGTACGAGAAGGTTCACTGTCATTTGCACATATCTGACCACACGACAGCAAAGTGTGAAAGCAGCACTGTCGGTGCAATGACTTAGCCAGGAATCTTTTTCAGGGAAGCTTGAGTTGGCTGGAATGTTCATGACTTCGGGTGTGGGGGGGGAGGGAGGCTGAAGCCTCACAATCCTCCCCCTGGCTACGCCACTTCGTTGGTGGCGACTCATAGAGCTAAGATCTCCGTGATCGCCGCTATGTGGCGCCAGAGGTGTCGTCTAATCACAGCTCCGCCGTTCGTATTTTTTTTTCCAACAAGACTGTGCCAGGCACCAGCCACAAAAATGCCCTTGGAGAGATGTAGGTTATTCTATAAATAAACGGACCTCTTTCCAGTAAGCCTCGGCCCATAACATGTTTACCCTCTCCCCTGGCCTCGCTTTCTGCAGTCGCCATTTTCGGAGGGCATAACCGACATTGTTGGCACCCATCTTTGTGCGTATTCGGCATTTTTCTTTTTTTAACATGGCTAGTGTGGGGCACCAAAATCAATAAAGACTGCCACGGCAACACAACGCCGAAGTGTTCCAGAAGGCGGAGGCCCGTTGGGCTGCATTTCATTTGTAATTTGGAGACAACCCACCAGAAGGCGCTCTTCACTAGAAAAAAAGACGATTCTAACCTTAGAGCAGCATGCGGAATCAGAGCTGCGGCGACGTGCATCGTTCCGTTCCTCGAGACGTACGCCGAGCCCGTTTCTATCACTTCGCCCTCAAGGAAGCACGCAAACTTGAACTTACGGTGACTTCCACAGTTCCGTTCTTGGAGAAGTACACGGCGTCGTCCTTCAACGTGGAACTGTTCGCCGTGAAAGTGGCAACGACGACGTTGCTGCCGTTTCCCTCGCATCCGCTGACGTCTCCCCACACCAGATCGCCGAGGCTGACTGAGTGCGTGCCGTTTGCCAAGTGGGGGTCGACCTTAGCCATGTTGCCCACGTCCTTGTACTCCCAGAGCTGGAGCATAAAGCATGGCTTTCAGCATCACAAACGAATAACTGTACTGCCCTTTCGTCTATATGAGTGCAAGATTTGTACGAGGTTTTGGGGGTTTTCTATGTAAAGTAATCAATCTCCCAGTTGCTGCCATCGTAGTACATATTCAAGGTTTGATGGCTGTTTTCCCCTCATACAATTAGCGATTCGATTTTGGCGAGAACCTAATTATTGTGAATGTTGCGACTTGAAAAATATCGCCAAAATCGGTTTCACAGATATATAGCCCATAGGTAACAAATTCGTAGCACAGGGCCGCAAACAGCAAACCTTTGTGCCCGTAAAAAATTCCTGAAACCTGCGCTTTTCTAAATTTTCGAAATACTGAGCCTGCGAAAATAAAGTTGTTTACACTAATTGTTCATCATGTGTTCGTAGAGTGAACTGGGCACATTTGGGGACCAACCAAATCCCCCTTCCCCTTCCTTCCCTCCCCACTTACCTAAAACAAACTACCTGCTAGCCACTCGTAAATATGATCCAAATTTTTCATTCGCAAGATGATAAATTATTTTAAGGAATTTACCATCTCTCAAGCAACAAATGTGAACCACGCAAGATACCGTAAACTCCTGACCAAGCACCAACTCAAATTTTGGAGATAATTGTGCAGAACTAGGGGATGGACACTCCTTGAATCAACCATATGTAAAGACATGTCCTTTGTGTATTTTCCGAATGTTACAAAATTGAGGGGTGGGCATTTGTTGTAGAATAAGCGGATGCTCAGTATTTTACAGTAGCCACGTGCAAATAGTAGTGGATTTTGAGTTCAAAGTGAATAGCGGTTTTGGCCGAATATTTTTTAACTGAAGATCAGCTATTTTTTAAAACCTTCCACTGCCGTGCACCATGCTTAAACGAAAATTCTTCAACTTCAAATTTGAAAAAGATAAGAAAAGCACGAAGAAATAAGACAGGTTATAAAGACATTGCATAATTGTAGCAGGTTAGCCCCGGTCCTTTCCTCAAGATCTGACAACCATAATGTACCAAGTACTACAGCAAACTGACTGATGATGTACTTATTTACAATGTAGCACAAAACTTGATTTCAGGTCCGAGGCAGCAAACTGAAGGCAGTTTTCTGGTTTCAATTAGTCTGTTACTAACTGAATCTACGGTAAATGTTTCATTACGTTATGCCACCATTTTTAATGCATTTTCGATGCCTGGACAGTGGACTGGACACATCAGTCGTAAAATAGACGTTCTACAAAGGTTTCTTTTACCGCAATGTTTATGCTGCGAAACACCTTTCAGCAATTACGAAACATGCTTCTTTATCAGAGTCAATGCCTCAAAATAGAAGCCTATTCTGGGGTCGCTATTTACTCAAAACATGCCTTGTGGCATAAAAATACTGCAATTTATTTTAAATTCTTGCATGTGACATACACATCTTTTCTAGGCACTCAAAATAAAAGGCTTCAGAGGTTTAGTGTTCCTATAACGCATGTAACAGTCGGTTCACACATACAGTTCAGCGATGATTTGATGCCATAGACACAATGCCGAGTTCGCGCTATGACAGTGTTGTCCCAGCACTCGTCTGCATGTGACTGCAGTAATATTGTGAATTGTTCCAAGATGATGACACTGTGCAGTCATGCTGTGGCTCAAGCATACGGCGTCATGTTTGTATATAAAAGGAGGGCACGCGCTTAGCGTGCCCAGTCGCTGTCTTGGAATTTGTTCCGATCGGTCGTATCATTCAATTCGTTCCAGCGCAGCCTTCCAAGGCCCCCGCCAGTTCCTGTCAGGGCCCATGCCATGGGTAGGTAAGCCATGGTCTGCCGTTCACACCGCGCCCCGGCCGGTTAGCTACGGACGCTGTTCCCGCTTTCTTGGGCGTCGAGCAGTCCATAGCCTCAGTCGCTTTCTTAGGCGCTTGGCAACCCCTAAATTTACTAGTGTCCCCAAGTTTTCTAGCTTGCGCACGCACTGACTTAGTGCTGAAAGTGGTGCTGATGCAGCACTGCCTTTACACTGTCTCAGCAGTGAGATGCATGTGTGAAGCCGCCTAGTTCGTACGAGATGATGCCAATGCAACCAAACTTCTTTTATAAAAACCAATATCTATTGGGCTTTTTTCTGTAATGCTTCCATACACTACACGAATGCAATGAATACACTACATTACCGTATTCAATATGCTACACTACCACATTTGATACACTACATTACTGTATTCGACACACTACAATACTACATTCAATACAGTATGGCACTCAATGCACTACAATCATTGCCTACAAAGCAAAGCAGCAATCACCTTCGACAGGACGACGGCCGAAGACACAATCGGTTCCTCGCTGAATCTGAAAGCAGCAACGCTGAAGTCCCGCTTCCGTAGACGGTGCCAGGACACGTTGAGCAGACGGACTCCCGGCTGGGTGTGCACGCTGAGCACGGCAGGTGACCCGAAAGTTGCCCAGAAGTGGTGGACCGTGTCGCTGGGGCCTTCTGCTTGCACGTAGCAGAGACCGCACTTTGCGCTTGGCTCGCAGAAAGGGTCAAGCTCGGCCGAAAGCTGGAGGGGCGGTGGAAAGGCGTTTGGGTGTCGAAAGCGCATTCTTCTCCAGCTCTGCGAGAACTCCTCTCTAGATTTTATGTATTGCCACAATCCTGCGTCTGCTAGCCAGCAGACGTTCATGCATACGGGCCCCTGCCTATCTGTCTAGCCTTGCGAACTACCAATAATAGGACCTTAGGTCTCCCAAGTACAACTAGCATTTACGAATCGTCAGTCTTTTCGATGGATTCCAAGGGGCTTTTGTGAAAGAATTGACAGATCCAGGGACTTTCTTAACGGTGACTTCCCCGAATAATCATTCATATGTTTGTCAGGTTCTCCAAACAATCTGATTGGTTGACTCGAAGTAGTGTCGGTAGTGCACTTCTGGTGCTTCGATTTGTCCCCAGGAAAAATTTTCCGATAGTGTGACAAAACGATTCCAGACCCGGTAATCTAAGGATTGTGGCGTCCCACCTTGACCATGCCGGCGTCGATGGTATAGACGAAGGTAACTAAGGTAGCCAGCTAAAGGCTGGTTAAGACGTCTGCTTTTTGAGTATGACCGCTTAAGAATGCTTATGACAGGTGTTGCCATGGTGACGTGCAGTGGCATCTTGTAGTAAGCAGTCGCCAGCTGTCATAACGCAGAATCGGTCGTGCTCAAAACCCAAATATCTGGACCAGATAATGCTAATATTTGTAATGTGGACATCCCACACTGAGGCACGCACATTTGCTCACTTGACAAAGTGGCCTGCACATGTGGGCTACTCTCGTACAAACATGATAAATATATATGTATGCGGGACATGTCGAGAGCAGTTGGACTTGAAACATGGTAGATCAGACAAATCAGGTGCTGCCCTCTTCCAGGATCTAAAAGCACTGCGATGTAGCAGAAACCTCCACACTGCGAGACATGCGACTCTAAAACTGCATGCAGTTGTTGCAAAGGGAACATTATAAGTATGACTTATGGGCTTGCCAATTTGAGATATTTTTTTAACACATGTCACTAAGCAGTAATTTCTCCTCTACCAGAAAGGAAAAAAGAAAACAAAATGTAGTTCTGCATGCTAAAGTTGAGGCTTGGGCGAGTTTTTAATTCCGTAGTTCTGTATTATTCGTTATAGTCCACTCGTGAAAATGCTTCCTCGGTGAATAAGTTAAATTAGTGAATGCACATATGCAACCAAGAAATGGCTCCAGGCATACTGTCATTACTTGCTCCGTAATTTCTATGTTGTATCGTTTATTGTTGTTAATTTTCTGGCATCTTGTCTTTTCGGAAACACACGCCGTGCTTGTCTCTTTCCGCTTTCTCCGCTTCCGGAGAGTATGTGCGACTGGTGAGGTACGCGCGTGAACAGCTTTGATCGGCGGGATTCAGCGCTCAGGGAAAGTTGTCCCCAAGTGTAATCGATTACTCTTCTCATTAACCACGTCTTAACTATACTTCTTGGGGCATTGCAAAGGGTGAATATGTAAATAATGAAAAACATAAGAACATTACAAGCGCCGTTCCCCGCAAAGCTCTTCCTGTTGTAATAATCGAAGCCACGGCTGATCAGCAACATAGTCACGGCTGAGGATGATTGAGGAAGGCTAGAACACAACGTCAAAAGCAGCTGATTTGGTAGAAACTTGCTTAGTTGCGCGGAAGCAGCATCGTCTCGAATCCCACTTCATTTCGTGAATTCGGATCACAAGTCACGCAAGTAAACACAGCACATACTCACAGTTCTTTCATAGTCGGCGTACACGACAGCCGCGAGCGCGATAAATAGCGTGAACTTCAGCATGACTAGCTTTAACGTGAGCTTTCGCTACCACCCACTTTCGTCACGTGCATAGGTCTGCCATCATGAGCCCATGATTCACAATCACAGTGTACTAAGATAAAACCAACGTAGCTTGCAGCTCGCAGTAGGACATCGGACTGATAGAGGAAACGCATCACATGGATCACGTGCACAAACTGCACCTTGCCGACCAACTATTATAGTAACGCCGTTGACATTCGGCGAGTTCAGCCAATCAATATATAGTTGGTTCTGTATCTTAGCTTTCCTAAACGCCGCAGCAGTGTTGTGGCGGTAGTTACAAAACCAACACAATTTTTTTTTCACTTGCCTTCTTACAATTAAAACAACTTCATTTTAAAATTATTTTTACAATTTTTTTTTTATTTTGAGTGAGTACTCATCAAACCTATTAGATCTATTTTCCTTTTTCTTTTTTTTTTGTTCTAGAAAACGTTTTACTAAATTTGGACCAAGTCGACCCGAGTGTAGCAGCCACCATGGCAGTCAAGTTTCGGCGGTTTCGGTGTTTTAGTAGCGATTTCTACAGTGGATTGTGGTGATTGCTTGTTTCGGTAACCTACAGGAGATCCAGGTAAATACAGAATGATCGTCTTTTCCTAATGCTTTGTGCTTCATTTGTATGCCGAAAACTACTGTGGTACATGCAGGGGGCGGTTTCAATGTCCTTGTCTTGTTTACGGCGATCTAAAGGTTTAAAGATGCACACAAAATCGAGGCGTACGATAAAACTTCGCTGGCGCGTGCGGCCCGGCCTTACCAAAGTTTCGCCAACATCATGAGCAGATCGAACACCGTGTAGTGTTAGTGGAAACGAAGCCGTTATAACGTTTCAGTTTAAAATGGAACAAGAGAACGTCCATAAGCCGCGAAGCTCGTTCCTCGATCATTTCGGGAACGCTTTGTGATGCGCCCGTGATACGTTCCATTTTTGCAGTTTCGTTCTTTACCTGTTTCTTCAAATTTAGAACGCTGCTATGTTAAGTGTCGGCGACGACATTTTAGAAACGTTGAAACGGCAGACAGTAAAATTATTTGCAACGTTATAACAATGCTAATCACCACAACCCTCCGCGTAATCGACGCGGTACTTGAACCACTTACCCGCTACCAAAAATGTTGAAACTACCTCTACTGCATTACAGGCGAAAGGGGTTAACGGTGCTGCAGCTGTAATTACTCTTAAATAGCGCTTCGTTTACGTTAAAAAGACACGTTATTTTACTTCTAACGCTATTTAACACAAGAGACATTGCGATCACTGTACGATTAAAAACGTTTACTTTGGTTTAACATAACGAAAGCCCGAGTAAATGTTTTTCATCGTGAATTCGCGTGGCTTTTAGAACATTTTTGCATCACGGTATGGTTCAAAGTGCCTCATAACTTATTTCCAAATTTTTTTCATTTTTTATTGAGCCTCGCTGGGAGTATAAGGTTATGTCGAAGCAGTGGACTGATTCATGCATATCTCTGGGCTCTGGCCGTAGCATCATTAAATCGCTTGCTTTGGGTTGAAGCTGTACTGCCTGAACTTGCTGCTGGAAAGGCACAGCCGTGGACCGTGCCAGCTGGAACCACCGAGCAATAACCGAAAGATACCACTGGTTCTACCTTGACCCGAGAAGTTGAACAAGCGACGAGAGATGGCTTGCAAACGAGAGTGCCATGGCCAATGCTATACGACTCGGCCTGTTGCTTTTCTGCTTCTTTGAGCACTTAGGAGCACTTTGATTTTCCTTTGCTACACCCTTCCATGCTAGTCGTTGCCTTTCTTATCAGAGTGCACGGTACCCGCACCAGTCGGATTGGTTTTTAAACGTCTGAACGGGCAAGTGTCGTGACGGCCATTAACGGACACAGTAGCAGCACGTGCGCAGCGACGGCACACAGTTACTCAAGCACGATCAGGCTGAGTCAGATGGCATGCCACCACAATCTCGCGCACATGCTATCTCTCGTTGCCGGTCCAACTTCCCGCGTCGGGGCAGCACCACCAGTATCTCTCGCGCTTCGCTGGGTCGTTTCAGCTTGCATTGTCCACCATTGTGCATGGCCTTCTTGCATTCACCCTTTGAGTGCCAGTCCAAACTGGGCTGTCCGTGTTTTTTGTGTGCTGCGCCACGTCTGAGAAAGTGACGAAAACGTTTGATCTTGTGGTGTAATGTTTTTACGGCACGTGAAAATGTTTGTTTACGCGACTTTCGTTTCGGTGTGCTCCCTCGTTACAGGAGGTGCGAAATGTATTTCAACGCCATGCTTCATAGGAAACACCGAGATCTAAAAATGACCAATTTACTTTGTTATTTTACGACTGGGAAGACGAGGAAATTGCAGTTTTAAATAAAACAAGAAGACCGTGTAAAGCCGCTTGAAAGAGTGACCTCATGGTTTTGAGGGCAACGTTTAGCTTCTAGGTTCACATTTAACAAATATAGGCTCGACCATTCTTCTACTGAGCTTGGCCAACAGGCTGAACTGCCTACGCTTGGGTCCAAAACAATTTTTAATGACAGAAAATTAATTTTCTCAATGATTAATGATTATGTAGAAATAGATAAGTCAATCATCTCCAAATTCTTAGAGAAAAGAACTCCAAGACATCGGCATAGTTTATATATTAGAAAATATTCAATAAGAAATGAATGCTTCAAATATAGCTTTCCTTTCTAGAGCCATCGGAGAATTGAACAGACTGCCGAATGACACTGCAACTCTAGCATCTTCTGTGGCCTTCCTTAAAAAACATTGAAGGCATTTTAATTTATGCAAGTAATTAAACACTGCTGCATTTAATCAGCACGCGCCGGCATGCGTTGTCTTTTAAACCTAATTCGGCTGTACGGCTTTATTTTTCTTTGCGTGACGTGTGCGTATAAACATGCTTTCATAATGTTTTTTTTTTTTTTTTTTTTTTTAATTAGTACATGTTTCATACTTGGAGCAGCCCTGGGATAAGGTTAACAGTATCAATAGTAAATAAAAAATAAAGATTGGCATTCGGCAGACAGGAAAAAACCTGGCTCTCAAAAAATTAACTTAAAAAGACACTGCAAAGGAAAAAAAACAAAAAAAAAATTTAAAAAGAAAGTAACTTTACAAAAAAAGAAATTGGTTCTTGCGAAAAATTAATTTTGTAATAATAATTTTTCCAGACTGAAAAAAAAAAAAACAAAAAAAACATTTGTTTACCTCTGCAGTGTTTTTTTGTGTTTTTTTTTAGGGGCCATGCAGCGATATTGAGTCGGAATGTTTCTCCTTCTACTCAAGCTTACTGGCACTAGTGAAATCCAAGCATATTCACTCGCAACGCAACTGACCAGAAAGTGTCTTTGTCACCGCATAATTTTATAGATGAAAGCAGAGATTTTCTTTCACTTTCTCCATTGCAAAACTTGACGACTGAGTTGTGGGGATTGCATTGTTGGCATTGTCAGCAATCCAATCCCAAGGATTTCGTAATCAAGCGTTGCAACCCCACGCCGTGACAATATTTCAGTGCAGCTCGTACAGTGGACACGATCACTGCGTGAGGACTCATTTCAGGCTCGTGCCAATCGATGGTGCAACATACATTTGGGTAGTGGCCCGTGCCCAATCGCTGCGGTGACGGAAAGAGCCGAACCTTAACAATCTGCGGAACTCGGTGCGTTCCCCTTGCTTTGCCAAGCTTAGTGCGTGGCTATGATGAACATTGGCGACATATGATTAGCGCCAGATCACGGTATCGCTTGTTCCAGCTGTGAGTTGAGGGCGTAAACGTTGCTTGTTTTTCTCGTAGTTTTCCTGCGACTGCCATCAGGTGGAGAAAAAAACCGATGCATGTTTTGTAGGTTATTGAATGTCGAGGAATAGCTCTAAGCGGCATTCGCTGAAGGTACAAAGATTGTTGCACCTTTCCTTTAGCATCAGCCATTTCTGCTTTTCAGGGATCTTAAGGAACCCGGATGGAAGCTCCGCTTGCGAAGAGCGCACCCGCGTACCGTCAGCAGTCCTCCTCCTCCTCCGAGGACGACTCTGACGACGATGAAACGTCCTGGAAACGCCAGGCCACGGACAAGACCAAGAGCATGCTCACAGACAACGCCTACAACTTCTCGGATTGTCCGAGCGCCGTCCAGCCACAGCAGTCCTTCAACTTTGGCAGAAAGAGAGTGAGCATCCAAGATGGGACAGTCGCCGGACGTTTTGCTGATGTACCGGTGGCACGGAGTGAAACGTGAACGGCAGAACGCATGGCCTTCGGTTCGTTCTGCGCCTCCTGCAGAATGATGAAACTGCAAAGGGTAGAGGGGGCTGGGAGAGTGTGCACTTACTCCCACGTGCACGCCCAGCCCCCGCCTCCTCTCCGCGGTTTTATCAGCCCAGGTAGCACAGCTTGTATCTAAGAACGTGCATTTGTGTTTCATTCTGTGCCGATAGTGCCCAAGCACCGAGTAGTATGCTAAGTGTAGTTACATGTGCTGCAAGAGTCACTTTTCTCAAGCAAGCGTCTTAAATAAATGGCACCTTTTGTGTGCGCTGGACACATTATTTTGGCTATTTACTTCGAGCCTTTTGTGCAAATAAGGGGTGCACATGCAGCATGTGTACCTGCATTCCCAGCGTTTCCCTTAGTGGTTGGTTAATCTGGTATAAAAGTTCTTTGTGCTCGGTATGTGTTGCATGTGATGTATTTAACACATTCTGGGAAGTGTATGTTTTCCATTGAACATATGAAATGATTACTACTTCCATATATAACTACTTTGTATTCTTATTGCTCCTGTGTACTTTTTTTTTATGCTTAGTGCCTCTATGTACATATTACTTTTGTATACTTTTTAGTTCTGAATATCTTGATACTCTCCATACTAATTTCTTCTGTACAGTTATCACTCCTTTTCTGTATACTTATTACTTTGTATGCTTATTACTTCTATCATCATCCTCATTTATGTTTTCTTGGGGATCCAAGAGTATTATGAGAGGGAGTTTGCATAACCATAAAAAAAGGCCAAACAATAATTAACACAAAATAGAATTGATATTAAAACACTGGAATCTATAGGAGGGTTCGAGAGGAAGGGGGTACTGGCTACTACAAATATATTAGTTTCTTATAAAAAAAATGCTATTACTTTTGCACAGAAGAATAATTCTGTATAGATGTAATAACTGTTGCAGACAGACCAATGAGAAAGTTATGGAGCTAAGCTCGGAGTAGCACCTTCAGAGGAGCCCTTCCTGTCATTCCACCTTAAAAGCACTAAGGCCAAGAGGGCACTCATTAGTCGTACAACAGTTAATTTCGTCCGAAACGAGCATGATTTAAGCTGCACGGCCCTTTGTTTGATGCCGCAGGTGAACAACGTCTGGGGCGCGGTGCTGAACGAGCAGCTGCTCTCCGAGAACATGGGCCAGTTCTCGGTAGTGCCGAACAAGTGGGGCCACGACAGGGAGTGCGAAAGCTACGACTTCACACGCAAGGCCCTGGACACGCGGCCAGACCCCGACGAGCCAGACGACCTGTTCGATGACGTCGGCCATATCGATGACCCCGTCGACATCCAGGCCAGTGTTGCCGATTTAGCGGCTTGTTGTTGAGTTGTCCAGGGCCCGTTTTCTCGAGGCAGGTTAGCTTTAGCCACGGCAAAAAGTTAATTGCCCTTCCCTACTACAGTTAAACCCGATTGTAACGAACTTGAATACAACGATTTATTCCCTATATCGAACACGCAAAGCTCTCTGATCGATATCCACTTAAAATATATCTCGCATAACGAATTGCATATTGGGTATATCGAACTCCCGGCGCTTGCGAACACCAGAAAAGGGGAGCGGCTTCTGGCACCCGTGGAGTCTGGCTTCCTCGCAATGCAGAATTGGTTCACTCGCTCCTTGCCTCGCATGAACGAACAAGGAAAAGATAAAAAGGGAGCCCGCTTCCTTCAACCTTGGGCAGCGAACGCACGGTTGCGAACGGAGGTGACAGTTTGCATGCGACTCCGCATACCCCACATTTTACGACCCAGCCGTAACGCCATCGGTGGGAGCTTTAGAGAACGCTAAATGTTTATGGGGTTTCAGGTTCAGGTTTATCAGTCATAAATGCCCTAATTTTTGTGGTAAGGTAAAGTCGTGGGGCCATTATTTTTGCTTACTCGGCAAAGTTGTTTTCAGTGAAACGTCATTGAGGTGTTACGATGGCAAACATTGAAGCACGCTTTGGACTGATTTGTGCGTCAGTGTATGACTTAGTTTTCCCAGTCTGCCAGATGACATAGGCCCAGTAAACTGCGCAGCTATTTAAAAAAAAAAAGAAAAAAAAAAGTGAAGTCTGGTATTTGAAGCTGGTTACCGAAAGTCTCAAAAGAAGTCGAATGAGCCGGGTACCCCTACTGGTGAATAGAACATTGCGAAACATGTAAATTCGGTCACCGAAGCTTCGAACTGCCACCAAATATTGCACAAAAGATTCAAACTATGAAAATGTATGTGGGCAGGTATAGCTAAACAACACACCAGATAACAGTAAGTGAACATAGTTCTGTGCATGAAAGCACTTTAAAGGGGCACTAAAGTAAATTCGGAGATTGTCTTTTTTAGGGTGCAGACTCAACCTACACGCTCTAGGCATCCTAGAAAATCCAATATTACTATCATGCGTGTCCTTTTCTGCCCTTACAAAATGGGACCAAACGTCGAGGTACGCCCCTTTTCTGAGATATCTAAAAAAGGAGCATGTTGCGGCAGTTGTTGTGCCTTTAATAGAGAAGAAAAGCCACACATGGTTGAAATTTTTGGTTTTTTATTATGCTTAAGGTAGATAGATTGAGTTTGCACCATAAAATGAGGACCTCGAATTCCACCTTAGTGCCCTTTAAGTCAAACAAGAAAGCTCCCTTTTAAGGGTTCCTTCATTTAATGTTCCGTTTTCAGGCTAACTACTATAGGGGTATATAATATTAAGAAGTCCTCTTTGCCCTGCGCCTTCAATTTAGCAGTTGCGGTTTTTTCGAGATTTCTTTGGCGAGTCTTTTTATTTTTGAGTTGGCAACACTCATCCAGGCGCCCAAGAAGTCCTGGAGGGACCATGTCAAGGGGACCAAGCGGTCCATCAGAGACCGCCTCGGGGAGCGGTCTAGCGGCCGGCCCTCGAGGTCCAGGAGCCCCAAGTTTGGCCGCGGGAACAGGACGGCGAGATCAAAGTCCGGCGGTTCGAAGCCGCTGAGTCCGAGTGCCATGGAGGAGGACGAGACCGTTGTGGCCGAGATGGCGGCGGACATGGCGGAACGTCTGCAGGAGCCCAAGAAGGACCTTCTGGGTATGGATCGAGGCTTGTTTTTGTTCTCGGCTTGACGGACAGCTTTTTTGTTTTTTCGAGCCTCTCTGTCGTGAGCAGCACGTGACCATTGTAAGAGAGTTGAGAATACCTCTTCGGTACGGACTAGGCTAACCTTATTCACGTCTAGGGTAATTTTCCTCTTCTACTTTCAGAGCGTGTGGTGAGCATACTGGGGACTTCGGAGTCGCGAAAATTGCTCACCATGACCGAGGACATTGAGGCCGCTGGCGGCATAATGACGAGGGTGAGGATGCTTTCTTTGCCATTTTACTTACCCTCGGGAGTAGAAAAATAGTTACAGCACACAAGAAATATTTGGACTAAAAAAGACACAAAACGTGTGCAAAAAAAAAAAAATATTGTTTTTTTTTTTTTAGTTTGAGTATAAGTTTTTTTAATAAATGTTCATGCACTAGTCAGTGGTCATCTAGTGTGCTTTTCTCCTCTATCCTCATCGTTTCGTGAGTTGTGTTTCATTTTTTCTGGTCACGAACCAACTCGACCTCATTGCAACTTTAGTACTAGGAGTATTGTGGGTTCTGAGATTGGTGGCTAAAGTATGTTGCATTTGCAATCAATATCTATAAAAATTTGAAGCATATGTTTACCATAGTAGCTGCCTTAATTAGTTTTTCATAATGGCTGCTATGAATCAACAAGTTGCTATTTAGCAGCAAGTTAAAGAAATCGGCGTGGTCGAACCGCCCGTTAGAGCGATCGGAGGTGCTTGCACCAAGCCCAAAGTTTTGTCATACCGCAGGACAAGAGTCGGAGGCGTACCCCGGGGGGCGTGTTCTTCTACCTGCTCAAGGCCCACACCCCCAGGGACCAGATGCTGCTCATCTTTGAGGAGGAGATGCGGGAGCAGGAGCTATACCGCCGCAGGATCAAGAAGGAGCGCAACAAGAGGCTCCTGGAGCGGCACGCCAGTGAGTCTCGCCGTTGACTCTCCGAAACGGGGGTTGATGTCGACGGTAGAGTTGGGTAGCAGCAGTTTGCACAATGTTCTATGCCCAATACAGTCCCAATAGTTTATTTGATAGGAAACACTTGTTGCCGAATTGGGCGACCGGCGAGGTCGGTTCCCTAGTATGAGTATTTAGCCAACTCTAGTTGAGAAAAAGGTTTGTCGGAAACAGTGTACTACTAGTAGGTGACAAGCTAAGACAAGAAAAACTCCTCTCACCTCTTTCCAATTTAGCAGAGCAACCGCATTTGCTCCATCAAGGTGAAAAGGCGTGGGCTTCTGCACTCTTAACTTGACGCCGACCTCAGTCGTGCCAGCAGCACCCTGTGTTGCCAACCAGTTGCCGAGGCATTGCCAGTGTTGCCCACAAAGCGACCGATACGGTCCTAATAGCTTATCTGGTAACAAAAACTCGCTGCCAAACTTCTTTATCATTGAGATCAGCCCCAAAGTGGGATTGTTTGACTACAATGTAGTCTCAAGTATATCTTTAAAAATACTTCGTTGACAACACTGGTCATGCCTCTGCAACCAGTGCTGCCAACTGGTTACTGAGGCACGACAGCGTTGCCAGCTGACCATCGTAAATATGGTCAAGAAGGGTGTTCTTGTCGTGCCTGCGTGCAAAGTTTGCCGAATGTGGGCCCGTCGGTGCAGCGCAAAAGCATACAATATCAAAGTTCACTCACTGCATGGCTTTTCTTTTGGAAAGCAAGTCGTAACTGCCGGCACCCCTTTCACGATTGTGACAGCCGTCACTTGTGCGAATTGGATTTAATGTGCTCTCTCCCCACACACACAGGTTTCTGAGAAAGGTGATTTAATTATGTACTAGTTTTGCAACTGCGACAGTAAAGCTGTTAGTCTGTGAAGACCCACATCTATTTTCTTAGTATGTTTTATGTACTAAATGTGACTTCATTTGCAGCAGGTTTGCTGTCCTATAATACTACAGTATGTAAACCTAATGCTTTTAAGACGCTTTAGGCGGACTGCAAAATTGATTTGTCAATGTATCGTGCTGCGATTTACTACGGAGGTGGCAGCAAGTGGTGGATGCTTACAGCAAAAAAAGCGCTTACCTCGTTCAAAAGAAGAAAGAAAAAAAAAAAAAAGAAACCTGTTTTGGGCAATTCACTCTGCCATTTTGAAGACTATGCACGCGTAGTGGGAAGTGCTGCCGACAGATGACGTGCGTTGCGTCGAGGGAGCACCGGCGGATTCCGGTTGTGAAAGCAGACGCCGGCGCCCGTTCCCACAGAAAAACACATTACCAAGTTAGAAATATGATTTCAGCTGTCAAAGAATTATTCGAGATAAATCAATTTGCAGAATAACATGGTAATGATAAGTCAAGCCCTACATACAGGAGCAAGCGAACAAATATACAAGTATGCTTAATTTAGTTTTGTCATCTCGTCTGTTTTGATCGCCAACATTACTACATGCATATTACTCCGTCTTAGTACTAAAGCAGCAATTGCTATCGTTTTATTTGTGATATTGCTTGAACAGTACTCCCATCAGGCACGTAGCCAGGGGGGGGGGGGAGCCCATGGGGCCCGGGCCCCCTCCCGAAATCGTCAATTTTGCTGGGACCTCCTCTCCCCCCTTCCCCCTCATACAGCATTTTGTCATGGGCCCCCCCCCCCCCCCCCCCCCTTCCGAAACAAAATCCTGGCTACGTGCCTGACTCACATGATAGGTCCCACCTTACTCCTTCGTGTTTCGAATGTCAAGGTTAAAAGGGCCGAAGACAGTGGAAGTATTGAAGTATTGAGACAACACCCAAATAGAGAGCTACCGTGGAGCCAGGCTGGCGCTCAGTAAGTCGGTGGCCAGGCGGCTCGTGGTCGGTTGTGTAAGCTTCTTCGCCTTGTCGTTGCGTCTGGTGGCGCCTTCGAATTTCGCCGCCTAGTGCCGCCATAGAACAACAACACATCACCCGCAACACGTAGATGTTCTTTTGTCTTTTACGTTCAGCTTTTTCTTCTTGCGAGTTGCCGTGCTGCTTGGGTAATTTGTCGAGAAATGAATTGCTTGACTTGTCGACATTTCTTCGACAGCGTAACTGTCAGCTTCTGATAGAAGGAGAACGGATTCGCTAGCGATTTAACGAAACTAGCGAGCCGCGGCTTCAGCATACCGATTTGCGGAAACGGTTGTCTAAAAATCCTAATTTCTTTGTTTTTTTGTTTTTGTTTTTTACTTTTTTATAATTTAGCACGTGGGCCAAGGTCGTACTTGGTGCAAATAGAGATTATTATCAACTTCAAAGAGCACGAACGCCCAGGCTTTCTGAGAAAGGTGGGCGGGAGCGTACCCGATTGCCGGCCGCGCGCCTCTACCCGCCGGTGACGTCCCGTTTGGGTGGCAGGGATAACTGGGGAAGAACTAGGGAGAACAATGTTTCGGTTTCGGCAGCAAACAAAATATCACTTTTTTTATTATTATTATTATTAACTAGAGTGAATTTGGGAGAACGAGATATCATTCCGGAATCAAGAAGCCATCCACATTCAGATGATACCTTTGGATTAGGTAGCTCGAAAAATCGGCGGAGTTCGGGTATTTGGGGAGGCGAAGAGCACTCAATCAATCAATCAATCATTTTATTTTTTGAAGTCAAATACAAATTCGACTTGAACGGTCCGCTGGCACAAAAGGCAAACAAGTTGCCTGGCGAGGTGCCAGCGGCTGCTAAGGACGGCAAAATCCAGCAACAAATACAAAAAAAAAAATATCCGCGCATGCAGAAACTTACAGCAACACAATATCGTAATAACACTCAGGCATCATACAAGGCAAAAAAAAAAAATGCATATGCGTAGAAACAACACCAGGAAGCACATGTATCACACCGCCCGCCATACATTAGACATTGTCAGGGAGTGAGAGAGAAGAAACACAATCTGGAAATAAGACAGCAAAAAAAAAATGGCCTATAAAGTATACTATGTAAAAATGAGTATAAGCATGAAGTACATAATATAAAGTGCATAGTGTAAAAATGAGTATAATGCTCGTGTATGGAAAGGAAAGCATTACGCGATTGAAAAATACCATATATTTTACGGTCGTCAGTAAAAAGGCAACCTAAAACAGTGACAAAAAAATTAAAAAAATGCTCAGGAAAAAACTCCTTGCCCATAATTCACCTTTGAAACGATAAGAACAACATATGTAGGCAAAAGTAAAAACCAATAATACATTTACATAATATGTAGCTCATGTTTGACCAAGAAGGAGTGAAGCTGTTTTTTAAAAGCCCGTGTGGTGCCGGCAAGCGATTGAAAGTTGATCTTTCAGTTGCCGTAATTCGTTCTAGTTCGTGGTATTTTATAAGTGGCTTTGCCCTTAGGTTATAGTCCGTTAGATTTGAGGGAGTTAAATCAAAGCTATTTATCCCTTTTGCATGAACCAGCTGTCCAAGTTTATAATGGTATTTAATTCATTGGCATTACTATCGTATTTTGCGTTTGCTACAATTCGTATTATGCGTTGTTGTAAACTAATGAGCCCATTAAAGTTTGTTTTGCAAGTTGTACCCCATACTAGAAAGCAATACTACAGTTTTTGATAAAACAAGGTATAATATAGTTGTACTTTTAGCCAGGTAGGCAAGATATCCCTTGTTTTATAAATTGCTTGTATAGCTCTAGATAACTTTCTTGATATTCATGGTTTGTGTAGTCCAAGGTAATTGGTCATTGAACCATACACTTAAAACTTGCAGTCAGACATTTGTTCTATAGTGCAGCCATATATTTTCAAGCATGGTTGTCTGTCAATTTTTTTTTTCCTGAATAACATATAGTTGGTCTTCTTAGTGTTTAGTTGCATTTTATTTGCCTCCAGCCAGCTATTTAAAGTTCGTAAATAATTATTTGCATCGCGTTCAATGACGTCAATAGTAGTGCCAGAAAAAAAAAAGAGATTAGTGTCATCGGCATACATAATTAAACTTGAGTTTGCGACGATGTCCCCGTGATCACTTGGGTTTTTCAGAACCGGCCGCCTACAGGGGGTGAGGGGGCGAGCGAGCGAGAGAGAGAGCCTTGTCGCACTTAGCATATGTGGGAGCAAATACTTGAGAAACGACGGGGAGAGGGAGAGCAGTACGTCTGCTGCGGTTTGAAATTTTACGTTCGTACATAAACTTTTCTTTAGAGCGCAGCTCTTAGGCGCCCGTTTCCGGCTTGAGCGGCGTCGCCGTCGCGTAACCGCGCGGTGCATTATGGAAAATGTCCCATAATGCACCGCGCGGGAAGGAGGAGGGGAGGTTGGAGGAGCTTGAAGGATGAGGGGAGGAGTAGCAGTAGAGTATGAGGAGGAGGGGTATACCCTCCCCTCAGTACCCTTCCCTCCCCCTCAAGAGCTGCGCTCTAATTCGACGGTACAGGGAGTTGTAAACGGCGTTCTTTTTTTTTTTTTTTTTTTTTTTTTTTTTTTTGCCGGAAAGGGACATTGTTAAACTGCATGCTGTAGGAAGGGACATTTCTTCGCAGACCAAACGGCGGCCTTCAAGGAGGAATCGGAGATGGCCCAACGGGCAGCTGACGCGGAAGTTGACGTGGACGCCGACGCGGAAGCCGCCGCGGAGGCCGCCGAGGAGGCCGCCGAAGTGGACCTGGAGGATGGGGAAATTGTCGACTAAATAAAACTCATAGAGCTGGAACTCAAAACACGTTTTAATGGCAGTTGTTACACAATAAAGGAGAGAAGCAGATGGCGAAATTTTGGGCAGCAGCCGCGGTCTCAAAGAACAGACCCGCGGCCGCCGCTCAGGAGGGCGCCAGCAGACACGGGGTCGTCCTCAGCGCGTCCTGGTGGAAACCCCTGGTGCCGTCGGGACCGCGCGGCTGACGCAGCACCGGGCTGCTGCCCTCGGCCCGCTTCTTCACCCACAGACCGGCGCTGACGTCCCCCTGGCTGTGCGACTTGTGGCGTGGCCCCAGCGAGGACGACGAGATGGTTCCCTGGAGCAGCGACGCCGTGACCGGCCGCCGCTTGCGACTGTCCTCCAGCGCGGCGGCAAAGCCTCCCGACGTGACGCCGGGCTGACCGGTGGCGAGCGGCAGGACGCGGAGGAACTGGCTGCCTTGTCTCAGGGCCTGGCTGGCTCCGTCGTGGCGCTCGAACTCGACCACGGCCGCGGGGCATCCTGTCGCGTCGGGGTGTCTCTGGAGGAACCGCTTGGCGCAGGGCGGCACGGTGCCCCCCGGCCGCAGCAGCCGCAGCAGAGAGATGGGCCCGCAGCGGGAGAACATCTCGGCGATGGCCTCGACGGACGCCCTCTCGGGAAGCGGGTAGGCCACGACGGTCCTGGACGGCGCCGTCTCGTCGTGGTCCGGCAGCGGTTCTCGGCGTCGCACCTTGGTGCCCTCGGCGTTCACCTCGAGGCGCGTGGACGAGGCACGTAGCGCCTCGCGGACCAGCTCCCAGTTCTTGGTGAGGCTCTTGACCTTGCGGAAGGAGGCCATGAGCTTGAGGCTGACGTAGCCCTCGCGGTTTCGACGCACGTGCTTGAGGAGGAAGGAGTCGCGTAGGATGTTCTCGTCCGAGAAGTAGAACTCGACCTGGGCCACAATCCGCTGCGTGAGCTCGTCCTCTTCCTCCGAGGAGCCGTTGAGGGACTCGAGGCCGGAGTCCTTGTCCGGGGTGTCGTCCTCTTCCCAGGGCTCGTCGTCGGCCATGGGGACGCTCATCGCTTCTCGGTCGCGCGATGACCCACACCACCGCTGGGCTTCCCGAACGCTATCTCTCCCTGCAGCCGCTTCTTCGTCGTCGTCGGCGGCCTTCTCTCTTTTGACTTCGGTCGGTCCGGTTTCCGTTGTGCGCGCACCCTTGTCGTCGTCTTCCGCTACCTTAGCGTTGATTCAGATCGGCAGCAGAATCTTAATTAACGCACAGGAGCACGTGTAGCAAGAGCTCGCGCTGCAGAATCCCGTTCAATCCCCACCCTTGCCCGTTGCTATCTAGATGAGCATCGTTCCGGCTTGCGATCGTGTATCTGCGTTACGCACGTTGAAAACCCGTGGCTAGCAGTCGTAGGTTCGTCTGCATCACTGGAATCACTGACACACCTATAATTCCGTTCATTCTTCACACGAGGTGGGTGCGTGTGGGAACTGCGCATTTGTTCGTCACCTCGCACCGTGCTGCAGCGCTATCTGGCCGAGAAAAACAAATTCGGTGGTGCGAAACGCACGCGGCAGAAGGCACGCGCTTAGCGATGTGTGCGACTAAAAGCGTCGCTGCGGTCAGCTTTCCATGATTGGCCAGACCATGGGCATATAGCATTATCAGATTGTCAACTTTGACGGTGTTAGTTTCGGATTGCGATGGCGCTTAGCTTCCACTGTGCTTTTTAAACACACCATCGAACTCGTCGTCGCACCTGGTGGTGCGACGAGGTCTGGTTTGCTCCCCCACTCATAAGCAGTGTCCTCGTTTTATGTGTGCTGTCGTCGACTGTTTATCAAGGTCACTGCCATGTCCCGAGGTGTCCTACAGATAAGGGTCTCTTTTGTCTGTGCGTGCGCTTGATCTCTTTATGTGTAATGTATGTTCTCTCCATTTTGAACTGTTTTTAACTAAGGAGATTTCTGCGTAGAGTGTGGTCGGGAAGGGCGAGAAATAAACCAGTTAGCTGAGTTTGAGAATTCGCTTCTGTGTCTGTTCCTTCTACTAAAAAGTTTCCGATTTCTTCCACCAGTCTCATGCGTTATATGACATGACTGTAATCTTCGTGCCTCCTCGCTAACAGTAATTGTTACGTCACCGGGAAAAAAACTGCTGACATCATAGCGAACCCTTGCTCGCTCAAGAAGCAACTGCAGTAGCCGTTGGTTGCCATCCACACTGGGAATTGAAGAAAACACGCGGTGCTTTAATACGGTTTGTTTGACTGTAGTGGTGCTTCTACGTGGAAAAAACCGAGTTTGGTTATTACGAGAGTTATATGTCATTGGCTACTACGAATTACTGCTTATTACTAGAATGTAACACCTAGTCCTTTGCAAAGCAAAAGCGTCACCAACAGATACGAAAGACTGAGAAAAGATTTTAAAACAAGTTGGCGACGAGGATGGTATCTGAGTATTCTCATGGAGGCGTGCGAGCATTCTGTCTAGGGCGAATGTATAAATAAAGAACCGCTTGGTCGGGTGCAGCTAGGACACAAAAACATGTCCTCAAGTTCCAGAATTAAAACACTGCCGATGTTCAGCTGTGAGCGCTCGGGCAGCGCGACAAGGAATGCCACCTGAATCCATTAGGAGAATGCAAAGCACGCGCGCGCTAAGTTTGTGAAGTTGGCACGCTTGAATGGCGTATCGGAATTTCAGGTGCGCGGCTGTGTCGTCAGATGTCGCTCCTGGAGTTGGACGGCTTCGGCTGGTTTGGCGAGACCTCCGATGTTCGCGGGTCCGAGCCCCGGACCCTCCTCTGTTTGGCTTCCTAAAAATAGGCAACCGCGCTCACTGCTGCAACAACCTTGAAGAAGCCGCCGAGCCCCACCGGCGATACTTCCAGGCTTGACACACTCGGTCGAAGCTACTTCCCGGTTGAGTCATCGGTAAGTTCTCCCGATATAAGGAAGTTTGAGTAGATCGTTCCGTTATCTCCGATAAAACAACACCTGATAGTCCGCCGGCGCCTCTGCGTAGGCATTTGTAACTTTATCGGGATAATTATCCGAACGATCTACTGAAACTCCGCGATTTAAAGCGCAGATGATAATCTTGCTTTGAAACTCTGTTGGCGTGGAGTAGGAAATGATTCCTTCGTTCTCGAGATTTATTGCAATGACAGCGGTGTGTTGAATCAGGAAGAAATCCTCCCTGTGTATTGCTGATATAAATTGCCATGCTTAACAAATTGGTATATTTTGATTGGGACTGACATTTCATATGCTACGTATGCCAATATTTTGTTGCAGAAGGAACGCGTAATTGTAGATCAGATCAGACAACGCATTCACTACACGTCGAATCGGTTACCTTGTCCTGTTTCCGTCTAAGTTAATAATCTCAGTAATCAATGACGCACAGTAATGAGAAGACACAGACAGCCCCCTGTATTAATATGCCAATAGAATATCAACCGTCCTGGAGCGTTTGTTTCTGTCCATGATACCGGCATGCATCTAGTTTATAGATGCATTATATAGCTTACTCACTTTACTTGACTGATAGCTAACTCCTTTGTAGACGCTATAGCGCACGCGCTGCAGGCAGATGATATCAATTCCAAAGCGCGCCTTTTTTTAAATAGACTACGCAAAATCCCTGCATGCAACACTCCGCTCTTTGTATTATGGGGCCCCTGGTTGGCCATGGAGAGGACTGGCATATGGTTTCGGTTTGGATCGCCCCGTTGACGAAGTATGTATAGTGCTGGTAGTGCATCTCGGCACCGCATACAAATAAAGTCTGCGCTGGCCTGCATCGCAACCTTTCATCTTTGCGTGAGTTCCCGTTGAAACACGGACCTCTAGCGGCCGTTACGGCCTGTCTAGCGAGGAGTAGGTGTACGGCCTCTTTCTAACGGCTTGGCTGCCACTCCAAAGTGCAGCCTATGACCCTCCCGCCTCTCGGATAATTTAACAAGCCGAAGGCATTGAAGGAGCCGATGAAACGGGATGACCGGCCCACTATACTTTTTCCATATGGGCCGCCTACGTCCTGTGCACAAACTCCGGCCCGCCGGGAGCCCGAATAAACGTGCTCCAGCATTCTGTCCGTAGACAACACCTACAGTATATTAAATTTCTAGGAAAGCCGCATATTTTAAAATGCAAGCACTGTATTCTTTTGTTCTCGACGTGATGTCGTAAAGGGAGGTTGGCCAATCGAAACCGATGCTTAGTGACCAACGGGTTCCCAAGACGCTTCTTATGCCGCTCAAGTCAGAAGACTGACGAGGATGGTAGATTTCATGACGACAATTTATGCAACCGTTATGACACAAGACACTAAGCATTATATACATGAGAACGCAAAGGAATTTGGTCATAGTTGCGCAGACATGAAGAAAGGAAGTACGAGTGGTAAATGCTGGTGATGACAATGTACAATAAATAGTACTGCGAGAGCTCGCGTTTTGCTGCAGTTTTTCTAATTCTTTCTGATATATCTTCGTTTGCGCTTTTAATGCGCGTTGCAACGGCATCCTTTTTTTTTTACGCGCGTTTATTTGCTTTTGTAGCAGCGGGCCGCGGGCTGTGCGTCATTGGAAAGACCGCGGCCATCTGCGGGCCGCATCCGGCCCGCGGGCCGGGGTTTATTGGAGACCCCTAGGTTAGAGGTTGGTACCAGTTGGTACTGATTCATAATGAAAGACAGTGTCGTAGTCTACCGGAGCTTCCACTCGACTCTGAAACGCATTGATATGGTCGTCTGCTTGAGGCGCATATATCACGTTTTGTTAATGCTGGACGTGAACACTCCTGGTTTGAGAAGCTATCCTAAAACACTATTTTAAACACATTACTTTTTTTCTTCTTTTGCTTGCTGTTTTGAAGAGCAGGAATTAACACTTACAGTCTCCCAGATGACGAATTCAGGTACGGGTAAAGGTGCCCGCCGTACCTAATGGGATTGGGGCCGAAACCGATCTTACAGTTGTACCACGTAATCCGTAGATCAATTCTCGGTCTCCAATTCTGAGTCGCACATTCTCAGTTTCACAACAAAGAACGGGAGATTTGAACGAGGAAGTTCAGAATGGGTTTCGTTTGGTAATTTTTCAGACATATTCCCTCTCACTGACTTCAGAATCCGTAAATAAATTCTCGGTCTTCTGCTGTGAGGTCTCGCGCACTTTCTCCGTTTCAAGACGTGATAACATTATAATGTTATCAGAAACGTGGTATCGTAATGATAGTGATGTTTTGAAACTTCCTGGATACGTTAGCTTTTCCTTAAATCGTACTACTCGCCGAGGTGGCGGAGTATGTCTACTAATTAAAGACACAATTAACTGTGAACTATTATCAGATTATTCGTGTATTACACGGGACTTTGAAGTATTAACAGTGCGCGCGAAATGTGTAATAATAAGTGTGTTTTATCGGCCTCCAGATGGCAATAGTGAGAACTTTTCTGGAATTTTTCAACACATACCTTCGTTTTGTCAATGATAATGGTTAAACCGTAATTTGTGGTGGGGATTTTAATACTGACATGCTGAAAGATACTGCATTAAAGAGGGAAATGAATATGATCACAGAAACCGATGGGTGTATGAACATAATAAATATTCCAACTAGAGTTACTGTAAGCTCTGAAACATTAATTGATCTATTTATTAGTAATGCCGATAGTGAAAATATAAAATCCGGAGTTATAAGCTACCATTTAAGTGATCATCTTCCAATATTCATGTGTTTGAAAACTAGGAACCCTAAACAAAATAGAAATAACGTATCGTACCCGTTTCAACATATAACCACCGGAAGGTTGAATGCTTTCAGACAAGACATTGCAGATACTAATTGGTGTGATATGTTTGGTTCAGAAGATGTAGATGAGCTCTATGGGCATTTCCTAAAATTATTTAAAAGCATTTATAGTCGTCATTTTCCGTACAAAATGTTTAAGGCAAGTAAAAAAATCAGAAAACCGCGGATAACACCTGATTTACTTGAAAAAATTAAAACAAAGAACGCGATGTACCAATCATTCGTTAAATCTAGAGACCCGCAAAGTCTACGGTCCTTTAAAATATATCGCAATCAACTAACAAAATTATTACGTACAGCTAAAGCTGAGTATCAAGATAAGGCGTTTAGGAATACAAATGGTCGTACGGACTTGGTTTAGAAAAAAATTAAATTCAGTGTTAAATCTTGGTTCAGGCCATCAACCAGTTGATAATATTAACCGGGACGGTGTGCATCTAAGTGGTCTTTCCTGAGCTAATGCATTCAGCGAATATTTTGCGAATTTATCTACAACAAACGTTAATACTGATCCTCGCAGATACATAGAAGTCAGAAATAGTCATTCCATGTTTCTTCAACCTGTCACAGATGCTGAGGTATTTTTTTACATTTATGCAATTAAAAAACAGCTCTAGCTGCGATTGCGATGGTCTTCAAATACGCCCACTAAAGTTCGTTATTGATATAATGGTGCCGTACGTAACCTACATTTTTAATCTTTGTTTTTCGTCTGGAGTATTTCCTACGGCGATGCAGGTGGCGAAGGTATCTGTTCTTCACAAGAAAGGAGATAAAAATAATTTCAGCAATTATCGACCGATTTCAATTCTTCCCTTATTTTCTAAAGGCCTCGAAAAAGTAATACAGTCCCGTCTGGTACAGTTTGCTAATAAACACAATTTACTCTCATCTTCGCAGTCTGGTTTCAAAAAAAAAAAAAATCGTTCCACGGAATCAGCCCTCTTGTCCCAAAAAGAATATATATTACAAAATTTTAAAGAAAAAAAAAAAAAAGAAAAAAAAAACGGTTGTTGGCGTGTTTGTAGATTTCACTAAAGCCTTGGACTTGGATCATAACATTCTGCTTTGCAAACTTAATTACTATGGTATTCGAGGGTTGCCGTTAGCACTCCTCAATTCATACTTGAGTCACCGCTTCCAATATATTAACATTAGTGGTCATTCGTCCGATAGAAAGCGTATTAGTTCAGGGGTTCCACAGGGAAGTATTTTAGGGCCCCTTCTTTTTAACCTGTATATCAACGATATTGTGAATATAGACCCTGTTGCTAAATTTGTAATTTATGCAGACGACACTATTATATTTATTTCCTCTTTAAATAGCGATGAAATTGCGGATGCTGTTAATTTTACTTTGTCAAGGTTGGCGGCGTGGGCAAAGGAAAATGGACTAAGTATTAACACTGCAAAGACAAAGGCTGTTTTCTTTCGTCCGAAAAATAAACAAATTTTTATGCTAAGGCCTATAGTATTTAGTTCAAGTCCAATAGAGATCGTGGAAAATTTTAAAACACTAGGTGTCTTTTTTTCTGAAAACATGTCATGGGATAGCCATGTAAATTATTTGGTTTCCAAATTGTCACGTGTTGTTGGTTTAACGTATCGCCACAGCCGATTTCTACCAATTCGCGTGAAATTAGTTATTTACCATGCACTGTTTTACTCACTCCTCAGTTATTGTAACCTTGTCTGGTACAGACAAGGTTACAATCAGAAACGATATCTCCTAAAGAGTTGCGTAATACATTTTTACGTATTTAAGTGTTTTGTGTCTTGTTTCTGTTATGCCATTTTATAATGTATAATTTTCTGTATGATTTTTTTTTTCTTATTGCACGAAAACTGTTTCTTCACGAGCTGCCGATGGGGCTGTGGGCCAGTCAAGCTTCTTGTTGAAGCTTTTTCCCTTTCGCTTCACCATTTCTTTAAATGGAAATAAAGATTATTATTATTATTATTATTATTATTAAGACAAAAGCAGTGAGTTCTGAACAAGTAAGTTCAGAATGAGTCTGGTCGTTTGGTAGTCTATCAGTGGCAGTCCTTCGGACAGACTTGAGAACCTCCCTCCGTTAAGTCAAAACAAAAAAAATTCGGAATCAGTTTGGACATATTTGGTAGACTGTCAGGGACAGCCCTCCTCTTGACAAACTTCGTGCATAATCCGTACTTGCACTTTCGACGTTTCAAGAAAACAACAACAACATAATAAACAAGGAAGTTCAGAATCGGTTTGGTTTTTTGGTTGTCTCAGTGACAGTCCTTCTGACAGATTTGAGCGTGGCAGAAAAACTAAAACTGTGCGCGTCGTCTGCTCCCCGGAGTTGGCGACGTTTGCGGCGCCAACTGCAATTGTATTTCCCCTCTCTCCGTTTTCGTAAGAGGCTCGTTTCCTCGGTGGTTTCGAGTTTTTTTGGGTGGGATTCAGTGCCGCAGCGTCCTCCACGGTTTGTCCTTGCCAGACCCAGAACTCTATTTTGGGGGGCGGTTGGGGCTATTGTTGTACGCCCCCCCTTCTTGTCGGAGACCCAGATCACTCCCAAGCAGCTTCAGGTAAGCTTGTATATGCGTTCTCATTCAGAACCTCTATTTACACATGACACGCAATTTGCCGTGCTCAGCAGTGATCGCGATCATTACACGCGTGACTTAGATTCATTTTCATTTGTTCATAGCGGAGCGCCGCAGTCTCCAGTTTCGGTTTCGCTTTGAAAGCCTGATCTGTCAACTTGTTGTCTGGCAGTGATTTGACGATCGCTACACCAGCTAGTTATGCAACCATCTTAACAGGCAACCATCTTAAGAAACGCCCTAAAATTGTATTAAATCGTATTGCTTACTGAGAAGGCGTAAATTATATGTTTTGTTTACTGTAGTTTCGCTTTTGAAAGGTTTCCAAGATAGAAAGCGCTCATGTTGATTAACTTTCCTTCAAAAAAAAAAAAAGAAGAAAAAAAAACCTTAATGCTACATTTACATTTAAAATAATTAAATTATAACTTCACAGAGTTACGGAGTTACTGCTTTGAATTCGCAAGCGACTCTGGCCGTTCGGTCGGTTCGGTAGCCAAGCCACTGTAGCCAAACCTTTCGCTTTCGCTTCTGCCCTTCTACCAGCTTCTGCAGCTTCTGCAGTACAGTTTTCTGTTGGCAGGAGAGAAATCAGTGGGAAAGTCCTACCAGGACTCAGGAGTACTCGAAGCATGCCGCCATGATGTCTGTTGCTGGCTATCGAAGCGTAGGCACATTGCTTAGGATTCGGCTAGGACCCAAGAATCAATGCCGCGCCGTCGGGGAGCTCTTCCAGAATCGGCAAGCCCGGTTGCCAGCGTCATCAGCACCACTCGCCAAATTTGTTCATTTTCGGTCGTTGCCGGTCCTGTGGAATTCGTTTCGGCTGTTCCGGCTTCGCTGGCATCTCCCTTTCCGCATTCCGTATCGGCGACTTCTTTGCGGAACCATGTCGGCAGCGAGCTTCGAAAGCATCCCGACCGTCAAGCTGGACAACGGGCGTTTCAAGTACATTCTCATCAAAGTTCACGACAAGAACGACGACAGCCGAACCAAGCTCATCGTTCGCGGCTCGGCCGGTGCAGCGTACCACTCTGACATCTTCGACAGCGAATCCGCCAAAATCGAAGCCATCCAAGGACTCGAACTTGAGTGCCTCGGCGGCGGGAGGATTATCCACAATCCTGACCGCAAAGAGATTAAGGTGTTCGGATATTCGCAAGGGTACGGTCAGGCGGACCACAGCAAGACGGTCGAGATTCTCAAGAACTTCTACCCGAACTATGACTCTATCACTTTCTCCAACGAAGGTTATTGAGACGATTATGCCCAGATGAGCCTCGCTTCTTGTGTTATATTAGTAACTTAAATAAATCAAGCTTTCGTCGCTTATCGCGTGTTTATGATGCAATGTTACGCATGCGCAAATGCTTGTAACGTCATTGCAGTGCCACTGTCGTCGCAACAGCAGCCATTCTGGTGGTACTGCTGCTGACTGCGTACCTTCTGCAGCGTACAATCCACACCATAGAATTCGTTTTGCTTGGCAAGAACGACTTGAAATGACCACCAGCAAGATGTAACGACATTGCGTGCAAGCCATGTATTTGTCTATGCAGATACGAAAGCAAACACAAGCCAATTTGTCGCCTGTGGGAAACCCAAAGCCAGAAAGTCCCTACAGTTTGTAGTCGATAGGCTCGTTCGATTTACCTGCATCTCCTGCACTGGTAGAGAAAAGTGTATTATGGTTGTCTTTAATAACCAGAAGTACACTGCCCTACACTTTTCTGCACTGATGCATGAGGTGCAGGTGAATCAAACGAGCCTACTGTTTTACAGCATGGTTATCTTAGACATAGAGGCTGTTCTTAGACTTGAGGTTTTCATAGATTTAACGCTTCAAGCTGAAGATTGGATTTATTTACCTAATAATATTGGGCGCCGATATGAAGCATTGGAAATGCCATGTGATCACGTGAGAACTTCCTGTCTTTATGCACCCAAGATTAGCACACTAAGAACGTGCAAGTATCCAGGCAAGCTGTAGCGCTGAAAAGACAAACACAAGAAAGAAGACAAACACAGGCGCTTGTCTTCTCTTGTGTTTGTCTTTTTGGCGCTACTGTATTAACTGTGGTTCAAAACATCCATCACCATCTAGCCCAACAACAAGTGCTTTTAAAGCTGTTTGAGTAGAGACATTGTAATTATGCTGAATAAAAAGGGACAAGACAAACTAAAAAAAAAATGTCATGTTTGTGCTTGACCCATGCACTCCTACGCTCCAGGATCCGTGAATAACTTGTGTGTGCCTTGTTTGTGGCATATTTTTAGAAGTTACTATAGTGAGCTCTGGAATGGTACATTACTTGAGATCTGCATGGAATACATTCAATTGTCTCTTGCCTCCTTATAACTGTTTAGGTTGCGGTAAGATTTCTACGATGCTTCGATTCACACTGTCCAGCAGCCCATCGCTGGTGATCATAACACATCATTTGCCACTTTTTCAATGTGCTATGGTGCACATGCTTGTGCAAACTGTTCTTTGTAGAGAAACCATCAATGAAGTTGCTGATGTTTTTTGTATTGAAAAGAGGAATTGAGATTACATATTACATCCTTAGCAATATTGCCTCATATACAGAAAGTGTAAGAGATCCATACGTCTTGGCGTAATGTTGCCTATATATCCGGTTGTATCTCTGATGCTGATGTATTACCTGGCAATGGTGGCATTTATTTTATTTGCATCAACTATTTTCAAACAGATTGGATTGGCAGGCGGCCACATCATGTGCTCGGTCACGGCAGCTCTGAACAACATAGCAGACGTCAACCTGGAGGTTGGACGGAGTCGCTATGTCCTCATCAAAGCTTACGAGAAGGAAGACGAGGACAGCTATAAGTACATTGTCCGAGGGTCGGTACTGGCTGCCAACCATACCGAGGTAATCCTGCGTATGATACCACACTGAATATGACCACTGGTGCTGCCAATAGTTGGTAGACAGAGAGACTAAACGTTTTATTTACGCCCAAATATATGCAACAAGTTAAAGAGCTCGGTAGATGCTCTGCCTCCAGCACACACTCTCTGCCTTCTCCTGAGCTTTGGCTGCATGTGCCACAAAGTGTTAAAAAACACAGAAAGCTCAAGCTCGAGGCAGAGAATCTACTGGGTTTTTAACTTGTCACCGACTGCAGATGCTTTTGAAACATTGACGATGTCCCGCAAATGTTGTTTCAGCGCTACACCAATCTATTTTGTTACAGCATTTGATGCAGTCACTGGCAGTCATTCGATGATGTTACCTAGATCTTTGTGCTGTCCTGTACATATCGCCAGTTGTGTGCCTTGCAAATGCATGCACGAATCACAAGTGTTTATTAAGGCCTTTATTACAGATTCAGAGCTGGAAGAGGCAGCACTGTAAACCGCGAAGTACCGGATCATGTTGCGCATTCTCACATTTTTAAACCGCAAAGTCGTTCAAACTTGTTATGTCAAATCTCGTAAAGAAAGCAGCTGACAAATGCAGAGTGCTCGGGGCCCTAGTGACAAAGGCTCGTTCACACACTCGCATCTACGTAGGACAGAGTTCTCGAGATCCCTTACGACAAGAGAACATGCTGGTGGTGCCATCTAGGAGGTGACCCTGGAACTGCATCACTAGAGCAACAGTTTTTGTGGCATTTGCCGGGCCCTAGCAAAGTGTAACCGTCGGAGGATTTTGACAAACATTTGTTCCACTCCACTTTTTCCGATATTTACGAGAACGAATGTATGCACCATCTACGGGAGAAAGTCGTCTATAACGTTGTCAAACGTTTTTCGAAGCCAAAAAGAATGATGCACAAAAAAGGAGCATAATGTGCGGAAATGCCAGGTGTTCCACAACTACCCGACGAGAGAATACACCAGCGTATTCTTCCATCGCGAGGGATTTTTTAACGATATCCGGAAGTTAACAAGTTTATGCACTGGTCACATAGAATAAGCTGAAATACAGTTAATACTTGTTAAATCGATCTTGAACATCAATACGCAACTGCACGCCAAATTTTTGCAAGTGTGCATGGCTCGTCGCATCAGGCGTGGCAACGTCGGAGTTGCAGGCATCGACTGATTCCCAGTTTTGATCAACACTGTCGATGGAGATTACAGAGATCGTCTAAAAACTGAGCTTCCCTCAATGCCGTAAATCTTGTTTTTCTCAGGACGGGGTCGTCTTACCCAGACGGCAGTCAAGAGCGGTCGTGGCTCTCTTTGCACGATGGCACGTCGGAGCATCTGCTGTTGCTGATGAAAACGCCATGCGCTTTGCGGTTGCAATCGAAGCATTTGGGCTCCGTTTAAAATTGAATTACCTGCGAGGAGCAGGATCAAAAATTCAAATATTGCGCTGAAGATACTCCTCCTAAAGGCAAAGAGGGTATAATTCAGCAGTGTTTTGAACACGCAAAATTGTACCGGACAATCCCTTTTAGAGCCGTGGTCGTTGGCAGTCGCAAGAGTGTAAATCGGCCTTTTGTCCGATCCTCTGCAACAGATCTGGGGGGGGGGGGGGAAGACCCGTTGTGGGTTGAAGTGTGGCAGCACGAAAACCTGCAGCGTGCTTTTTCCAGGTCTACGACAAGGAACAGGCCGCCCTGAAGGCAGCCGGCCTGGAGAGTGAATGCGTAGGGGGCGGCTACATCATCCACCTTCCGGACACCAAAGAGCTCAAGGTGTACGGGAATTCGCAGACATACGGCAAGGCCGACCACGCCAAGGCTACCGAGATCCTCAAGAAGCAGTACCCGACGTACAGTTCCATCACGTGGTCCAACGACGTCATTGTGTAGTGTGCCGCCGTCTCCGAATTCCAGGGTTGCCGCCTCTCGTGGGAGGCCAGCTTTTAAACTTTGAAACGAGTTTGCTTGGCGTGGTTTCTGGAGCGACCCCACATAGACGAAGGGAGGGACGTGCACCCCAAGGGCCGACCGATGAGAAGGGAAGTCTCCCTGAATTCCTCCTTTCCGTTCAAGAAAATGGGAGGCCCTTCCCCTTTCTGTGGGAAGTAGCTCAGAGACCCGCTTCTATAGAAAGAGTGCATGAGGGAGTGGAGAGGAAACAGGGAACTGGTTTTATTCCTGGCAGATTACTATCCTGTAGGTCGGCCTTTAATTGAAAATCGGTTCAGCTGCAGCTGGACTATGAAACTGGTGTTAGAGGAATCCAGCTGGAAATTACTTAGTTCAGCGAGGTCCACTTCCATAATTCAGCTACAGCTGGGCCGATTTCCACTGAAGGGCATAATTTATATTTGAGTTTAGATCCATGCTAAGTTGTGGGAAGCATGTGCTTTCCACAACTCGAAGGCTCCTACGGCTTCGGGAATGCTGCACATAAATTGCGAGCTGGGCTACTGAGGATGTTGTAGCGATCAGCATGGAAAGTTCCTGTAGCAACAGTGAGGATACTGGTTCTTTAGCAAAGCTCATAGGTGGCTAACTACTGGAATCTATTCAGAGCTGCACATGTTTCTAGTGTGGTGGTTTAAAAGAGCCGCTTGCAGTGGTCTTGGAGGCAATTTTTGATTGCAGTTTCGAATGGTATGGTATCGCTGCAAACCGAAAGAATCCAAAATCTGGGAAACCAGTTTTGCAAAAGATTTCTGGTCCAATGTCTATGCTGGACATGCAGACCGCAAAAGCAGGCTGTGGTTATTTCACCTGGATGTTGTTGCTGCTTTCTGTCCTAGTTTTGCAAGTGTTACAAAAATAAAGCAGTTTTAATATTCAAATCTCAGTAACAGCTTTTGTATTTTATTTTATATATTCTGTATAGTACTTTATAGCAGTTTGGAATGGCTTTCACTGTATAGTCATCTAGAAATGTTAACTGAATGAGACCGAATGAAACCATGTTGCCCAAACTTCCCGACACTACCCCAAGCGCTGAAAGTCTTTGTAATTGTAGCGATCACCTATTATGTCTGCTGTGCACCAAAATGGCAGCACTTGTAACAAACCCCCGAAACAGACTACCGACACTAAACGCAGCAGACGTAGTGGCTCTGGCCATGCCTAAAAAGGAGGCCACCGAGATGTCGCGATTACAAAAACACCCTTGGTTTATTGTACAGAGATGGCGAAAAACAGAACCCCCGGTGAAAGTGATTGAACAATGTCCTTGTCCCAACTGGTCCCCCACAGGTGAAGCAGAGACCACTCATAACTCCTCCTTGGCCCTCTTGGCTCCGGAGCGGTCGTAGGCCTTGAGCTCGTCCGTGGCGTGCTTGGCAATCCATTTGATGAAGTCGTCGTGCTCCCGGCCTCCTTCGTACCGCCGCGGGTTCTGCTTGTCGTTCTTGGGCAGCCAGTACAGGGTGGGGAAACTAGGAAGGAAATGCCACTCTCTCAAACCGTAGTCCTCTCCCCCTCGGTACGGCCAGGGAAGGTAAAGCAACGTAGCCCGTACTCCCATCTCGGAGCTATTACTAGAGTCCCCGACTAGGAAACATCTGTCCTATAGTTACGGGTACTGGTAAATCTCGGCCCTCAAAATGATGGCTACTAGAATCTTCACCAGGCCCATACTTGTGCTCTCCACTGATACGGGTTCTGCTAGCCATTTTTATCTAAAGCTGCAGGGTTTTCACGAGCCACCGAAATTTCCAACTCTGGCTCGGCACTGCGAGGGTTCGGCAACTAATCTGCTGGCACATGTCTGCACATACTTATTTTTGTGCTAAAAAGATAAAGTGAGCTAGGCATAAACATATATGTGATGACGGGATATAACAAAAAAACACAGAACTAATTTAAAAACAAGACAAAAAACAATGGTTCTCAAAGCACTTGTAAACAAACGAAAGTACCCTAACTACCAAAGGTAGACCTACCCCCAAGCATATCTTGTTTGTGGCTGGTGCATACAAGGTAATTCAGGAAATCAGTGGAGCTACAATACTTACCCAGACACCTCAAAGGCAGACGGCACATCATTGGCTGTGGCATCCATCTTCACAACTAGGACATCCTCGTCAGCAAGCTGCAAGGAAAGTAAAACGTAATTGTCACAAAGTGTCACGCAGAATAGAGAGCAGATTTCGAACACATCAGCATCTTGTATGCTTAAGAATCTACCATGTCTGCACCCAAGATCTTTTCTGCCGTAAGCAGAAGCTCAAGAGACGTGGGCATGCACCTATCCGTAAAGCCGTGGACATCTCGACTTGAAAAGGAACTCCCAAAAAGCCCCAGAGTGGCAGCAGCCATTTTTAAACGAGAGCCCCTTCAGGGTACTAGACTCAATAAACTGGAGGCCTAAAGAAGCCCATTCTCTAAGCGAAACATGAACCGTTGCTCCTAGGCTTCCAGGGGGTCCCCGTTTAGCTCACACATCTGGAGGTCCAACGACAGAACTTCCACAACATCTTGCACACAGAAAGGGTGTCCTGTAAGCATGCCCCCAGACCAGACAACTCACCGTCTTGCCCACTTCCTCGTAGGTAGGGGCCAACTTCTTGCAGTGTCCACACCAGGGGGCATAGAACTCGATGAGGACGTCCTTGGTGCTCTCCGTGACCAGGGACTTGAAGTTCTCTGCCACCGCGACCTTGACCGGTCCGTCGTTGGTCTCCGGCACGGGCTCGGACTTTAGGTGGGCCTTCACTTTGCCAGCAAGGTACTCCTCCAGGAACTTCTCCAGGTTCTCGACGCTGAAGTCGTTGGTCATGCGGAACTTCTCGTTCTCGCTGTTTCGCACGGCGATGGCAGGCTTGTTGGCCTTGACCGTCACGCCGTAGTCGTCCATCTCGGCAGCAAAGCTGTCCTTGTTGCTCACAGCAAAATTGAGCTTGCCCTTGTAGTTCTGGGCCACCTTGAGGATGCGGTTGCGCCAGTAGTTGGTGCCTGCGAGAACAAGGGTCTGTTAGAGTCTCGAGCTAGGAAAGGAGTATGGTGGGGACCTAGTAGAGCACACCTACCCTTGGCGTTCTTGGTGTAGTCTACGTCGTAGTAGGCAACCAGGAGCGGAGCCTGGAACATGTTATAGTTGTCCTGAGTCCTGTGGCCCACCAGGCCATGGCTGAAGGACAGAAAACACAGAGTCAGAAAAGATATCACCTGCCCAAAACTTTATGGGAAGGAAGGAACCCAACCTGCGAGATCTCTACTGTCTAACCTTTACCAGTATTACCCAGATATGATTTGCAGCTGTAAAATTGTTGTACCTAATGAGGCCTATTACTGCCCGTGAGCCAGTCGTAGTGGCTACTATGACTTCCAGATGGTTGCTACTCGACAAGGTTATCAGCAATGCAACTATGCCTACAATCTACCTTGACTAGCTAGTCAAGCTATTCTCGTTGGCTACCTTGAGTATGACGTAAAAAAGCGGGCACACTGAAATAGAAAATATGCAAGAGAACAGGAAAAAAAAAAGGACAGACGAGGGTTTTTGTTTTCACTGCCGTTTTCTTGCTGGTATTAACATAGCTGAAGAGAGTTTTTTCAGGCATCAGTGTGGAGATCCTATGCTACAAAAACACCAGATCTATCAGCATTGCACGAAGAAACTGAAGCATCAATGCTAAATAACTGCAGAGGCATCAGGAGAGAGTGAATCTTACTAGTTCTCCTTGATGAATGTCTCCAGTTCCGCCTTGTCATCAGAGCCAGAGTAAACTGCAAAGCTCTCCTCAAACTTGTTCTTGAGAATCTTGGGTCGGAACAGCACAACTTGGCTGCAGACAAGAGAAAATGAAGAGAAAGGCTTGGGAATAGTCTTTAAAGAAACTTTCAGGGATGTTTTACAGGACAAAAATGTAAAGCTTCTAGATAGGCCGGGACATCACTCACTTTTTGTAGCCATACTTCTTGAGCACATCCTTGTCAAACGAGTGCCCGAAAGTCCAGGCCTCCCGCTGCTTGTCTGCAACCTTGAGGAAGTTTTCGTGCAGGCTGGCATCCTTGCTCTCGAAGAAACCTGTGCGGCGCCAAAACAGTAGATTCCATTGCTACTTCGCTACATCTAGATGTATCACTATCAGCCTTGTCTAGATGGGATAAGTCTGGGCTTCAGAGCTGATCTTGTAAAAGGTATGGTAGCGAACACCGTGCGCTCGTTAGTTGATATAGCACTCACCAAAAATGACAACGTCGTCCTTCGACAGATACTTCTCGACTTCAGCAACAGACAGAAGTTCCTTCGAGCTTGGTCCCACCTGGGCCTTCATGTATTTAACGATGCCACCTGTTGTGACAACAGAAAATGTTAGAAACACAAGTTTGTTTGTTTTTATAACACGTTTGAACATTTCAGGAGACTTTGAAAGCAATTCAATAAGACTTTAAAGCTTGAGCGACGTTCTACTGGATATCTGGAAAAGAGACTTCAAACCACGCAGAGCTCTCTCAATACGGTGACCACATTCAAAACTTTCCTCGTGAGTTCTTTACCGGCCTAAGTGCCCAAGCGAACTTGGATCTTCAAACAAGGATAAGCGAATACACACGTACCGGCTTCCCTTGGGCCATTGTAATCCGCCGAAAACTCTCCACCTCTGAAGATCTTGAGGGTGGGGTAGCCGCTGACTCCATGCTTTGAACACGTATCTTTTCCACCGTCGGAGGTACAGTCCACCTGTCAGAACCGGCATATTTTTCTTTTAAGTCCGATTCTCAGGCTTAGCGGACGAAGATGATATCACCTTTATCAATGGAACTGGAGGGTCGTTGGTTTTAAGTTCGGTAGCTGCTTTTTCGTACTCGGGCGCTAACCTCTTGCAGTGTCCGCACCTGTAACAAAATGAAAGCGTAGGCGGTGAAGTGACGTGTTAAAAGCGAACACCGTCGAGCCGGCTTTTCAGTTCCGCTTTTAGGGGATCGCGTCCAATAGTCACGTCAGCCAATTAAGCTAAGGGTTCCCGAGTTCCGCAACTCACCATGGAGCGAAGAATTCGACTAGTGCTGCGTCGTGGTCCTGAATCTTCGTGTCGAAGTCCGCCGAGTAGTCGAGGACATCGCTGGCAAGCGCAGCGGGGATTAAAACCGCTAGCAAGGGAAACCACCTCATGGCTGCTGACCGAACCGCGACTCTAACCTCACGACGGAAAAAAAAGGCAGTGCCAAGTGCCGGCTTCTTTAAAGTTGGGAAAACAACGTGGCTAAACGCAGAGCGTCGCCGGGCGAGTTGTGCTGTCGGGCGCTGATTGGTTTGGGGCGCCTTTGTAAGTTGTGACGTCACTGACAGCGTCCGCTGTCCTTGGTTGCCAGCAGAGGTTAGCATCGCGTGCAGTGCTCGGCGCTCGCGAGTTTTTCCTGGGTTCTCTTTTGATTGGATTTTTCAGCCTTTGGTTTTTCCTGGCAATGACTACGACACGGGCTTTGGAGCGAGGCTCTTCTTTATTTTCCACTTTCGGTCGCACGCGCAACAAGCTGAGGCAAATGTCACTCGTGCACGTTTCGCTTTTGTTTTGTTGCGGTTTCTTGATTTCGATGCGTGGAGCAGTCGGATTTGCGGGTTGGGTCAAGACACTCTGTTCTGCTATGCTTCCTTTTGTTTAGTCACGTTCGCGTCGACGACGCAAAGCAACAGCTGTGGTCAACGTAGCTCCTGCGTAGTGACGTGCTGTCGTTGCTGTTGACACGCAAAGAAGTGTGTTGCAGCAATATTTTTGTAACCACATATCCGTGTAAATGTTCAGTTCACGGCGGCAGATCCACAAATCGAAACCAAGCGTGTCTGCCTTGGCCTGCCCCCCCCCCCCCCCCAAAAAAAAAAAAAAAAAAAAAAAAAAACAGAAATAAATTACGCATCGTCGAACCAGATGCCAAAGTGTCTGAACTAACCGTTACCTCGTTCAACAGTTATGTGATTTTTTGAAATTTTAAGTGGAAAAATCAACGTAACTCAGCTCCGTCGAACACCATAAGATAGCTCTGAAACTTTAATTAACATCTGCAGGTTCCAACGTTACTTTGAGAATGAGCGTTGAACGATGTTAACAACGCTTACTTCATTTTTGCAATAATTTTTTTTTTTTTTTTTTTTTTTGAGGGGGGGGGGGGGGCGTTTTGTAGAATTTCCCGCAGAATGCAGAATATTGTCTCAAATATGTGCTATTGTCGCGTAAAACATGTACAGAGATATTTTTGCACCATGTCGGTGTATTGTTCAGTTCACGACGACGATTCTGCTGGAAATCCACAAAAAGTAACACGTTCATACTGTCCATACCCCGGAACACGATGTAAAAGCGTAAAAGGTCGAGCCCTTGCATTTGATCGTCCCTGAAAAATGCTCAGAGGAAATAGCACAAAATACAACCCCTGATAAGGCGTTTTTCTTTCTTTTTTTCTTTTCTTTTATTCTGGGACTACGTGTAGACAAAAAACATTAAAAAAAAACCGAGTTCGAAAGCATGCGGATAGTCATGTACACGAGCAAACAAGTTTCTCTTTTCTTTTTTTCTTTTTAAGCTTGTGATTGCATCCGTTTTGGAGTCCGGATTCGTTCGGTAAAAGCAACGTTACAAGCACAACTGGGTAAAGGCAAAGGTAAGGGTAACGCAAACGTGGTGGACCGTCGATCAGTGGTCGTCAACTGCTCAGTCGCTCCGAGTCAGCCTTCCCACACCGTGTCCGAGTCCGACGGGAGATTTTCCGCATCCTCATTTTGGCCCCTCTACCACCTCTACCTCCCCCTAATGACGACACAGCTCAGGTGGATAAACGAATCCGGCTGAGCCCCTAAGATCGGGCGGTAGCTTACGCCACCTAGCCATTTTGTTTTACCATTTAAGCTTAGAAAATTTAAATGTGAAATTTATATTCACTCCGCACTGCAAAGAAAGTGAGGCTATAAAACCTCCTTGCCATCAGTTAATAAAAAAATACCTAGTTTTCTCTCGCTTTCTGCCACCATTCACTTAATCTTTACTTGGTAATCTCTACTGTCTTGAAATCCACTCTCCCTTCGCTGTCTCTAAAACCCAAATCTATGTTGTCTTCGGTAGGCATAGGGTGAAGCACTTTACAGTAGAGTATCAAGTGCTTAGCCGTCTCGTCATTAGTTCATTAGTCTTTCATTAGTTTACCTGCCGCGATCCTGGCGGCGAGACAGTAGTAAAGATGAAGACGGCGGGCGCCTGGTCGCCTGTAGCTTTCTCTCCAGCTTTAACACTACACGGAAAATGACCACAGTCGCGAAATGGGACGCATGGAGACGCTACGACGACAGCGACACTTGCGTTCACCCTAAAATAGTCACGTGTCACTTATTTTGCATCATAGCGCTTTTTGTTTGTAAAAACTAAAAAAATGATAAAAAAACCCAATGTCGTAAAATTTGAATAAATACTAAAAAAACTAAACTTGCTCAAACTGCATTAAGAACAAAACATTTCGCCCAGAAAGAGTGACCAGAGTGACTCTGATGACATCAGTGACACGGAACAACGACAATCGTAACAAACGAACACACCTTCAAATATGGCCGCCTTATCATTGTCTCTGCCCCCGCAACCGACGATTGAATTTCCCGTCTGCTTTAATGGTCTTTAATGGAGTATCTCCGCGTTTGTGTGCGATGGCTCATCCTCTGCGTCCTGGTGACACCGATTTCGGTGATTGGTGAGTCGTGAGCCCTCCTCGATCACCGTTTTCAAACCAACGCTTCGTGCGCGCTACTTCCTTCGCATTGTTTTGAAAGGCAACTGCGTTTTGTTTTTGTCGAATAATTCGACCTCCAGAGCTGCGTTCCTCCGTGGTCGAACGTACTTATCTTCAAGTTGTTTCTTTCAAGTCGACTTGTTCAGACAGATCGCCTGTGAATGGCAAACTGACGATCTTCCCGAAGTCCTTTGGTGGGCGTATGGCCTTTCCCGAACCAGCAAAGCTGTTCGACATTTTTTAAAGTCGACTCGGACGGGCGAGTGATTTTAGCTCTAGCTGGCGAGCTAGTACTGTTTGGTGGGGCGGGTGGTGGACGTATGGTCTTGGGAAGTTTCACGCCCGCGTTGCTACAAACTCCATATTGAGCTTTAGGTCGACATGATTTCAATTCGACCCTGACAACAAAGTTATCGAGTTGAGTTTAAGCAAAAAACAGTTCCTTACTTACTGCTAAAAACATACGAGTAATTCTTAAAGACGCAGAGTTCCAGAGTTACAGGTTTTCCTGTAAACAGTGCAACATTAACACGTCCAAACATTACGTTACAACAAAGATAAGTAAAACGCGTTTTATTTTTGCTTAGAAATATCTGCAGAATCGGAAGCCGTTTTGACCTTGGTTTTGTGTCTACACAGCTTAAGGGGGTGGTGCAGGTTGTCTCTAAACTGGGGTTAAATGAGGCCTGACTTGTTTAGGGAATATTGCCCCTAGTGATTATTTGTGATTGCCTATGAACAGTACTTATGATACAGCACATTGAGTACAATTGTTGTTGCTTAGGCCCGCTTCAGACAGAGCAATTTCACCCAGCAACTTCACGTCGCAACGCCAGCAACACGGGCCGTCCGCGTTCACAGGCAGCAACCGGATTGCTACGACTTGCTATCATCATCGTTCATTTTGAATTTTCTTGCACTATTTAGATGCCCAGCCACGCGCTAAAAACATGTCTTTATATCTTTGAATGGCGTTAAGAATACTTACTCATCTTTCTGCAAAGGTTTATTTCCAAAAACGATAGATTTCAAACCAGAACTAAGTCTTTAGCTGTCATCATCACCACCACGGGGGTGTCATGTAAAAATATTGAGTCCCCGATTGGCTGCTGCCGCTTCAAACGGCTGCGAGTGTTCGAGTTGCTCGTCCGTTTCGAGCCGAACCTGATCTCAGCAATTTGCGTCGATCTAGGGAAAGGTAGGGAACAACCTGCCAGCAACCTCAAAATTGCTGGAAAAGTTGCCCCGTCTGAAGCGTGCCTTATAGAAGTGTTATCATTTCTATAGCATATGTACCCTACAATAAATCATTTGAACATGCAAGTACAAAGAGTTAAGCCGTGGTAGGCTGCTGCAATTAACCCCAGCTGCATAGATATATTCAGTTTATTGCTGTAAGTTCCAATATCTAAAACAATATCAAAGATTAAAAAAAAAAGCCTCTTATTTTCCACAGACACTCTTGGAAGGAAGTAGATGGATTAATGAATATATATGACTTCATCCTTTGAATTGGGGGCAGAACAACTCTTGTCGTGCTGTGCATATATTTTGCTTATAACTGATGGTTATAACACTTGCTCTGGTCAAGCCACTGACATGGAGCAATTCCTCCTCAACTGTATGCAAAAGGACACTGCAAAATCTCCGTCTGCATAAACACAGAAAACTTTGGACGTCGATTCGACTAGATTTTCCCGGAGTAGCTGGACTACCAGTATTTGCTGGTGTCGATCATATAAGACTTACCTGAATGGTTTTCTCCTTATCTATACTTCGTTTCACCCCCAAGAGCAACCGATGCTAAGAGCCGATATAGGTCCAATTGATCAGTGTCAAAAGTGCAACATCACTGCGTTTGTCATCTTTTTTTTTTTTTTGCGTATTTTATTGCCGGCTTATCTAGTGAACACAGAATGTGTTGTGACTCGGATTTTGTGATCTCTGAGTTTATTATTCGTCAAATTCAGAGGTTGTTTTTCAGAGTTTGTTTTTTGACGAAACTTCAGAGTTTACCAGAGTTTGTTTTTGTTTGATTCCCAATTCTCCGAACTCAAGGAGTTTAATTTTGCAGTGTTTCCTACTTCTCAAAAATAAAACTAAATAATATCCAGATATGCGTATGCTAAATCGAAACAACAACAACAAAAAAACAAAACACACTTGTATAATTTAGTTTTTTTTTAAGCTGAATTTGACATTGGTGCCATTGCCATTGGCAATGCTAAGTTGTCCCATTACAAAAATTGTGAACAAATGTTGCTTTAATAAACGTCGATACCTTAAAATAAAAAACATTTCCTGGGGCCCTAATCTACACGGCGAGACCAAAGGACCAGGAGATTGCCACCTGTTGTGATTGGCCTGCTCCGTACTGCTGTCCAATCTCAGCAGGCGGCGATTCCCCGGTCTCTTGGTCTTGCCGAGTGGATTAAGGCCTCAGGAGGTAGTCGCTGGGAAGCTCTTGCTCGTCCCGTCCTATTCTATCCACCTTCCCCGCGGCTGTGCGGGGTGGGGTGGTAAAGAATACCCCTTTTGTCGATGGTCCGAGATTTTCAAGATGACTGCGGTGTTGTTTTCTCAGGACCATTGACCCCATGCACTGATCAAACATTTTTGTAAAATACTGTCTCTTTTTTTTGGCATTGGTACATTTATTTTTGGAGTCTGAAGAGAAATCCGAATTTAAACAAATTTCAGTGGTGGCCGTTTTTTGGACTTGTCTGAAAACACGGAACCCTAGTGGTGGACCTTCTGGTTGTAGCCTATATGTATGTGTTTGTGTATGTTCCAGCCTTCGACTGCACCTGGACTCATGTTGAAACAAAGTATAGTACTGTACTCTAAAGCTTACTTATGATTAGGGTTCCATATTTTTCAGGATTTTGTTTTCCTTAAGTTCAAAGATTTTTTTTTGTTCTTCACAGTTTTAGTGTTTTTTAATCTAAATTCTGAATGTGAAAAAAAAAAAAAAAGGATTTAATGGTTTAAGAAAACGAGACACGAGCATAGGATTGCCCGACCTCCAAGGAACATGTGCGCGACCCGAATGCTTGGAACATGTCCTCATATTAATGCAAGAGGCAGACGAGATAAAGTATGCGGTCCCAAAGAAAGCAGCAGCGTCACGGACAGATCAGTGGGGGCTGCCTTGCAGGCCAACACAAAATAAAGCCGTGGATGAAGAGTTTCAACCCGCGAAACTCGGGTTTTTCTTATTCGAAAACGGCTCCCATTCTGGGTTTTGGGTTTTCTTGTGATTTTGATAAAACCATCTTAGGGGTGGGTGGGGGGAGGGGAGGGGCTAATTTTTGGGGTTGGTTTTTAGTGATAGCACTGAACCCTACTTACGTGTTGACGAAAAGCAAAGCTACAGTCTACTGTGTCTGAATTCAAATGCAGCGGATGAGTGCGATGCTGAGCGGTGCAAAACAGACCACAATCCAGAAGGGAAGCCCTGTGGTCCGGCCAAGTATCGGGATTGTTTAGAAGCCATAGCCAAGCAGTGCCACGAGAACCTTCATTACCGTCTGCTCGTCGCGGGTCTGAAGAACTGCACGTCGGCGGACGATGCGGCGGCCGTGACTCCGACGAGTTTGCCGCAGCCGCCGGAGGCAACCTGCCAATGGCTGTTGGGTACGTAGCACGGCCAGTTCTTGTGGCATTAATTTTTCTAACTGACTTCTGATTTCTACATTGCACGAGGCAGTAAGCCTAAACGTGGCGTCGGCACTCCGTTGTAGTTTACTCGTCCAGATCGGAGTCTGAACTATACCTGCCATATGTTGGTGTGGCGGGTGTAGCTCGAAACAACTCCTTCCCGTTTGAACCCGTGACGTTAGAACCCATATTAAAAACATCCTTAGCATTTGAACCCATCCCATTACAGCCCATTCCCAAAATGCCCGGTACATCTCATCCCTTTTTCTAACAGACTTCTGTACTCTGACCCTTGTCTGAACATCTTTCTTGTTTAAAAACGTTTGATGTGTATTTGTTTTGTATTTTAATCTACTATATCAAAGACATGCATTTCTTTCAAAGACTTGTGCACATAGGGTATTTCTACTTTAGCCACCCTTTAAGCAAGTTCTTGAACATAACCCCTCAGGTACGCTTCTGCAGAACTGACTTTGCGCAATAAGAAAAACATTTAATGGGTGATAAATCAGACCGGTAAGACAGGGCTGCAATTGGGACTTCATTTTTGTTTTACATTTTCAGTCAGACAATCTTTGTGCTAACAGAATATTCAGGGAACCGAAAACGCCTTTGCCTTGTTCAGGAAGTCAAAGAAAGAAATCACTCACACCGTTAGAAAACCTACACTCCAGTTCAGATATTCTGCTATTTTTGGTGATCCACTTGTGCTCCCTGACCTGCACAGCACCACCATTTGCAAGTTGCAGCAAAAATATCCTTGTCCAAGCCTTATTCTCCTTGATCAAATGAATAAAACTAGAAATGTTCAGGTGGGCTCTCCCTGACATTGTGTTGATCTGTCGGTGCCATGACATTATATGATTAGAGCCCTGAATATCTGCGGATCATCCACAGATATCCGTAGTAAACTGGCGGATGCAGATAAAAATGAATCAGATTTGATGGATTTTGGATCGGATGCGGATGCCAAGGGCTGCGTATATGGATCGGATGCGGATATCCCCTGGTCCAGATCTACATTTTCGTCGAGGCGGCCCACAAATGTGTGCGACCAGAGAGTGTAGAGGGAAAAGTGAGTGATAATAGAAAGTGCACAATTGAATGTTTTGCGGGAGAAAATTACTCTCCAAGAAAAAGTGTCGGTCAGGGGGAAAATTGTTCCTTACGTCAAGAAAGACACGATTTTAACGAAAGATTGCTTTTAAGCGTTCTATCTCGCCAAAAATGCTGTCCCTAGAAAAAGAAGAAAAAAAATTCAGGAGCATCAATTGTTTTGGGAAAGTGTGTTCTTGTTTGGCAGGGAAAGAGCAGAAAACGTTCTTGGGGCAAAGAAAACCCAAATTGTCCAAGCCACAACAAAGCGGAAGACTCATCGACAGGTGAAACTTGGCATGGCGTGTGTGCGCATGTGTTTTTTCTCTCAGCAATTGGCAAGTTGATGTCAAGTATGTGGTTCAAAGCACGGAATTGCGGGTTTGTGCTTAAAACTGAGACCAATATGAGGTGCTGTCATTATTGGATATTGTCATATTTTTCCAGTGGTGTACGCTCGTCTTATCACACATGAAATAGTACTTTGATGCGGTGGCTGACGGGCTTTCCTCTCCTACTCTTTTATTGTATGACCTAAATAAAATGACACAATGTTGTTAGTCTTTCTTTTATTAATTTTAATGGTTGGATAATACGCTTCTGGTTAAAGTTGGTGTTACAAAAGAAAAAGAAAATATTACAAGACAGGTACCTTGTTGGTATAAAAAGAACCACGCACGCAGTGTCTGGAACCGGTACGAATGCCAGTGCCATAATTTTTCTCATAAGCAACCTAAACATACCGTCATGCGTGTACGTTAGGTCATTAAGGAGGAGGAGGGATTTTTGAGCTGACTCAACTGATAACCTCCCGTCAAGGGCAAGATGACAATGATCGAAACCTGAAGGTTGTTCTGGGAAAGGGCAAGTGATAGAAGTTAATGTGAAAAGGTTTTTTCGGGTCGAATTGAAACTGGAAGGTTGAAATAAGTACCACCTGGTGTGGCACATTAATGGATTCTGTTGCACTAATGGTACTTGGAAAGGAGTCTCCTGGATGTCTCAGCATGGCAGACAACGTTTTTCTACGAGTATTAGCTTCTTCGGAGCCTGAAGCTTCCTCTGATGCCTGATGCTTCAGGACCTTGAAGTTTCTCCAGGGCCCTGAAGCTTCCTACGGCCTGAAGCTTTTTCAGGGACCTTGTGCTTTCTCAGGGCCTGAAGCTCCCTGAGGGGCCTGGCGCTTTATCAGGAGCCTGAAGTTACTCCAGGGCCTGAAGCTTCTTTAGAGGTCTGAAGCTTTCTGAAAAACCTGAAGCTTCCTGAAAGGCCTGAAGATTCCTGGAAGGCATGAAGCTTCCTGGAAGGCCTGAAGCTGCCTCAGAGGCATGAAGCTTCTTCAGGAGCCTGAAGCATCCTCAAAAGCCTGGAGATTCTTCAGGACTTGGGAAGGAGCTAAACCTCATAGCAAAATGTTGTCTGCCATGCTGAGGTTCCGAGGGAACTCCTTTTCAAGGTCTTACTACCCCTTTGGTGGCAGTGCTTTGGTCGTGCAAGAAGACTGGTATGGATTCAGGACCTCTTCTGTTGGGGCTAACAGTTTTACGCTCTGTACATATCATATCGGCTTCCGTGCCATCTCCACCATTATCGTTGTCGTCATTCTCAATGTCATCGTTGCCAAAGTTGGTGTCTAACAATGTTTGTTCTTTTGGACGCCGTTTCATGGTGATAGCCAAACTATGTGTTGTCTACAAGTGATTTAATGTGGTGGGGTGGGCATCGCTACCCGATTTGGTTTTATGCGGTGCATTCGGCGTTGGTTCAACATTGGTTCAATGTCTTTGTGCAGCTGATGGGGGGTATGGCCAGTGTGGCCTGTACGGTGACCCCCATCTCCAGACGTTTGGCGGCAAGCTGCAGACGTGCCGAGCCGTGGGGGCATGGCCCATGGTGGATAACGCCTACCTCGCCGTTCAGGTCACCAATAGCCACGCCGGCGCAACTGCTACCGTCGTCTCAAAGGTGAAAAAAAGTTTGTTCCCGTGACATTCTTGCAGCGTTCAGTGGCCTGTTGCAGGTTCAGAATAGCGGGGCAAGCCCTTCCCTCAAAGCTCTCTGCTCGCCGCTAGTGGGGGTCTCCTCATCTTCACTTCCAGTGTTCACTTTGCTAAAGTGGAAAAAGTGGAGGGTTTTGTGGAAAGAGATTGTCTTGCTTTTCCTAACCTGCAACGGACTCGAGTATCATTTTTGCCGCATTCCCAAATTGTTCTACAATGGAACCCCGATTATACGACTTTTGCTGCACCATACGAAATCTTTTTTATAATTCGTGAGTCGTATCATTCGAAAAAACTATAATTATAGATACAGTGATCGGCCTCGTGTGAAAAAGACAAGCGAGGGTTTTAAATGATTTAAATTTAAAAGCAAAAACAATCGAAACAAATGGTGTCAATTTGCGAAACATTGTTCACCAACGTGCACAATCGCGACGATGGGATCCTTGTCGCCTTTCATGCTTTCCAAAAGCGGGAGAGGCGGGAACCAGCGGAAGCTTGGTCACTCCTGGGGGAAGCAACGAGTTGGAGGAAGTGGCGTGCAGAGGAGAGCGAGGTTAAATGAGAGACAACAGAACGATGAGATGAGTGGAACAAAAACGCAACACGAAATCGTCAAGGCATTTCACTACCCAAGCAGGAGAAGGGAAAGCTCTGTTTCCTGGTCCCTCTTGGCGCTGCGGCTGTTTTGGGTTGCCGGCGGCGTGTTTTTGGACCCTCTGAAACGACGTGCAGGCGCGGAAAACTTTGCCGCGTTGCCCCCCTCCCCTCATGCAGCTGTCAAATTCGTCGTGCGTTTTTTGCCGGAACGTCGTATGACGCAGGATACATAGAATTGCACCTCGTGTAAACTGGATTTTAATACATTATTTTTATGAGGAGTTTGTCGGGACCGGGCAAATTCGTCGTAAAAGGCGGGATGTCGCATAAACCGGGGACGCATAATCGAGGCTATGCGTCCCCGCCTCCCCTCCTCTTGGAGTAAATAATAATATAGTAAATGATTAATTTATATATATTTACATCTAATTTATATAAGGTATGCAGCAGCACGAGGTCTATATTTGAACATATAGATATCTCTTGCTCAAATTCTTTAGCACGGTATATCGCAAAATCAAACAAAATACTCCAAGAGCTGCCCTCTAATTTTGCATTACAGCGATTTATAAACATCTTCCATTTTTTTCATTGACATTTCAGTCGTCATATTTTGTGCAAATGAGGTTATTTACAGTAACATCACATGGTGGGAACTATATCTGCCCTAAAAATATCGAAATTTTTTTTCACCATATGCTTCAATTCTAGGTTTTTTTTTTTTTTTTTTTTTTTTATAAACTTCTACTCAGTCAATTCTTATGAACTTGTTTTTTTTTTTAGGAATAACTAAAGTTGCTAACTAAAGCTATTTTTATTATGGTGTTTCTATTATGATAACACTGATATCATGCAATTGGGCATTGTTATGGCCTTTATTTTATGGCCTCCAATTAGTCTAGAGTTTTTCTGCAGATTATTTGGTTTTAAAGAAATAAAAATAGTTTTAGCTTGTTTGGCATATCTCAAAACCAACCGCTATCAATAAAAAAAAAATCTATTTCAATAGGAAAGTGTTTTAAGACCATGAAACAGATACCTCAAATCTGATTACATTTCTGGAATCAGCATAGCCAATCACATACCCATGCCAAATATCAGAGAGAATTAACTCTTTAAAAAAACATTTTTAAGAAGCCATCTTCTTGTTTAAATCATCTTTATTTGGCCTTCAGGATTACGAATATCAAAATTATATTTCAGATTGATGCGCCAGATTGATGCGCCATTTTGAAAGCACAACAGTGCTTTCAAAATAGTCTGGAAGCCCCTTCTTCCCGTCGCGTTTGGTGCAAGGGTGGAATCGTGACGCATTATACAGAGATCTAAACCTTTCCGCAAGTCTTGCCCGAGCAGTGAAAAGTGCTGCGCGCGTTCCCTCACAAACAGCATGTGCAAGACAGCTAGCTGAAACTTCTGGGTATGACGTCGCACCCAGTGGTTACATTTCCGGTTCTTCTCGCACCTATTGGTAAATTCGGGTCAAATCCTTGTGATATTCAACTTCGCAGGACAAAAATACGCTAAGAATCACCTCCATTTTTTTTTTCTTTTCAAGAATCTTTTTAGCTTCCTTTTAAAGGAACAGCTTGGCATGCGGAATACGAAGCAGAGACGCGCCAGTGACTCGCTGTTGTATCTCGACGTAAGCGTACTTAACATAGCATAAGAAAAGGGTGCCGCGTGAACCAGCCTATATTTCGTTTTTTTTAGACTGCCTGCTTGACGTCAAGGCACCGAAAAGTGTGGGTTTATTCGAACGATGGTTTTGGTACCAGCTTCATTTGTTGATTTTACAATAACCATTCTGAATTTCGCAATACTGAATAGCCTACTGTAAAGGGCAAAGGTTGGGGATTCGGAAAATATGGTCAATAGGAGTAGCTCCAGAAATTGCCGCAGTGCCCTCAAAGGTGGTCTTGGCTGCAGGTGACGGTGGTGGTGCACTCCCACGGTTCGTGCGCCCTCGAGAAGACGTACGAGGCCCAGCTGCGCGACCTCCCCTCCGTCTTCAAGGATGGGACGACGTCGGCCGGCCGCGGAGTGGAGCTCACGACGCCGGAGCTGGACCTGGTGGAGCTGACGCTCTACCACGCGGGGGTCCGCCTGCGGATTCGTCAGCACGGAGACTTCCTGTCGGTCACTCTTCGGATGCCGACGCAAATCGCAGACATGGGAACGCCTCTGTGCTCTCAGGTGAGGTTTGGTCCGCTCGCTCGTGCCTTGAATCAATGTTGTCTCGAGCTGCGGTTCGAGGTTGGCTGCAGACTGGCCCGAGGTTGGCTCCTGATCGGCTCAAATATGGTTCTTGGCCAGCTCAAGGTCTGTTTACAGCTGTCTCGAGATTGGCCCTAGGTTAGCCATAGTTTGTTTCAAAGTCGGTTCCTGGCCGGTTTTCGGCCGGCTCGACGTTGGCCCAACCTGTTGGGTGTGGTGCCTTGACTGGCAGATCCGTGGTGGAGCCACCGATTGTTCCCAGGGTCCCACATCCCGAGATGTCTTATGAAACTGGACAGTCCCGATTTTCCTCCGTCCCCGAGAGCCGATTTTCCTCCATAACTTCCACCAATGTCCTGGCCACCTCTTTGTGACCGCGATCACTTTTCTTTTGCGATTCCTCCCGTCCCCAGGGTTGTCCGACGAGGGAACTGCTGCCCGAACTCCACAACGTTGAGCAGTGGCGGCGGGAGAAGGCCGAGTCGAGCTGCACGAAGGTGAACCTGACAGGGGCGTACTGGGATGCCTGCGTGTTCGACGTGCTGTCGACGGAAGACGCCAGGTCGGCAGAAGTGGCCGGTGCCGCCAGCGCCGCCGTTGCGGACCTCCGGAGCCTTGGCGCCTCCCCGCCAGTCCGAGAGTCGCGGAGTCCGTCAGAGGCACCCGTGCGTCGCGCTTCCGCGGTGGTTGTGGCATTGTCCGGAATCCTGGCGTGGGTTGGCTCGAGGTGAGCGTTGCACAAACGTCGTTCCACGTCGAGGCAGCATCGTGCACTAGCATTTTTGTTTACGGCCGAGCTCTCGTGGTCTCTTACGACAAGAGAAGACATTGACGCCATCTATGAGTGGGACCTGCAACATCATTTCACTAGGGCAAAGGTTTTGCACTTTTTTACAAAAGCAAATTTGCCATACTATTTATGAGAAATGATTGTTTATGACATTACCAAAAATGTTTTTTCGAGCCAATAAAGAAAGAATGATACGCGATGAAATAGAAAATAGACAGAAATTTTGAGGGTTTCATGTGTCCTCCCTAGAAGTATTTTTATTGTTTTTTTCATTACAAAAGTAAACTATGCGTTGCCAAGCTATCTGTCTCTACCCAAACATAGCGTTAATAGGCCGCAACAGGTGCCAAAGTGTCGGAGCTTTTTGTCATCTTATTCAAAAGTTGCGAGAAATTAAGTTACGTCATAAGTAAGGTTCTGCGTTTTCGGACGATTCCTAAAAGCTCCAACAAACCCTCTCCAATAAAATTTCCGTCAATTTAGATTTATCTGATAAACTCATTTGCAATGTCCCGATGCAAAAAAAAGAAAAGAAAATATGTATATATATATATATGGTATTCTACAATAGTGTTTGTTTGGAGCATGGGGTCAGTTGTCCTGCGTAAGTGCCAACCAGTTCACTTTCAAATCGAATTATTCACTAATGGGGTCTCACCGTACATCTCGTCTAGGTTCATTCGGATAACGCGAGGCATGGTGGTGTAACGGTTGTGCATCTGATCCTCTTCTTTTAGGAACTGGGTGGATTCGCTGGGGACTGCCGTGAGGTGAGGCCCAGGTGCCCGAGGAAAAACTTGGGTGAGTGGTGTTTTCTATTTCTCTTCTTTTTTTTTTTGAATTCATGGCTTTAATCGAGCCTTCATTTGTCAATTGGGAAGTATGTATGGTCTACGAATCAGGTCGAAAATTTAACGAGAAGTAAAATTAGCCGTGCGGATCCCTAGATGGTGAGTGGTCATAGTCTTTCTTAAAAGTTACTGACCTGTGTCTTCACTGTGAAAAGGTAATTTGTAGTTTAGTGTTTCTGCTGATTTTAGTCCTTGCCACATATGGGTAATTTGTCGAGCATACCATGTATGTGCTAATTTTGGTGCTTGCTACAAAACTGGTAATTTGTTTAGTGTATTATGTGTCTGCTAGTTCGGCTTTTTGCTGTAGAAGGAGAATTTGTCCAGTGCCATTTGTCCACTAATTCTCGTATTTGCTGCATCAGGATAGCCTGTCCACTGTCAGCTAATTTGGGTGTTCAATAAGTGTTGTACAGCAGTGATTACAGGAATGCGTATTGACACAATGCTTGTCCACATCGAATCAGGTGAGAGCGAGATTGTTCATTCGGATTCCCGAGTATACAGCCCAAGCTTCTGCCGCACGTGTTGCAGAGCTTTTGTGAGTTAATTAACGTGTCTGACCAACGAGCCCCTATACAGGTGGAGTACAGTCGACTCTCATTAATTCGAACTCCAGGAATCTACAGAATTTAGTTTGAGATATCACAAGTTTGGATTATCAGAAATTCATCTAATAATGAGGTGAGGCAAAGTGCGAAATTTGCTGTAGGAATAGCTACACTTATTAAGCAGATTTTTTACACTTCACACAGGCCTATTTAAAAGCAGACACACACATAAAACATTGGTGAAGTTCGAAGCAAATAGTGTTTTTGGCCAAATATTTTCTAATCAGATATCAAATAGTTTCTCCGAGCCTTTTACTACCGTTGTACCATGCTTAAATGAAAATTCATCTGAACCCGGGAATGTTGTTCCCAACTTCCCTCTGGTCCACTTCTAACCTCGGTTAGTTTTAATAAAACTACCTATACTTCGTTGCAACTTCGAGAAGAGCATTCTTACACACCACAAAGTAATCCACAAAAGTATTTTTTTTTAAATAACTGTTTTGTGCGTAAACATTGCACAATGTACCAGATGTGTACTGCTGAGAATGATTTGCAACTAAAGGAATTAAATATCTGAAGTTTATGTTTTTATTAATATATGTAAATGCATCTGGTTTGGTGAAAACACACACATCCGCTGGCAACGCGGCTGCACCGTTCTGTTTTTCTGTACGATTTTGTTCTTGTAATGGCCGAATCACGTGCTTCGCTGCTTTCCTCTCTGATTCGCATTAAAGCGTCCTTTCGCAAAGGCATGTTTTGGCGTCAGGCGCGAGAAGTCGTGAATAATGTCTACTTTCAAATTAGGTAGGAGACCCCGGCCGTATCGTACCGCGAATGCGTCGTAAACAAGAAAAGCGTCCGGGCCGCTAAGATTCACTGATACGTGGCGAAATCAGAGCACCCCTTTACCTGCCGATCACACTGAACGCTGAGAAGCTGGTGGAAAGGGCTGCGCCTTGAGCCCTGGTATGTCCAGACAATACAAGGAAACATCAACGGCCGGGTCATCGGGCACCTTGCAATGTGTACTTACGCAAGGGCTTCTCACCGAGCCCTTGCGCACTGCGAAAAAGCCATGACCGCGAGCTTCGTCGGTATTGCTTTTCCGCAGTACACCGGTGCTCGGTGAGAAGCGCACTCAACGGGGCTATCTCGCCCGATGAACAAATAGCATGAATACAGCGAAATTGCTGTTTCGATTAAGCAGCTTATAAATTCATTGAAAACATAGCGGGACAACCAAACATTTTTTCAGTTTGTTTGAATTAACCGGAAGTATGAAATATCAGAGTTTGAATAATCGCGAGCCCACTGTATGTTGGGACAGCGCTTATATTCCGTCTCAGTTGTTCGTATGAAATTGGGAATCGTTCTGTATCGAAATCTTTGTAGTGCATTATCAGGAGAACCCGAAAAAGCAAGCAACCCACAGTGAATATGTAAACTAGTTACGTTGGAGAAAATTTCGGGAATGAAATTTTACGCTAGAAAGAATTTGGGACAGGCTTTGTGAGCGCAAGTTTCTCCCATCAAAAAAAAAAAAAAAAAAAAGGTAATGAAACAACATTTTTTCACTGAGAGTTGTGTGGTTAGAAACTCTCTGGTGCTTCCAGGCTGACGAAACTTTTTGTTATTACCTTGCAGCCGGTGAAAAGGGGTCCAGAGCCTTGCAGGGAAACGGGCATATTGAGTGGAGTCGAAGAACCGCCGAGCCATCCACCGAGCCCGCCCTGCCGCTCAACTCTCAGGAAACGACGTCATCTGCGCCTCGAGCACGAGAGACGCCGCCGACGGCACGTCTTCTCCGCAACCGAGAGTGCGGAAGAAAAAGAAACGAGACGTTACTCTGGGTACGGTGTCTGGAATGTGTCTCCAATTGGTGTGTTGACTGCGTCCGTAAAAGTGGTGGTCCCGGTTACGTCGTGGAAGGGTCGTGCCGTCTCCGGTCTCTGACCTGGTGGTGTCGCAGTGGCGGTGGTGGATCTGGCGGACGCTCACTTTGCCGTAGGTCGCTCTCCATCTCGAGTCCACAGAAGCGCCAGCAGCCAGGAGTTGAGACGCTGCGACGACAGCCACGTTTGCTCGTGCTTTTTACCGGAACTTCTACGGCCAACTGCCAGGATCGCCACGTCCGACAGCACTGACATCCGGGTTCTGTGACGTCATTTGTTGACCCTTCAGGATCACTTTCGATGCATGAGCAGTATGTGGGGTGCAAGTTTGTCTGCTTCTTGAGCAGGGGTTGCGGTGACGCTGCAGTGGGCTCCGACCGGAAGGATAGTGGGTATACCTCGAGGCAGCTAGCATTGAGGTCTACCCACCATCCCTCCGTTAGAGCCAATTGGAGCTCGGCGTTGTGACATCAGTGCAAACCCTGCACAAGAATTGGACGAACTTGCGCTCCGCTAAGGAAACTAAATGCACCAGTGGGAAATGCGTTCCAGACGCCATGCTCTGGGCCCGCTTGACGCGGAATCGGATTCTGTCGTGTGTGGACTCTCAACGTTTTGGAGATCGCCAGAACTTCGAATTATTAGGCGGCAAGGAATTGCAACAGCAGCTGCTGCCTCGCGCGTGGGTTTCGACGCCGCGCAACGTGCCACAACAGATACAGTGGCTGTCGAGTCGTATATATACATTTATATATTCTAACTATATCCACACGGGTGACCCTGTTCTTGTGTCTAAGAACGTGCCCGGCAGAGGTGTCCTCGAATTGGGGATCGCTCGTGTAATAAAATGCCATTCAATTTACCGTGGTTTTTATCACGAGCAGATTTATTTCTTCTTCTTGGGGTCTTGCATCGATGCTCACAGTATTGCCTGTTTGTGAAATGTTTCGCGAGCTTCCTCTTTGCCAGTTTGAAAATAGCAGACAATCGCAATCAGGATATGTGTCAACGTGTCTACTTTCAAAGTTTGAGGGTAGGTGGCGCAAGCTGCCGCCCACCAGAAAAGGGTTCTACCATTATTTTGCATCCACCGGTCCATGCAGTGCGTATTGTCAACGAGGTTGGTTTTTGTTTGAAAGGTCGCTACCTCTCGGTGCTCTTTACTCTTTCCGTTTCTATTTGAAATATAGAAGAAAATAAGTTGTTAATATGATACTAATTTTGAAGTTTCTATGTCGTCATTTTTCAACGTAGGTAACTAAGAACAGCTTCAAATTTAAGCTTGGTTGTCCACACTGGCGCGTGCGTTGCGGGAAGGCAGGCCGCGTTTCTTGCAGGAGACGGAAACACCGAAACACCGAAACACTTGCGAGCAGGCGCGAGTCGAGAACGCCTTCCTGTTTCAAAGACTTTCATTGCCCCTCCAAGGACGTATCAGCCGAAGGTGCGTGTGTGTTTTGTTTACGAATCCGTGCCAAGAAAACCGTCTGCGATTTTCCCTCCCCCCTTCTTTTCTTATTCTTCCGTTGCGCCGTTTTCTTATTTCGGCATGAAGGTTCGGCGCAACAGAACGCTCGGTGTCGGTGTCGCACTTCAAGTCGTCAGCTCCTTCAATCTTCGCGGTGGTCCGTCGCCCTGCCTTCGGTAGGGAGTGAAGCACAACCAAAACAAAAGACTGCAGAAACGAAAGGAAACGGTGCGCGGTCATGTCGTCCTTCTCGTCCGCCACCAAAGTTTTCGGGGTGTCTCTGCTCGCCGTGCCGATCACGTACGGGTTCAACCTAAGCATTCAGACGTTCAAGTTGGATTACGGGATTCCGGTTTGCCTGGGCGTCGTTCTCGTCTTGACGGCGACGTGCGGTCTTCTCGTCTGGATCACGGGTGGGGGTTCGCCCCTCGGACCGTCCAGAAGCAAAGAGCAACTCTGGTTTTATGGTGAGTTTTTTTTCCGGCACGCTTCAGAAACTGCCGCTGCTGTGCTCGAGAGCATGGAAGTTTGCACAATGCGCTGTTGGGGGATGATCGATACAGTTTTACGTAACGGTTGACTGTCACGCTTGGTTTGTAACGAGCGCTGTACGTGTGTGTGTGTATTTTAGCTCGGTATTTCCTGCACTTGAACGCTAGGTAGGTTATTGCCTTCTGGACTGCGTTTTTAATTGCCGACAGTTTATCCTCTGTTGCTGAGGTCTTGAAGCTCGCACGTCTTTGCGGGCTTAATTGTTTTATTGGCGCTCTGATTGCAGCGTTGGCTGTGTTTGCGTTTACAAGCGTCGCCTCTCTTACCGTCGGCTTGGAGCTGGACGGCATTATATCAGGTTGGTCTGTGTTAATGTTTGGTTTCCTTCCTACCCTGCAGAAACTTCGAAAAAAAAAAAAAAAGTAATACAAAGCGAAACTTTGTTTACATAGTAATGCTCAAACACAAGAAATTTCCCAGAGTAGGATCGGCGAATAAACGAGCGGAATGATATTTCGTGCATGAATTAATGCATGTGCTCGCATAAAGTTAGTTGTTGTGTTTTCTGTCACCTTGACAGAATTCTTCTTTGAGCATTAAAACTTGGGTTTGGGCTAGTTGGTCCATTACTGAATAAAAGGTTAAAAAGCGCGAACAAACGAGGACAATAAAGAAACACGGACGACAGGACAGGCGCTTCACTCTCAACTGGTTTTTATTAACACCATTGTCACCTATATATATACATTGCCCAAACCACATCAGATTCAATCGCGACAATCAGAGCCAACCTTCCAGAAACACCATCTCACTCTGGAGCAAATACAAAGACGGAGCGCTGACGCAATTGTTTTCTTTGTATTTGCTCCAGAGTGAGATGGTGTTTCTGGAAGGTTGGCTCTGATTGTCACGATTGAATCCGATGTGGTTTGGGCAATGTGTATATATAGCTGACAATGGTGTTAATAAAAACCAGTTGAGAGTGAAGCGCCTGTCCTGTCGTCCGTGTTTCTTTATTGTCCTCGTTTGTTCGCGCTTTTTAACCTTTTATTCTTCTTTGAGCCCTGTGACGGCCAGCGAATGGCATGAAATATGACGCAAGTGTTACGCTTTGTGTTTTCAAACCGGTCATTTGTAAAAGAAATATATTAGCCAACAAATTAGGTGCAATGTAATTTTCCACCAATAAAAAATAAAAATTGTTGGGCTATATTTTTTTTTTTTTTTGTATTTTACTCTTCCAGAGTTTGGACTACTGCCGACTAACTACTGTTTAACTATCCTCTTCTGTACGTCCAAAGCACCTTAACACACACACACACAAAAAAAAAATGATTGAGTGAATGGATAGGTGCAGTGCCTGATCAAACGTTCCGTCTTGGTCGGGACAGTCCCATTTTAGGAGCTAATTTCTGCCGCTCTGTCATCTTGCCTTATTGAAGTGAGTGAAAGAAAGCCGGAGGGTATGTTTACTTGTTGCAGACATAATTTTCTTAAAGGCCGCCGTACAGTTCGCGCTTTCCACTTTTTCTGCGTTTCCTCCTCTCCTGCCCTCCTTTCCTTCCTTCACCGCCCTCCCCCACCTGTTTACCGCCCTCCCCCGAGGGGACAACATGGAGAATGGATTAGGAGACGCCTCCGTTAATCCGGCTTAACCCGCCGAAAAGGGGGCCTGCTGCTTGACTAAAAATTATTTCGCTGCTCAAAAAAAAAAAAACAAAAAAAAAAACGCCGCGGGCAGCGACTGTATGCGCTTTGCCGGATGCGCAACGCTCCGTCCGCCTTGAACAAGCTTGTATGCATTGGACTAACATTTTTTGAAGTGCGGCAGGTTTAGTGTAGGTCCTATCATATGGTCCTGCAAGACTTCCCTGTCCGCCACAAGCTAGCCAATAATTCAAGAACATAACGACGGCAGCGTAGTCAAACAGTGTAAAATAAAATGTATATAATATTTCTAAGAACACCGTTGTCTTCACTGCTTGGCTTTCAAATTCTTAGCGCTGCCAATAATCGTAATCAAGCTATTTTTATGATTGAAGACAACTCGTCGTGCATCGGCCCCAAGATTACGCTTACGTGAAACATGATTCGGCGCGGGAGCGGCTCGAGTCACCGTAAACATTTTTTTTTTCAACGTGGATTTTGCTTTTTTAATTTAGCTGAGGCACCACTGGCAGATCACGAATCGCATACTTGGAAGGTATATACCGTCTGAAAACTCATATAGCTGGTTCAGTGAATGCAATACTATCGCATTCGTTGAAGCTTGATTTGTTGATTCGAACTTCAACAAATCACACGCACCCATTCTTCCTATTCCTGTTTACCCAGTCATAGTCGTTCCCTCACGATGCAATACGAGTACAAGTAACTGCAGTTTATGCATTGTTGACGTTAATTGGACAGCCGTGATCACACGGTTTTTAGAAGCGCTATAGAACGAGCACAAGCGTCGAATTCCGGTACACTGATTCATTTCTGTCTCACCGCCGTGACGCCACACGAGAAAAGCGATTTCGTTCTGTCTGTGAAATTAAGAACACAGAAATCAAGCTATAATCCCGGTAATATAACAAAGCGAAATGGATCTCTGCAGCCAATACCCAACCGTTTGCGAGGTGACTAGGCGAAAGCATATATTACCTCCGTGCCTTTACCCTCTGCACACTGCCAGAGAGAGTCATACAAACTCCTTGGAGCTATTGTCAACACGATTGCGTTTGCAAGCCTCTAGTTTGACTCGGCTGGGATTCGTCCCTTTCATAGCTCTCTATGAAACGAGAAAGGTAGATACTTTTCTACATTGGGTGGGTTTGCCCGGGGCCTCCAGTTATTTACGGCCAAAATCACACTGGAGGCGCTTCAGCAATGTTCACTCTGGTCGACACACGTGCACACTAAAAATGCCAGTCGCCTGCCTTCCCGAAAGATACTTGAAGAGCCAATCATAAAGACCGACGGATAACGAGGCCGAAATTATGCTTATACCTCAAAAAAAATTATAACACAAATTTGGCCTCGTCATTCCCAAACTGGTTGCCGGACGAAATTCTCTATGCGTATTGTAAGCCAGGGTTGGTAATAGTAACATAAGATACGTACGGCAGAATTCCCTGCCATAAATAAAATGATTTGGCTAACGCTAATGTAACGCGAAATAGGTGCAAAGAGTTTTGCAAAAGGGAGCGTAAACCGAAAAAAAGGAAAAAAAAAAAAGACAGAAGAAAAGGAGAAGTAATAATAATAAAAAAAATCTCTGGCGACGTGGCCAAAAAAAAAATTCTGTTCATGTGATTTTTATTGTCACGTGACCGAACAAAAAAGAATAAACGAAATACAAAAAGAACACGAGAAAAAATCATCCCCTGCCCGGTTTCGAAGCTAGGCCCTCTTGATCGTGAAACTAGCGCGCTATTCGTTGCGCCTAGTTGCGCCGACATAACTTTTTTTTTTCTTTCTTTATTGCAAGTTGCGCCAACATAACTCTGCCTGTAATGCTCGCGCATTTTCACATCATAGGAGAAAGCTTAGGTGCCTTCGTAGTTTTTCATGTATGTGTTATTTTTATTTGTGGCAAGAGTTCACGTTCCAGAATGCTTTTAGAGTTTTGGAGCAAAACGAGTTTTCTTCATCCGAGTCTCCTTCTAGAGCCAGTAGACCGCACTGGGTCGTCCAGCTAATCAAGCAGCTATTTTCAAATTCTCTGACGTGCCCGTCCTCGCATCCGAGGTCGCCGTTTGACAAGCTTATCTTCCACCTGGTAGCCGGAACCCCAACGGCAGCTATGTTCCGTCCCCACTCCCTCTCGAGAGGATGGCCTCGCCCCGAGGCTAATCCCCTTCTCTAGACGCCCTTTCAACCCAACGCTGGCCCTTTCCCTCCCCGTCTCCAGCTTCGGGAGAGAAGGTTCTTCCCTGCAGAACGTCCCGTTTGTACAGCGGCCTTTAAAAGAAAAGAACATACCATCAGGATGTTACCTATTACAGAGTACAGTTTGAAGCTCTTTCTGTGGTTACATCTGTCAATACGTATTGCTCGCATAGATATCTGCACGGCATACCTTTTCCATAATGCTGAATTTGGCATGCTTTAGTTGCCGACAGTTTTCTCTATTATTTAAAAATGAAGAAGAAAGGCCCTCATGCTCTCAGTGAAGAACTCCGGCAACAATAAGTTTTCACGTTGAACTTAGTGACAGAACTTTTCTATTTTTCCTCTCTTGGAAAAGAATGTCACATCCACATACCTAGAAAAGTGTTTTCCTTGGGAGCTCAGTTTCTCTTTAACCCTTTGACAATGGAGTTTTTTTTCCCCAAAAGATGTTTCGAAGTGGTCAAGTTTTGTCTCCAAAAAGTATTAAAAAAAATCAATGTTTCAAAAAAAAAAAAAAAAAGTCCAAAGGGAACATGTACAGTGCTTGCAAGCTGTTTAGGTTTAGCAACATTAAATAAATATGTTGAAGGCAACAAAGTTGTCTCCTTTCTTCCATTCGGTCTCATTTTGGCACATCCGCTTCCGGGACACTGCTGCGGCTTCAGATTCTTTACTGGAGATACTTTCCATAGTTACTCTGTCGGATGATGACCAAGCGGCATGAGCATCACTTGTGCGGAGTGTCTAATTTGAAAACTTTAAATAGCCCAGCAAAGCAAACACACTGCGCAAATATAACGTTTCTGGTTTGCCAAAGACATAGCCAATAGCGACACCTCCCGCAGTGCGCGCTGTTTCGCGTTCAGGCGGGCACTTTCAGACGTGTACAGCGACGGCTGTCAAAGGGTTAACCGAGGGTTGGAGGGAGATTCGCTCCTCCGAAATATAGCATGCACGAGGCCAAGTGCCGAAAGACGCTCGTTTGCATTCTTGCGTCCCACTATAGTCCGTTGCAACTCAAGACTGTAGGGCGAGGGAAAGGAAGGCCAAGGACGAGGAAGCAGACGAAACACTGGAGAGAGGAGGAGGTTTCCCGCTCTCCCCTCCAGCGTTCCGTCTGCTTCTTCCTCTCCAGCCTTCCTCTCCCTAGCCCTACCCTTTGAGCTGTAACTTACTATATCGACTTGCGAGTCCCGAGTGTGCAAAACCGAATCCTCGATGCCACAGGCACGTGCGGGCTGCGAGGCCGCCTCTGACGAGCTCAATCTTTTCAGGTTTCGTGAGTGCGTACCTCAAGGTCGGTGAACCCTACCTGCGATGTGGCTACGGTGCCTTGACGGCGTACTGGTACGGGACGGCCATGTATGCCATGCACCTCATGATGCTGGCAGCTTTGACGTGGGAGTAGGTAAAAATTTCATCACCGCCACTCTGATGTGAGAGGACGCGCTCGGAACGGCAAAGGCTGGTTCAGACGTTTGCGTTCGAGTGTGCTTAATCTGTTGCGTTCCGTCGTAACCGCTTACGACGGGGAAACACATTGGTGGTGCCATCTTTCAGGTACCCCTGGAACATTCGCGACCTGCGTGTAATTATTTTTATTACCTGTTGTGCGTCATTCTTTTAGCATGGGCCCGAACAGATTGTGACAATGTTATAGGCAACTTTTTCTAATAGACAGTGCTTAGATTTGATCTCGCTAATACTGGAAAACCTTCAGCGCAGTTATGCATACATCAGAAGTGTCCCAAGGGGCCCAATAGATGTCACACATTCAAACTCAAATGTGTGAGTCAGCCTTATGCTATGCATTATCGATTATTTTGTATCATTGATATACCAATCACTTGGTATAAGCAGGTGCTAATTTGAAACATGCAATACAATAATGGTCATTGCTGATTAGTTGCACTTTAGTTTTATTAACATTTTTTTTCTTCTCGTGGATTGTAATAATGTAGGTTACTGTACGGTGGTTACCATCCGTATTAAAGCTCAACTCTGAAGGCGGGGAATTCGGGGGACTGGTGAAAATGAGACTGCCTGAAAGTCTCAGCAGAAGCTTCAGTAATTTTAATCGATACAAGCAGCGGGCAGACCCGAAGGAAATGGGTAACATTTATATCCATTAGTATGCGCATAATACGAAAGAAAGATACAATGAAATAAGTTGAGAGTTAAAAGCTGTAAAACTCCAAATCTATGTACGGAAGGAAGGATTGCTGCTGAGGCAATAAGGTAGTGCAGTTCAGAAAACATTGACTCTTGTGGTTTTGATCGTTTCTTATCTGGGACAAAAGTAGAATGTATGAGATCTTCACTTCTCTGTCTTCGTCTGTAGCGTTAATGATTTGCGCATTCTCGGTAGGAATGTGCCTCGTACTTGGCAGCGCAAGCGAGGCATTATTTGCTTTGTCCTCACAGTAGAGCTTACATTTTATCTTGTACCCCATTTGCAGAAAATTAGTCACATGGCCTTTATAGACGCTTTACACACGCGCCAGCTTACAGACGCCATTGTCGACCTTCTATTGTCTTACAGAGATATCAAACCACTAAAGCGGGCTTTGGCGAGCCTCCACAAAGACCAATGCTGGGGAAAAAGACACCGTCGTATCTAAAATGTTAGTAACCTGTCCTCCTGTGGTAATGATGGAGCGAAGTGAAAAATATAAGAGGAAACAAAAACTAAAGGTCGGTTATGGCGGCGCCCATGCACAGCTGCTGTAAAGCGTCGATACTACAGTCTGTTGCATGTTAAGAAATGCAGGACGGGCTCCTTCCACAAAGCTCTCCACTCTTTCCACTTTAGCAGAACAAACGGTAGAGAGAAGGAAACCACAAATTGTGAAAAGCAGAGAGCTTTTGGAGGGAGGTTGGCTATTCCCGCTTTTCTTAACCCGCAACGGACTATAATAAGGTACGTTCCTCTTGGTCAGTTTGCGTCGTCTCTTGTGCAGCGGCAACTTCTACGACGTAGCGCTGTTCTGGTGTGGGTGCAGCGTAAACAGCACGACGGTACTCCTCTTGGGCGTTGCCACAGGTCAGTCGCACGGGTCGGCTCTCCGCGACGATTCGGTCTGTGCGGTCGTCGGTTTGGCTACGGTTTCTTGATCGCGTCTTCGACCGGTGCGTTTGGCGTCTTGTTCCACTCGCGCGTCGAAAGTGGTTCCAAAGTGGCAGCAGACGATGTCCCCAAAGGGTTTAGTGTCGTGCCGCTAAATGTCGCGATCTTGGCGGTTTGGCTTAAAAGTCTATGCGAAAAGTAGGGCAAGCGCGTGCATAGCCGTCGTTCCAGCTTTCGGCCACCGCCGCTTCCGCAGATTGTCGACTCGGAGAGGGCAAGGTGCAGCAGAACAGGCATCACTGCATCCACCGCCGGGGTCGCGGCTGGCTACGGCGCAACAGTTCTGCAACGTTGTCGGGCAGATGTTGAGGGACCGATTTCTAGGATGTGGGAAAGAGATGTCAGAGATGCGTCCTGGGCGCCATACTTTGGCGGAGCTGCCAATAAAACACACCTCGGAGGTTTGGCATCAAGGCCTCTTCGCACGTGCACCGCAGTGCTAAACCAGTGCTGTGGACGAAGTGCCGACTTCGCGATACGTTGGCGCTGCGTCAATACCCCGACGCGCATGCTCCCTCCCGTCTTTTCTCGCTTGAATGCGCTGTGCGAGGTTAACTCGACGCCGACTTCCCGCATATCTCAGCATTGGGATGCACGTGTGAAACTGGCCTTTAAAGGAACCGCGATGACGGTGTCCTCTATTTCTCTAGGTACTCGCTAGACATTGTCGTTTTTTGATGTTTGTAACATACAACTAGGATTTTGTTTCTCCAGGTTTTACCCTTGGTTGAATTCGGAGACGTGGGTTTGTTTCTTTTGCCAAAAACTTGTGTTTTTCGTCGTCTATTTCTTTGCATTGGCGAGAAGTCGGCATTTGTCTGGGATTACGTTGAAGGACCCGGGCGTGGGATTCCCAAACCTCTGGGGTACACGCGCACGACCCATGTCACGGTTCCCAAAGCCGGAAGCTATCTCCCGGACGGTCGAGTGCGGTTTGTGTTCCAGGCCGAGCCAAAATAAGCTGCAGATGAAGGTTTCTTGCCGTGAAGCTCGGGTTTTTCCTTTCAAATACAGCTTTAATTCAGCACTTCTTTTTTTTTGGGGGGGGGGGGGGGGGGGGGGGGGGGTTTGATTTTGATAAAGCTGGCTTGAAGGTTAATATTAAGGGCTTGTCGGTTTATACCGAAAACATGGAACTCTATTTATAATGTGCATTCTTTTATAGCTCTAGCTGTTGTCAAAAGCGCGGAGGGAAAATCAACTCATGTTTGGCAATTCCTGTCGACCCACTGATTAGCTACGAACGCAAACTTGAGTATTCGAAAGCGAGCACAAATTGCTGAGCTTATAAAATAAGGAAGTGGCTCTGCCATGGTAGCCGTTCGTCCTAGTGCACCGGTGCAAAGCAGTGGAGCTTGAAGCAAGCAATCAAGGAATTCTGAAGACATTCGTAATTTTCTAATGTTGGAAAAAGCTATAATATTTTAACAGTAAAAGTGTACTGCAAATCGAATAACAAGCACTGTTTGTGGACTATTCTAATAATTTAACCCTATAAACTAGAGAAAGAAAAGAAAAAGGGTTGCAGGAAGCAAACTTGCGCAGGCCAGCTAACTGGGAAACAATCTAAACGTTGAGATATGGAGAAATAAAATTGGACAGCATAACACAAACTCTCTTTTATTTACGACATTTCACAGTATAGGTCACATTTCGGCCTCATTAATCTAATGTTCTTGTTTTCACTGTGGATAGAAACTGCTACATTTCTGCACATAGTTTCTTGCTTCAGTACAAGCTCTATACAGAAAGCAGCTCTGCCATTAGCATCCTATAAAACGATGGACAACGTTGCGAAGACTCGTCCGCTTTGCAGGCAAACATGGTATCACGCCGGGCGCCATGTTCTATCTGGTCGTTGCGGTGATGGCACCTTGCTTTTTGTACCAACTGCGGCATCAGAGGATCGTTCAAACGGTAATTTCTGCCGATCGATTGCGATCGGAAGTAAGTGATTGGACATTCCATGACGAGACGTGCGATTACAGATGACCGGACCCAGGAAGCGTTTGAAACACCGCAAGGGGGACATCATGTTTCTCTGCTACCTGTGCGCCGCCGGCTTCATTGCCATCTTTAGAGGCTTGGTGAGTTGGTCATTGTTTCGTTTTGGTAAACTGATTCGCAAACGCTTCATAAAAAAAGCGCGCCGTTGCTACGCCGTTTTCAGCCCGGCTTATCAGACGGCAAAGGCTGCGAAACGTGCGACAACGTACCGTCAAAGCGTGCTCCTCCTGTGGAGGACTGTCGCATTTTTCTCTCCTCGACTCTAGTCGGCTCTTTTCCATGTTGTGCTGAAATGGAGTATAAGTCGATGTTGAGATGAGAATTGCGGGGAGGTTTTTTAATTGTTTAAAAAGACTGCCTGCCTTCCTCCCCTTGTCGGCGACTGCAGTTAATGTTCATTGCTTTTACGAGATGTTTCTCGGGGTGTCGTCCAAGTCGTTGCACTCTGAGAATGCTGGCCAATTCGTTGTAAACACGGTTTTGCACAGACGTCTACTATTTCATGGTCCCTTTGACATTGTTCTACGCATAGGACTTTAAATTGAGGAAGAACCCTTTGACATTGTTCAGCACATTCCTCTTCCTGATTGATTGATTAAATGATTGAAATGTGTCTACAATGAGAGGATTTAAATCGAGAGATAAATAAAATGTTTGGGCAGTGGGGGGGGGGGGGGGGGGGGAAGGTGTCTAGAATGAGGGTTTTGCCGATTTTTATGTGCTTTTTGGATTGACTTTAGGCAGTCCTCGGTACGAACGTCGGCTGGATAACTCGTTACGTGACGTTTGTGGAGCCTTACCTGCTTCAAAGGGACCCGGCACCTTTCGCAAAGATGCAGGTGAGGTTCTGTGTTTCTCGTGTCGAAGCCATATGTCGGTCGTTCATTAAAGATACAATGCGTTCAAATGGGAGGAATAAACAGAAGGGACAGGTATGTAAATACGAATGAGTTGTACGGGTCTGTTTGCATCGTTAGTCAGAAACGGGTGTTGCACACAGTTAAAAATTTTCCAAGTTGAAAAAAAAACAAAAGTCTGAAGGTACATGACTTTATTATTGAGACCTTTTCTATACTCAATTTCACTTCATTAACTGTAGTAAAAAAAAGCTTACACTAATTACACTTGTTCATGTGGCCAAATAAGATAGTATTTGTATGAGCAATTAAACCCGATTCTAAATGTAATCAAAACATACAGAAGTCAAATGCAAGAAACATCTTTTTATTTTTTTCTGTCTGGCAAATCTTGTAACCTTGCGCAGCATGGTTACTATGTGCAATACTGGCTTTGTTTCTTGATTTAATGAGAATCAGCTAAGGTCACTTTTCTTTTTTTTAGATAATGCAACCTATGTATTATTTTGTTTAGTAAAAGATTTGATTTCTGCCAGTATTTTATGAAAGCTAAAGCGTGTATTGCATGGTCCCTGTCAAGGAATTTACGGGTTTCTTCTAAGATTTTTGAAAAACCTGTAAAACCACGTTTATGAAGTCGTAACTTTCAGGACCCTGTAAACCCTTGCAGTTTCATAATAACTGTGAAATATGAGGTGCCAATGCTCAAAGGTTCAGTTGAGGATGTTCAAAATTGTCATTTTCATTTTTACTAGTTTTGAGTTGGCAACTTATCATGATTTCATTATGGGATTTAGTTGAGCTAGGTAGTTGGTCCACGCTTGTTAATTTGGACAGCTGAATAGTTTTGACGAAATTCGAAGGTAAGAATTGGGCAAAGATATTACTGACTAGCAATTGTCATTTAATAAATTATTTCTTTTTCCTTCATTACGAAATTATTTTCAAGTAACTCTGGTCTGAACTTTGATTCAGGACAATCCTGGTCGCTGTCGCGCAGCAAAACATTTCTGGACAGACTCTTAGTGAAATTGTGTATTCCATGGGAAGCGGGAAGACTGAATTTACCAGACGGCACTGTAACACATTGAATGCACCAATGTCTCCTTCCTGCTTTCGACAGATGCTAGTCTACCTCTTTCATCACCTTCCACTGCAATTTGCAAGTGCCTTTGCACTGCTGGTGCCTGGCTGCCATTGGATGCCCGATTTGAGTGTCTTCATGGCTGGTGCCATGCTTCAGGTAGTTATTCGTACCTTGACAGAATCTTGTTGAGTACCGACGGTTCTCTCGACTCTCGGAAGGCACATTGAAGCGATTTTCTAGGCCTAATTGCTCGGTTCTAACTCGTAAGATGAGGTATTGCCAGTAGCACCAACCAGGTTCTGATCTGAACGGACCATCTTGTGGCCCACAAATGGATTGGATTTTCAGCGAGTAGATTGATCGGTTGATGGGAGCTGACCACTTTCGCTTCCTCCGCCACAGGCGATAACACAGATCTCCGAATGTTTCGGACCTAACCCGCTGTATGTTTCGCATTCTCGTTAAATCAATATAATATAACCAGTGTAACATTACTTCCTTGTTTTTACTGGAACAGTTTTCTTAGTTTGTTTCTCGGTACTGTACCACTGCGGCCGGTTTGAGCCAAAACAGCCCTTCACGCCGCTTCGACTTTCCTGCCATCTATTAAAGATAGAAGCTTTGATTCAAACTTGGTTTGGAATGTACGGCTCAGATATCCATCTTAGAACTCTTTGAGGTTTTGAAAGATAGTGGAGCTTGTGGCAACTGTAGCTTGAGCATACATTCGGACCATATGTTTTTTCTCACATTTTGTCCGGAGGTCTACACTCCACGATGCTGTTTGTGCGGACAAGTCGTCGTCGGTTTCCTCCGTTTATCTCTCTGGAATAGTGGACTGTCATCAACACTACTATGGTGGTGGAAAGTACTTAGTCGGGATGCTCACCCAAGTGTTAAATTTGTATGCCCACCAGTACCCTTTAGGAATCAAACTCTAAAAAGCGCCGAAGCCGGGTTCGCACCAACAGTGCCGTGCAGTGCACATTGCACGCCACCTTCCGACCTCGTTTGAATGGCGGTTGCGGCGGGACTGGCGCTCTGTCACAACGCAGGGCCAGGTGGCACACATCGGAGCGTCGTTCCACCCCCGGACGCCGTACGTGATGCGGGTGCCGCCGGAACCGGCGTCATGGGTCACCTTCTGGACGGTGAACCTGCTGCTGGCCTTGGGACCCCAGTTTCTGGCGTACAGATGTCAGGGCGACGTCGACTTCTTTGCGCTCCGCTCGGTGGGCGACCGCAAGCTGTCGTAGCCGTGGCTGTCCCTGCTCTACGGGTTGTCGTTCTCTGTAATGCTTTTGGTTCGGCTCTTGAGAGAGATTGGCACGAGGCTGATTGGCACGAGTCCTTCGCTCCTTCACCTCTAATTGACAGTGTGGTGGGAGCTACGCGTCCACCGGCCCAATCACTCGCCACCCTTTCATCACCTGACCCCGTCCTCTTCGCCACGCGAAAGACGGACCTAGGACTGGTCCAAAGAGCATGTGGCTTTTACCATACTGTCAGCTTAGGGGCAAATGGACTATAATATAGTCCATTCTAAATTTCAGTCATTTGCACTGTAACTTTTTTTTATTGGGATTTCCTCTACAAGGTTCTCGTCCTTGGAAGTGCTTTCATCTTGTTTGTGGAATGGGATTGGCATGAGGTTGATTGGCACGAGTGATAATTCATGTCTGGTGACACCCTCAATTTTTAAATTTCAATGTGACCTGCAGCCTTCTTTTTTTTTTTTTTTTTTTCATCAGACGATTTTTTGTACAAGTGTAAGGTAAGCAGTGGTCCTTGTTTCAAGGCAGGCGAAGTGCAGCACCTCAGGAACAACCCCTGGAATCTCTAACAGAATTTCAAGATGAGTTATAGTAGTACAACCCCAAATGCACATTTCGGAGCATCATAAGTTTTATAATAATTTTTGTTATAATTTTTTATATATTGTTCTTATGTTTTTCTCAAATATTTTTCCACTTATTTATATAATTTTTGACAGAGTTGGGACGTATAACTTCCAATATATCCTTGGTTGGGCTCGACCGTCTTTACAGATTAAGCAGCTTTGAAAGAAGACTAATCTTGAAATTTGTGACCAGATAATAAAGAAAGCGCTACAGAACCTTTCTCGACCACAATGAGGTTCGAAGGGTCCCTCGTTTGCACATCTTCTTTACAATACTTTAGGGTCCAGCATGTCATGGTTTCACGTGTCCTAATCACTCTTTAGTCATACTACAACTAACTTTAAAAAGAAAAAAACATCTTGTGGAACCTACTTCTATGTTCAAATTATGAGAGGCTGATGATAGACCTAACATTATTATGTTAACATCATCTTAAGGGATATTGTCACATTGTCTTTTTCTCCAGAGTTTGCAATCCCAGTTGTAGACCTGATTATTTTTTTGTTCGAGTAGCATTTTTTTTTTATGGTATCTTCCGGTTAGAGTGTTTGTTATGACACATTGTAGTTTTTACAACAGCACACGAACTAGAGAGAAAGTAATGTCATCAGCAGTGCACATTCTAAAGTTCTTGAGTCATAAGGTACAAAAACCTTTCAAAATCGAGGCTCACCGGGAAGATTTAAAGTTCATCAGCCAGCGGCTGACTCTTTTAGCAGATAGCCCTAGCTATAGTAGTGCCGGTTGTCCTAAGTCGTAAATCGCTGGATGGTTAACCTGCAACTTGTAGAGGCAGCTGTGCAAATCTGATTTTGTTGTGGTTTCAGTCAGTTCTTTGTCCACCAAAGTTTTTCTGTTGTAGGTAGATAAGCTATGTCAAGACCAGTGTTTCCATGTAAAAATATTGTAGTATTATTACCAAGGTGTGAGTGGATAGCTTTTTTGTGCAACATTGAACTCAAGTGCCCTTTGAAAATATACGGTTGCAGCTGTAGAAACGCTTGTAATTTTTTTATGGAAAGGGACTATTGCCATATCTTTCATCGCTTGCTGTCACCTCCTAATGAGGCCTCTATTTATTGCTTTTTTGACTTTGATGTGCCTTTATTCAGTACCTTCCTCATTGCCCATACTATTTATTGGGCAGCATTTGTGGAGGAAATGAATTTCCAGTTTCATGCTTACTTGGTATAGTGAAGCTAAGCAGAAGGACTGCTGAAGTTCAGTGGTTACTTTTGCACTTTTCTGTGACACGGCTTGAACGTGTCCCTATCTACAGATAAATGGGAGCAGTACTTATGGGCCAGAGGTTTACAGTTCACATCAGTGCTCTTAGGTAATGGTGCTTTCGTTAGATTATATAGAGGCTTCTCATCCAAGAGCACGAGTCATCTCAGACAGCCCTTACCTGCATGGGCCCTGCCCTTGTCGAGAGCATTTGAAACGGTTTTTGATTCCTCGAGAAGTTTGCATTTCGTAAGCATAACGGCAGCCAACAGTATATGCCAACGAGGTAGTCGGAGTTTGTCGAAGTCGACTTGTGCTGCGACTGCTATGCTACTGATGTGGTAGGGGTAGTAGTAGGTTGTAGTAGTTTACAAAATGCCTTACAGCGATCTTGTCGGCAAAAAGACTGTGATTTATAACGAGTGTTGGCTTCTTGTGACCTGCACTTTGTAGATCTCTAACCGTGTGTTACGATTTTTGTTTTAGGGTTCTGCGGCGCTTTTGTTGCAAATGTTTTAAACTAGGTTCAGTATTTTGGACTTTGAAAGGTCACAGACGTTTAAAGTAATCCAAATAGTCACCTCTTAATAAGTTGTTTTGGTACATCGGGAAAATAATTTTGGAAGAAGCAAACACTGATGTGCCTTTGGATGTTTTTATTTGTGCTTTGTTCTTGAAGCTATATTTATTTTTTGTCTCTGGCTTTGTTTATTGTTTGTTCTCAACACTGAAGGTAGCGCGTTTTTAGAGCGGTATTAAAAAATGCTTTTTTCTTTAATTTTTTTTTAAAGTTTGGTTAGTTAACAGGTTAAATGCAATTGCCTCGATTGTTAAAGAGTACAAATGCGACACAGAATTACATAGCGTACACGCACGGTGCCACCGTTAATCGAATTATTGAATAAATGAATTTCTGCAGAATCTGGATTGTGTGCCTTGCTGACCCGAGCGTGTTTTGGGTTTACGCTTATTCACGAATCATGTGAAAGTGACTTTCTTTGACATGTCAGTCGCCAAAAAGCTGTAAGTATGCCCGTTTCCATTAATTGCGGGGTTCGCGCCGTTTACTACAAGCTACAAGGGCGGGCTCCCGGCAGTGAGTCAAGAGCTGCGCTGGTCGAGCATCTGCACTGATAATAATCGTAAATTTATAAACAAATAAGTAGTAATGCGCTTCGATGTACTTCAGTTTCGGTTCCGGTTTGAGGCTCCTGACCAAAGGTACCAATCGATTCGATTTTTCTCGGGCTTTATTAGCTAAGTGGTGGTTTGAGGTATTCTTGGCTAAACCTCGACAAAAAGCTTGTTAATGTGAAAGGTAAAAATACTACAACTATTTCCACAAATAATGTCAGAAATAGTTCGTAAATATTTTCCCGTTTTTAGAAAGCGACGTCCGGGACGTGACAGACGTGAAAATACTAGTTTATTTAAAAGGGCCTAGAATCCAAGCCAATCCTTTTCTAATATCTCTCTCTCTTCGCTTGGTTCTGCATCTCTTGTTTGTGCATATCGGACATGTAAAAGGATATTTAATAAATAACGATATGTCCCAAGACAATACCGGAATGATGTGCGCTTTCTGTGCATCCAGAAGCTGGATACCAAAATTCTGAATCCGGTAAGTTCTGTTCAAGCAAAAGCCGCGCTGTTATATTGCTAGCATTTTAGGTGGCTTGTCTGATACATGACGATCTGAAGCTTGTCGCTAAGTGCTTTGTGTTTATTGAATTGTTAATTGAAATCGCGGAGGCGAGGGTGTCATTTTACTTCATGTCGGTGGGAAGATGCCGACACTTGAAGGGCGCAAGTGGAGTACCGTCGGACGGCACTTGAACGCTCTGCATAAGTGCCGTCGGACGGCACTCCAGACACTACGTTCCATTAAACTATCTCCGTCGTTTGCGGTGTTCGCGAAATTCATTATAAGTCTACGAGCTACAAAAGCGAGCTCCCGGCAGTGAGCCAAGCCCAAGCGCGACGCTGGTCGTTCTGGAACGGTTGTCACATCCACAGCAACACCTTCCTTGAAGGCGGATACATTCATGCAGAATTTCGGATTCATCCGAGGCGAGAGAGTCGGCTTACGGATCCCCATGTGGCGGGTTCGAATCCCGGCCGAGGTGCCCGCAACCTGACGGAGGCTTATTGCGGAGAAGACGCCGTGTAACCGAGCTTTAGGTTGCACGTCAAAGGATCCCCAGGTGGTCGAAATTAATCCTCAGTCCTCCGCTGGGGCGTGCCAGATGCCCGTCGTTGGTTTGGCACGTAAACCTTCCCCCCCCCCCCAAAAAAATTTGGATTCATAGTGCTTCACTTAAACGTACCATCGCCACTCTCTGCAAGGATGAGTCCAATGCCTCAAACTCTCCACTATGCCAAATTTCTGTTTTAAAATGGGGAATTTAAAAACTGTCTACCGTATATGCTCAAAAAGGAATCCTCTGGAACATGTTCTGGAAGCTTTGAGCCTTCGCCCCTTCAGGCACAGGAGCTGCTAAGCCCTCGCAAAGTTTTGACTGCCTTTCTGAAGCTTCCAGGACTTTCTCTGCATTTATTGCACCAGCTTCAACCACTTATGTGTTTTGTTCGGCCTTACTTTACTCCATCCGACAGTCATTTTTATTTTTCCATCCTACAACACAGACTGTCGTCTGCCATTTGACTCCGCTCCCAACTGCCAACAGAGCAGACGACGCTCCAAATAGTCTTCGAGGTGGCCATGTTAACGGCAGACCATACCGTATGCATCCTGTTCTACACACCCCGGGAGCCTCTGCTGGTCCCGGGAAAAGATGGAGCTCACACTGCGGAACATTTGTGCATGCAAGCGGCGGAACTCTGTGGGATTGGCCCCGTCACAGCTCAGCTGTTTGGCCTCTTCTCCGCGGAGACAGGCATCTGGTTTGCGCCGTCTGCCAACGTGAAAGCCAAGGACAAGTTGTTGAACTTGTACTTTCGTCTTCGGTACAAGCCACCCACTCTGGATAGGATTAAGGTAAGGGACATTTTTCGATTTTGGGGAATTGTAGCTTGTAGCATGTTTTGCAGAGACTTTTGTGACCCAACATACATCATGTCAAAGATTGGTAGCTTGCTTCCAGTTGCGAAAATATTATGTCTCGAAGTAACGCGAAACAGTGAAAAGCAGTGTAATATCTAACCACACCTGCTTGACCTTGGCTGTCTCAGCTGGCATTTTTGTTCCCTTTGAGTATTATAGAGAGCTGCACCCTGAAGCAATTAGAGACTACAGGAAAGTTAATTATTCTGCGCTGTCAACATACTATGCTGCATAATTCAGTTGCGTACCTAAGTGCATTCTGATTTCACCAAAGTATGTTACTCGGTGATGTGCACATAATGCTATTAAGACTGTGGCGTGCAAAATGTTTTTTTGCTGACAGCTTCACTGAGAACCGCTGCAAGGGTTATTTTGGCAGAACATTTCAAATGGACACTTTCTTACGCTGCTTGACCACCGTCTCTTGTCATTCGCGTTTTCTCACTGCCAGCCTCGTGATCATGGTACGAGTGGCAACCTTAGCGCACTACTTCGCTTCCCACACACTAACATTCTTTCTATTGATTACTGATTTAGTGGTTTTTGACGACGCTCAGACAGTTTCTAATTAGAACCGTATGTTTATTTTCGATAATTAAAAATTTTATTAACAAACTTTAGTTAATCATTTGGCTTGTCGTGACGATTAGCCCCCCATATTATGACCCCCTGGCCATATGACTGACTTGCAGAGACACTGCATTATTACAGCTTTCACGGGTATTTTTAAACAAATCTGTAGAGCCTAAAAAAAAAAAAAATATTGCCTTGTATATTGACTATGTTATGCATTTGCTCTGTTTTGTTTTTGTTTTGAACTCAATGGGGACAGAGAAGAAATCGTCCAACCTCTAGATTGTGAGGAACGTACGAGCCGTCCCGAACATATGTCAGCACAGCTCCACGACTTGTTACACCACACGGTCTGTCGGCAACCGTAGAGGCCTCGCGGGAATTTCCGAAGGAGTCCATCGAAGCTGAAGGTGGGGCGCGTCTCTCTTTCGGCGTTTCAGGCGGAGGAGGCAACCCTCAACTATGTGTACCACCAGATGCGACAGGACTTCGTCTGCGGTCGTGTACCCGAGCTGCACCACAACAGGGTGCAGCACCGGACGCTGGGTCTTGTGGTCACCGACGTGGTGCGACATCTGATCGAGGTTGGGCAGAGCCCGCAGCAGGGGAGCTTCAGTTTCAGGTGCGAGAAATCGCTGGCTCTTCGTGGCCTTAGTCTGGGATTGCGTGAAGTGCTGCCCACACGCAGGGTGCCCACGTAGGGAAAATTTCTTTCTCAGAATTTTTGCTTAATCAGACTGTCTAGAGTAGTTCTCGACTTCATAATCCAAAGAACTTTCCTTTATAACTCGAGAGTATCTGATATTTAGGTTTGAATTAGCTTTGAACCTGAAATGTATTGTATCTGAACCATATTTCCATGTTATGTGTCACTTAAAAAAAAAAAAAAAGTAAGCTTTTTGCATAGTTTGTATGTTGTGCAAAACAGTTATTATATGATTTGGTCATTAGAGACAAAAATTTCTGCTCTTTTCATTTGACACAAGCATGTTTGGATGAAATAACAATAGACCATTATGACGTGCGCACGGAAATTTGCCACATATAGAGGGAGAAGCGAGTATCTGTGAAGAGCCAAAATTTTGTTTCATAGGGGCCATCTGGTGAAAAATCTATATTGTGGTTTTCTCTTGGAATTCCTGAGACTGAGGGAAACATAAGAGAGCAGACTGGCAAAAAAACTTTCCTCCGTGCTCTCTCTTCAGCGACTTCATGCCTGCTGTTCTGGTGGGACCGCTGAAGATGAGAGTGCTCAAGCCCCGTCTGACCAACGCCCTCAACGAGTGCTGGCACAACAGTCGGCAGAACGTCAACCGTGTTAAGGTGGCCATTCTTCTGTAGCCATCTTGCTCGTTACTCGTTTCTGCTCGTGATCGGCTACGAGTCGGCCGGTCCTAACAGGCGTCACGAGTGTACGCCGGGATTGCAGGTTTTGCTCACATATTTGTCAGTGTGTCTCAATGCATACAAACTGTGCAATAATATTAGCGCAACACGCTCCTGTTAGCTTAGTTCGAATGCCAAGCTATAAACCCCAGGTTCATGCTGCGCACTGATGGTATTGGTGGCATTGCTCAAGGCACGTGAGGAAACGGAAGACAAAGTTAGCGATTGCGTTGTAGGTGCTTGGAGTGATGTGAAAGGACCCAAATATGTGTAGTCTGCGTGACACGGCCGATTTCTAGCACCTTGTGGAGACAGTTCTAGGTGGCATCATTCTAGCATGATGTAAATACTATTGTAAATAAATTAGGTGGGATCAAAACTATCTCCTTTAGCATAGTTGGGCTGACTGTATCATGCAGCACTTTCTAAATCTATGTAACTGTAGTGCATGCTTAACCTACCACAATTTGCCTTTTTTAGCATTTGTTTGTGTTTTACACTTTTTGGGGGGTTTTCATGTGTTTGGAAGATTGTTTTACAACATAGATAAGTGTTTTCACTGACTTCCCGAATCAGGTCTTGTTGACCCTACCACTGTACTTCCTCATTTACTTGCAACAGGATTGTATAAAAGACAAAGAACTTCTTTCGCCTTTCATACAACAGAGCATGATCCATGCAGGCTTATCACATGCAAGGAATGGTTAACCTGTGTTGACAACTTTCTGTGAATGCCTCGCTTTCCCGCCGCGCAGGAGATCTACGTGAACGAGTTCCGCAGCATTGTGCCCGAGTACGGGTGCGAGCAGTTTGTAGCCCAAGTGGACAGCGACGGCCGCGTTTGGGAGGTTGTGCTTCAGGTGAATCCACACCACCCTCAGATGCCAGGCCTCCGAATGCACTCCAAAGCTTCCAAAGAGGTGAGACTGTGTCGTCTGCTCTTGGTACATAGTAGCGGTCGTGAATGGATGGGCACATGTGGGGGGGGGTGATAGTTGTTTGCTTTGAATTGGGCAGTAACTTGTGCCACCTAGCTGCCGCGAATTTATTTATTTATTCTAAATACCTCAAGGGCCTTTCTTTCCACTACAGGATGAGGGGACTGTACAGTTTGATAAGAAATCTGAGCATACATAGGGATGGAAGCAATAGACGTCTATCAGTAATAACAGGGCACACACTCCACAAGGTCATATTGGCTCCCCAATATTTACAGATATTATTTGCAGCATTGTTTTATAGGAAGTGGCAGGAAAGATAGATCAGGTATTGGGCAAATGCTTTGTTTTCTTTGTATCTAAAACAAAGTTCAGAGAACACTTTTGTGGAATGTGGCTGGTTTGAAATATGTTATGAGAGCTAGTCCTTCATTCACGAATCAGCTCTTCTGCAATTTCTTTTTCAACAAAAGAAAGAGGCACAGTGTTGAAATAAATACTTTGAGATTTTTTGCATAATCCACTATCTCAGCTTGAAACTCCTCCTATTCTTTGCTTCAGCTTAACCACTTCGAACTTTGCAGAGCATCACTTGGACCCACATCTGTTCGATCAGCGACCTGTGCTTCGTGAACATGAACCTGTCAAACTGCACGGTCGAGATCAGCCGCCGCAATGGAATTCCGCAGGTGCGTGTTTGGGCTCACCTTGTGCAAACACAGATGTTCATACGCACGAGTCATTAATAAGGAGGGGGAAAGCAGGGTGGGTGCTTTCCCGGTATTTTACAGTAGGTCTTTAATGTTTGTCGCACAGTAGGTGTTACACAATCAACATGTATACTCCGTTTCACGATAACTTTGCGAGCTGTGAACGCTGCGGCCCCCGCGACCCAATGAGAGCGTGGGAGCAAGTCACGTGATAATACTGCATGTTCGAGACCACGGAGGCCTTGTTACCTCCACAGCAACGACGCCATCCGCGACAAAAGTAGTTCTAGGTTTTCTTTTTCCTTTAATGGCAATTGGACTTGCGCGATTCCATCTCTGTCGAGAACGTATAAAAAATGGGGAATAAATATTGACATATTTATGAGTTTCAATTATATTTAAACAAAAGAAGTGACGCCACATCCGTATCCCCTCCTGATGTTTTTCCCCCTTGTAGTGTCATGGCCGTTGACGATCTCGGCAGTGTAATCGACCGCTTCCGCTCAAAACATCTTTCTGGCGTTAGCAGCCGCCGCAGATTTGTGGGTAAATTGAGTGTACGGTTGTCTCATGAACTCTTCCGAAGAGCTCGCTACTTTACCGGAGAGCAACGTTGCGGCGGTGGACGTTTATCCGAAGTTGGTTGGTTTTGCAGCAGACGACTCTTGGCCAGCTGATAACAGCTGGGTCCATGGCGCAGCGACACGCATGCTCTGTGAAGTGGCGTCATGTGCCGCGGGAGCTGTAGCTTCCACAGTTCGCCAAGTTATCGTGAAACGGAGTATAGTCATTATGGTGTCATACCTTGTGAAAAAAATGCTCCTGGTCTATATAAAGGTGGCTTGATCTAATGTGCCCACATTGCAGAAGCAGTAAATTTTAAAATGCTTTTATTTATGAGTGAATTTTGGCATTGTTTCCATGCCAGCTTTCTGATGCACCAGGGGCCTCAAAAAGTCCTAAGGGACCCCCCCCCCCCTCCCCACCCGCCTTGTTGCCAACCGATAATACTGGGCAATAAAGGTACCTAGATGGTGAACATAGTCTATTGTACCGACAGAGTAAGACAAAATGGAGGACTGCAGATAGAATGAGAAGCAGACGGGTTAACTTGGGGCACAATGTAAAATATATATACATATTAGTGCGAAAAGTGAGGTTGCTTTGCCAACAACACCAACTCGACCCATGGCTCAATGCGTGGAAGGTTAAACTAGGGAGGGGGGGGGGCACACTGCAATTTGGGTACTCAGGGAACCCCTGTGTTCCACAGAACCCAGTTTGAGAACCCCTGTGATGCACAATAGGTTTTGGTGGCAAGTGTACGCTTGGGAGCGGGCAATGTTTTTTTTTGTTTGTGCCTCCTTTTGAGATCTTGTTCCACTGACACGAGCGCCCTCCTTTTGCGGGTGTTTCTTGGCCGCAGAACATCAGGTTTAGCAGCGTGAGCAGGATGCAGTCCTTTCTGTCGCTTCTGGACGGCTACTACCGCCTCATGGAGAAGTGGACGGTGAATTTGTGCATCAACCTGCCGACGCCGTCCTTGACTGCGCTCAGGGCGATGAGGTGCCACGGACCGATTGGGTGAGTGACAAACGTTTTCTGGCGATTGGCGACTGTACACCTCTGCTGGTCACACAAGCCTTCCGATGCGTATTGGGAGATAGATTTTAGACGGGGCTCAAGGATGCAATCCCTCCTTAGATGAGTTGCTGCCTGCCAAGTTACATTTTAACCATGTCAGACTAAACCCAGAGTTTTCAAGAACATGAGAGAGGAAAAGAACTTTATTAACAGGTATTTCAATTGAATGAATGTCAAGCAGTGGGTACATATGGAATGTTCAATGACCGTTATTTTCCCTAAATTTATAGAGGAAATTATTCGGGAGGACACTTGAGACTGCTTACGTGTTAGAATGCGAAAGCGTTCATTACACGCAGCGCATTCCTACAAGCAGGGTGCCACGTCTTCCTTTTTCACACTGCTCTCTGGCAGTGACGTCATGCTCCCCACTGCACAGTCGCGGCACCCCCCCTAGGCTCCACGGCTTCCGTGACCATGCATCTGCAATGCTGTGCTTTTCTTCATGTCTTATTTTTTTCTGAGGCACGTCCCTTTGACCTTCAGCGGCCCCTGTGGCTTGCATGACGAAGCATCTGACATGACGTGTCGTAGCCAATGGGAGTTTATTCATTGTTTCGCTGCTACAGACTACAGGCATCGCTCCATGGGACAGGGGAATTTAGGTGCCGTTTTTTGTGGCTTAGAAAGCTGATAACGCCAGTTCGGTCCATGGGACATTTACTGCTTTCGCATTAAAATCATCTGGCATACTTTTATCAGTTTAATTCTTAAATAATATGAATGCATCGATTGGTAGGGGCTTTCAAGAGTTTTCGATTCAGGTTGGTGCAATAGCGAAATTTTTTGACTTGAAGCAAGACATTCGGTCATGCTATGGACAGTTCAGAACTTACTTGGTCCCCTCTATATCTGGCACAACACGGCCTCATTGTTGTTGTGCTGTTCAACTCATTGAGTTAAACAGTGCCATTTGTGCCATTTTGATAAACGCCCCCCCCAAAAAAACATCACCGAAAAAACAAAAAGGAAACAGATAACACTGAACCCTATCAATAATCATGATTCTCATAAACCCTTATTTGTGATCATCATTGTCACTTTCATAAGCACTTAACTCATCATAATAAACTCTATTGTCATCATCATCACTGTCATAATTTCTTAATCAATGTTTTCAGTGTCATAAATCCTTACCATAGAATACCGTGCATCCGCCCATTCCACACTAAGCGCCCATTCTCAAATTTGTAAGTCTTGAGAAAATATGCACAGTACATTTAATATGTGAAATTGATGACTGGACAAGCACCCATCTCCCATTTTTCCCCGATTATCTCTCAATTTTGGGTGGGCGCTTGCCCGGTATTTTACGGTAACTATCATAATTGCCATAAACCCTTAATTACCATCATCGCCATTTCGGAGTCTTTTCCCCTCTTTCTTCTGAGCACGTCAGTTGAATTTCGCCTGCGTATTGGTTATGAATATTGTGTCTCTTGAACTGTGCTTGCAATCTATGAAATTGTCCTCATCATAAACCATTAATTATCATCATCACCACCACCATCATCATCATCACCACCACCACCGTCATCATCATCATTGTAAACTCTTTATTAATTATCATTCTCATTGTCGTCTTCCCGTGGTCATCCCAGGGCAAGGTTTGCCTACCAGAAGCTGCAGGAGAAGAGCGACCACGAGTCCGGCTGGTACCTGCTGCGGCAGAGCTCCTCCGCCTACCGGGAGTTCCGGCTCGACTTCCTCGGCCAGGACGAGACGCCAGAAACCCTGCGCATTGTCCAGTCGGCAGAGGACGGCACCTTCCGGTTGGCCCAGGGGGAGGGCCAGGCATTTCCCAGTCTCGCCAAGCTCGTCAACGACGGAGTCAAGCCCATGCTCTCTCTCGAGCTCGGCTACTGCGTGCCTCCGTCGGAATACGGTGAGTTCCGTTGCGTTCAACAAGAACAACTGGCAAGTTTTTAACGGGAAACATTCTGTGCCTCGTGGGGGGGTCCAAAAACGTTGCGAAGCCGCCGATTATCTCGATGCTGATTGCCTGAGCCAGGTACGACGCCATGTATGACATCACACACAAGCTCAACGCTGATTGGATGATTTCTTTTTACAGCGAAGCTTTTTATGGCTAGGGTTCCGTGGATTTTACGTGTGCATCAACAAAAATTTGGGTCCTGAATATAATGCAGAATCGCTTCATTCTATGCAAAAGGTTATATGTTTCTTAAATATGCAGGGGTGGTCCAGTTGTGCCATTTGTGCCATTTTGATAAATTCCCCCTTGCCTGCGCCTTGCTGTGCCCAATGAGAAAAATTGCGCCAAAGCGAACAAATCTGCGAACAATTGGCTTTTGGAAGACTTTTCGTTTTCGTCTGGCAAGTGTGTGAATCCAGTGTGGTTTGGCCATCACAGTCGAATCCAGGTTTCCGGCTTCGCAGCATTGTTTCACAGGTTTCGCACCAATTTAACCGACATTCCTAACACAGCATAGTTTTAACAGTTTTGGTTGCATTCGAAGCACACTACTGAAGATTAGCAAGCACAAGCAATATTTTTTTTCTGCTCGCTCATGTTAATTAGCGTGACATTGCTTTATAGGAATGTGCGCACACATGGTTCCCATTTCGTTAGCAGGCTCGGTCGGGACTGCTTGGTTACAAATTGTTGCCTTTTTTCACGTCAAATGATGTGAATCCTTGACCGTACTACTCGTTAAAATGTCTATACGTTAGGGAAAACTCAGAATATTTTATCGATTATTTGCTCGTTTTACGTGATAAGACTTTGTATAGTGCTAATTCACCTCTCTATCTAGAGCAGGGCTCTTGAAACACCGCAGGCTGCTATGCGATTGCAACTGATGCCCCAAGGTGAAACTGCAAGCAACAGCATCGAACTAGACACGCACAATGACGAAGACCCATGCACATTAGCCAGGACGAACGCGCCGAACGATCCAAGCAAGCATCACCGAAGTAGCCAGATACCGGAACACTTTACATGCAACACAACTGCCCAGCAGTTTTTTTAATGTAGTAGAATGTGTTCTAGGGCCGATTTCTAAACCTAAAGCGCCACGAAATGTCGCAACAAAAATATGATAAAACAGCCGGTTGTTTCCCCGGCGGGTGTCGAACCTTCGGCCCGTACCGTCCATCCATTCATTCGAGCTTGACCGTTGGACCTTTTTCTCCTTCCAGACAAGACGCAGCTGCTCCTGTGTCGTGCTCCCGGCACGGTCGCGGAGAACGTGGCTCCCGCACGCGAGCCCAGGGAATGCATCCACTCGAGGTCACTGGCTTTCTCCGAGAACCGCAAGGACGAACTGCACGGGAGGTTCACGGTGGTGCGCAGGGCTTTCCTTTGCAAGGCCAAAAACCAGCACCGAGAGGTTGCCGTGAAGTCTCTGAAGCCTCATCTCGAAGACAGCCACCTCAAGGCGAGTGCAGTCAGGCCCTTTCGCCGTCTGCAACTCTGCGTTCTGAGTCCTCTTAACGTGTTTTCCACGTTTTCGGGCATCGTCGCAAGCTTTAAGGTAGAATGCTTTTATGGAACATTTTCCTTAGTCTAGAACGTGATGAAAAGGTGGTGCGGAAACCCGACGACACGGTCTTTAACCAAAAGCGCTGGGTCACGTGACGTCACTTTTATGCGCGCGCTGGATTGATCATTGTTGAAATGGGTGGACTTGACAAGCGTCTTTATTTTTCGACTACGAAACAGCTTCTGCAGTGTACGGCAGCTTGGCGTGCCTTTTGTCAGGGTTGCTGGTGAGAAAACCAGAAACGGAGCATAAAAGTCAAGATGTCGTGTGACACCACTACATGGCATCGTGATGTCACGTGAAACGCCGATGGTGTTACATGACTACCGTTTGCCAAATTTAGCAGGAAAACTATGCTTGTTGCCGTACAACAGCTCCTCAGTTTGTATTTTGCTTATTTCTAACTTTATATGTTTGCAATTTTGTTCCGTGGATTTCTTTTGTTTTGTTAATGAAAATGTTCCTCAAGTGACCTATTATTTCTCAAATACAGCAAGTTCCGCTTTATTGTCACACATGATCGAAGAAATGAGAGGGGGAAAGCCCTCACTGGCAATCTTTCGATTGGTCGGGTTCATGCAGAAGAAAGTGGTAGTTCAGGTTGTACGTCAAACCTCTTCTGCACATCAAGCCTCCGTAATGCCTCGTCGAGAGGCATTTCACAATGGATGTTCTCGTTTTCGTCACAGGAATTCATGGCGCAGTGCGACCGCATGCTCTTCTGGCAGTGTGAAGCAATGGTGTCTTCGGTGGGGATGGTGCATTCGGGCAGTTTCGGCCTCGTGACCGAGTTCCTGCCTCTGGGTTCACTCGACCTTTACCTGCGGCAGCACAGGCTGCAACTCCAGGCCGTGGACCTCGTCGAGGCTGCCAAGGGGCTCGCTCGTGCCCTCTGGTACCTGGTACGTGGCGCCGGGTACCCCCCGGTACATCTGTCGGGGTCTGAGGTACCGGTTTTGGCCGCCGTGTTCGGTGCCTCCGCGACGACGGAAGCGTCGAGGGACAAGTGTCTGCAACTCTTTGGCGGCCGGCGGTGATTGCACATCGGAAGGGTTCCGCCTAAATGCGAAAACGTGTGCGTCCCGGGAGATGTACCCCGAGAGATGTACCGGGAGGTGTCACTGTCTGTTACGTATATGGGAAACCACTATAACTGTTGTGTTTGCATCGTGTTTCACCATGATGGGGCTATTTACATCCTCAAAGCTGGACTCTTTGTGCATATAACGCACTAAAGATGGTGTCATGATGGAAAAAGAGTGCGAAAATTGTGGGATTTCCCTTGCTGCTACCCGTCTCGGAGAATGACACAGCACACCAGTTCAACAACACATAAACATTTAATGACCGCTATCGCCTGCGCCGCGATCCCAACCGCCGCCGCGCATCCGCTGCGACGGCCTTTTATCAGCGGCGGAGCGCCGCTCGCGTGGCCAGTTGCCCTTGGCCCCCTCTGGGTCAAGATGACCACTCGTGATTGTCGGAGGGGCAGCCTGGGCCAACCGCTTAGAATCGCCAGGTTGCCCACAAAATACAAGGACAAAGAGGAGAGAACACACAGGACAAGATGCTGTGTGTTCTCTTTTCTTTGTTTTAGTATTTTTGCGCTGCTTTTTCATCATGAATACATTTCAACTAGCCCAACTGTCTGTTTTGGAGATGGTTGCTTCGCTAATCGGATGACCTGGCTTTTCCGATTGAGACTTTTAACTCTTCTCGGAATTCCATTAAGGGACGACATGGCTTTTGGCAAAAACTTTCTTATTTCTTGTGATGGATTTTCGTGGAAATTGGCACCAATACTCCAAATGCTCTTGTAAAATATCTACCAAAATATCAGCTTGATATCTCAAGAACTCTTTATTACCACAATTTTTTCTTGTTTGAACCTGGTGGAGAGCCTGTAGGGCTTATAAATAAAATAAAATAAAACACTTCTTGAACTTTGTGGGCAGTTACAGATGGGGGTGTACCACAGGTGAAGACATTCTTTACTTTTTTCTTTACCTAACATAAAAACCTTGTTTTTGTTTTTTGTCACCTGGTTGCAAAATGCACATCCGGTATGCAAACATATAACTACATAAATTAAAAAAGTCATTAACTTGAAAAAATAAGAATGTCATACCCTGCACCTTAGTTCAAGTATCACAATGAAACAAACAGAATAAAAACAGACAAAATGGTTGCTAAGAAACCTGCTTTACAAGCTGAACAGAATAGTAAAAAGAGAGTTCTGAGAAAACAATGCCTAAAGATTTTGGCTGTTTTTAACGCACTAAAAGGCACCGGGGTTGTAGTCTTTGGTGTCCCTTTCAGCATGGTGTCACTTGGCCCTCTGACCCTTAGCCTGATGTGCTTTAGATGCCTTCTTCATGCGCATAGCATCTTTTTCTGCTGACTTGCGCAGTACATGGTGCCCAGGCCTGGTGCCAAGGGAGGAGCAAAACTCCACGTAGGCGTGAAAAGTGCCGCAGTTGTACTTGCAAATGACCTCTCTGACTGCTGTCTCTGCAGCAATCAAAGATGCATTCTCATCCTTGGGAAGCACTGACCATATTACGGAGTGTAGACTCTCGGCAGCGTTTTGCGTCTTCTTCCCCTGCACCGGTCGAGAAGATGAGGCTCGGACAAGCGCTGGTGTACAGGCAGAAGGACATCTGCAACATGACTTGCCAAATGGTATTTGTAATGTGGCTGAGGCTCACTCTTGGCTTCTGAGACTCTATGTTTACACAAGCTTGCAGGGCCAGTGGGCACAGCTAATGGTGGGGTTCTTCATCAGTCGAGCTGATGTGATAATAGGTTGTCATGACGGCTCTCCGCATTTCGTAAGCCTCGGAGGGATCTCTCAAAGCCATGCCGTAATAGCTCGATCGTCAACTTTTTGATGAGGTTCTGTGTCAGACCACCCTTTCCTCCAAGGGGCTGGCCTTTCTTGCCCTTGGTGACTAGGGAACGTAGGGCTGACCCCATCCTTTTTTTGACATGGTTCACAGACTCTTCCTTTGTGATTTCAATGAAATGATAGGCCTTGTCATCGGAAAGTGCCAGAAACGTTAGGCTGTCGCCATCACAAACAGTGTTTCTGTATCGCAGGTCGTTTTTCGCAACGGAATTTCCAAACAGCAACAATGCTGCCTCAACCTCCATGTGGCCGGAGTTCACTTTGGTGTTCTTTTGACATTCTGATTCATGGGATTTTTTCCCTTCGCTGTATTTCTTGTCACCCTCTTTCGGGCCCACGAAGCAACCGTGGCATCGGTTGGATAAAACAACAGAGTCGATCACCAGGCCAGTGTAGAACTCGATCACAGTGCCGACACCAATGTGGGACGTGTGGCCACCCGTCATCCAAGTGCCATCATAGACTACAGTTACATTTTTAGAGCGAAGTTGTTTGTGGCTAGGGTTTCTCGGGTCCTGAATTTGATTCTGAATCACATCATTTTATGCAAAAGCTTTACGTCTCATCAATTGGATGTACATTTTCAGTAGATTAGTTATTAATGGGCACCATTTTCAAGATCAGGAGACCGTTGGGTAGATAATAAAGGTTTCTGAAAGATTTGCCACTGTGCGACCCGCGTCGGCCACGTCTACACTAGACGTAGACGTGGCTGACGGGGATGAGCTTTCATCCGATGGCAAAGCTCCATAAAGTACCTTTAATTTGGAGCTTGAGACTGCCGAAATGTCGTGAAAGCGGACCCGCCAAAAGGAAACCAAGTGGAAGGAAGGCAACAACTTTTTGCCTACCATATTTTCACTCCATGCTTCTCATTCTCAATCTGGACAGCTTTCTAGCACTCCCACTGGATAATAAAACAAAACAAAAAACCTGCGCATTGACTCCTTCTTTGTATTATCCTTTTGAAAATCGAAAGCAGCCACTGGGGCGTGTCTTTAAAACAAAAAGAGAAATTCAATAGTAGTATATTATTGATTTTTTTTAAAAATTAAAATTTTGGAATTTTCACAGCCCTTTGATAACTGGGAGTAAAAAGGGCTGACGGCTGTACCAAAACTCTCTGCTTCTAGAAATATTTATGGTATTGGAGGAGAATTACACATATGACGAGGGATTCTCCTTTAACACCGTAATTTTACCAGCTTGCTCCATTTCCACTAGAAACATTTATGAATCTTTGTGGATATTTTTTATTTATTTATACTATGGACATTTTACGGTGCCCCCGAAAAGCTGGCTGGTAATGCACAAGGACATAAGAGAAGTTGAAAACTCGGTCATACAAGAAGGTGGGCTGCTCCTAGAGATGATACCCTTTGAATGTACCGTGCCGTTCGATTCGGAGCTACTCAATACGAGTTTTCACGCTTTAAGACAGGCCTCGATTCTTTCACACTCGCCCTCGCTCAGGCTAACGAGTGTTGCTCATTCCTTTTATTTTTCCAAACAGGAGGAACAGGGTTGCGTGCACGGAAAAGTACGCTGCCACAACATCCTTGTCTCGCAGCACGAGGCCAACGCCTTCTACGTCAAGCTTTCCGACCCCGGGCTGCTCATTTACGGAGAGGGGGAGTGAGTTCCGGCTTTCATCTAACTCTTAAACCAAACTTCCAAAAAATGTTGTTTAAAGAGCGAAGACCAGTTCGCGCTTTCCAATTTTTCCCTGCTTCCTCCTCTTCCCCCTTCTACCCTGTCCACTGTTGCCTGTTTCCTCCTCCTTCATGGTGAGGAGGGTCTTCTGCCTTGCAGAATCTTGAGTTTGGCCGTCGGCCTTTAAGTGCACACAAAAGATGTGTGTCACACAAAATAAACTCCTCTGTTTAAAAAAAAAGAAGGGAACATTAATACAGTATTTACACTGCGAGAAAATACCGAAATGACTTTCGCCACCCAGGTATTACGCCAAACATTGTTTTTCTTTATATCGGAAAAACATTTGTTTTCTGACAGGCTCATAAAAGATTTTTTTTTTGGGGACAGTTCGGTGTCTCGGTAACTTTGGCTTTAAAAGCGTTCCGAGCTCGGTGACCTGGAACCTTGACTGGTGCTTTGCCTGTTGGGCGAAATTTGATCCTGTCTTAACTTTTGAAGCTTCTATTTGTGTCTGTATTCGTACGATTCTCCAGCCGACATTTCACTAAGTAAATTGGCTGTGACCCTTGGGCTTTTAGGGCATGTTCTTTTTACAGCGGAGCTGTTAAGGCTTAGGTTTCCCAGGATCGTGTCCGGCTATGTCGACACAAACCTACTTGGACAGCTACCGCCATCTATAAGCGACGGCGGCAAGCACACAACCAGCATGGTTTCCGCTGTCGCTCGTAGATGGCGGCAACCTTTCCAGCTACAATAGAAGAATGGATAGTTGGGTGCGTTGGTGGGAATTCGTCGTAGGAAGCAGCGCGAAAAACGGACGACAACGAAGAAGCACACAGTGTATCGAGTGCAGCTCCGCTGTTCTTCCTTCTTCACGAGAGTGGAAAGGCTGAACGTTTATTTCTTTCTGCTAGCCTTTTTTTTTAATTTTTTTATTTGAGTAGTAATATAGTAAAATTGGGGTTATAGTAAAGTTGTATGTTTGTAATGCTGCTATGTGCGTTTAAGGCACTGATACAATTATAACACTGATATTGTGTTTATTTTTTTTTTTTTTTCTAGAAAGAAACTGATGGAGAGGTTTTCCTGTATAGTTTTAATTAGTTTTAGGGTTGCCAGCCATTATGAAAACAATTCTCTGGAAATAGGTGCTAAAGAATATAAACTGAGAAACAGTCAATGAAGGTGATTAATCATTGAGCTCAGTATTCAGTGGCCGGACATTAAAAACTATCGCAATTTTTGTTTTGCGAATTTGGTTGACAAATTGTAAATCATAAGTTTTTTTTGTGTCTTTGTTTGGCAGACTGAACTACGATGGATTGTTTTTGCGACTTTGGCTAACAAACTACTAGGCAGACTGACCCTTTTCTAGAAATGATTAACAAGCTGTAAGCATTGTTGCCTTTTTTTATTTTTTACACTTGCATTTTTTTATGTTTTTTTTTTCGAGGTTGTGAGGTTTGCGAACCCCTCTCCTATCAAAGGGGGGATCTGTGGCTGAGAGTGCTTATGCACCACGGCTCAAAGCGTGTGGAATGAAAGCTTGTGGGATCCTGGGTTCGAACCCCACCCCTGTTCGTTTCGATCTGGATGAGCATCGTACCAGTGTGCAGCCGTGTGTTACTACTGCCTAGTGCACGTTAAAGACCTGCACTGGCAAAATTTTTAATCTACCGCATAAACCAATGTCACCGTACCTTCAAGGCAGGCCGACCTTACGCTTTCTGAACACAAACGTCAAATTTGGGTTTTCTATCGAGTACTTGGCTCCTTCGCATTGCTGGAAAGGATATAACCTTTCTCTTTTTTTATTCACTCTCCAGTTCTTTTTGATGTCTTCACCTGCACCTTTTTTCATCATTCAGAAGTTTGGCTGCAACCCATGTTGATGCCGAGTCTCTTTGGCTTGTTGTCCGAACTCCGCAGTGTCCACTGGATTCCACCGGAATTCTACCACAGCTTCAGCCTTGCCAGGTCGTCGGTCAAGGCGGACATTTGGGCCTTTGGCACCACGCTCTGGGAGATCTTCACGTTCGGAGAGTCACCCATGGCTGGGCTTACAAACTCTGAGGTGCGTGCTGTTGGAGGTGTGTTCTGGTGAAGGGAACCCTGTGTGCTCTTGATTTTCTTGTCCTTGTGTAAATGCCACAGTTTGAGTGAAGAATTCGAAGAAAGAGGCAATGTGAGAGGTGTTGGAGGGCAGAAAATCATGTTTAGTGGTATTAGTTAACTGATATTAATTGGCTTCTTGCATCCCAGTGAGTTGCTGTTAAATCCAACCTAGGGGTTGCCATTTACTATCATGCAAGATGCTTTTGAACTTTGAACTCTATTGAACGTATTAGTGTTGAGGGCACCAGACAAAGCTTGTGTCATTTGAATTGCTTGGGAATTTTGATGATGATATTATTAAAAAGTGTCTGGTCTAGGTATTCTTTTAATTTTCTTGGCGTGTTAGAAATAAAGTCTTGATTAGGCTATTTCTAAAAAGGTATTCAAGGGTAACAATGTTTTGAAGTATAGAGAGAAAATTTTTTGGTTCATTAGTTTGGCCATCTGGATGTTGCTCAAGTGTGATCATCTAAAAAGTTATTTAATTTATATATACATTGTGATGGTTTGAAGCTGAGCTTGTTGGTTCATTGCTATATATAGTGCCAGCGGAACATAAAGGAGGGATTAGAGAGCGACAGAAAAGGTATTTGTTTCCGAAGTTTGACTTGGGGGGGGGGGGGAACTCGAAAACTAGAAACACATCATAGATTGCCATCACTGTAGTACTTAGTCACTAACATGGCTTTTTGGTGTTTTTTTTTTTTTCTAGACGATTTATAGGGTATGAAAGCATGTATATGCTTTCATGTTTTAGCCTATATGCATGTTTGCACATTTACACATTTTTATTCAGGCCCTGAAAAAGTACAGGGAAGGGGAGCGCTTGCGGATACCTGCGGATCTTCACGAAGGGATCCGCACCCTGCTGGCGGAATGCTGGTTCGTGGATCCCGATAACCGTCCCCAGCCTCAAACAATCATGCGCGACATCAACCAGATTTTCTACGAAGGTAGGATTCCTGTGTTGGCGACATGGAAATTGGTTTGTTGTTATGTTTTCCGTAGAGCACTATACAGCTCCTTCGGAGCAGAGTACCGCAATTTAGAACGCCGTCTCTCGGTGACTAGCGGCGAACGCCTGGGGGTTCCAACTCCGGCCACAAATGCATGGGGAACGGGAAAAAATCGCTGCTTCCTGATTATTTTGGGGATCTATGGAACGACAATAGTTTTTGATTTAATAAGGGAATAGTTTACAATAATTTGCGCTAAGTTGTGCGCCATGAAATAACTTAATTTGTTTTTAAAAATTGCCTGAGCAGCATCATGCAGCAGACGACGCGGCGACGTCACACCGTTCACGTGACCCGCTCCGGCCAATCCATAAAGTCCATCTCCGCTGCGTAAAACAATCATCTGCTTCAAACACCATTGCTTTGAAAATTACATTCGCAAAATTTTCACACGCGTCCAATATTATTAAAACTTTGATAAAGTGTTTAGTGCTTTACCAACTTTACGACAAACTAGGTCCGAAAAGTGTGAACTTGGTGTTTATTTTTTAATCAGCCATGTTGAGTCGATCTCCATGTATTCTCCCATAGGGCGGGCCGCCTGCTGGAACCCTGAGTACCATGTGACTTGCGCCGAGCTGCTCTGTCGGCCATGTTGTCGGCAATGCACGCGGATCAAAGGATTGCGCTACTCTGCTCCGAAGGAGCTATATAGTGCTCTAGTTTTCCCAAGCCTGAAAGGATCCTCCTGGAAACATTGAAGTGGCAGCCAACGTTGCACTAAGAGACTCAGCTTCTTTAAGGCCTGACCATAAGTTTCCTCAGACCCTGAAGCTTCTTGAGGGCCTGAAGTTCCTTGAGGGCATGACGCATATTCAAGCTATGGAGAAACTTCGTGCTCTAGGAAAACTTTATGCTCTGAAGAAACTTTGGGCTTTGAAAAAAACTTCAGGCACTTAAGACACTTGAGGTCCTGATGAAGCTTCAGAGCCTTCAGGGCCTGAAACTTCTTCAAGGGCATTAGGAAATTTCAGGGCTGAAGGAGCTAAGTCTCTTAGCGAAACATTGGCTGTCAGTCTGAGGCTTTCAGACATGTTTCTTCAAGGTTCTTTTCTAGCAGGTTCACTTCCTCTCTGCTGTGTCTACGATGTCTCACAAATGGTTTCAGCATAAGATCGCTCGAGTGTGGTTTCTAAACACTTCACATTATTTGTGTATTGTGCCTAGATATTTAATCCCGAGAAAATAAAAAGGAGAGACTTAAGAACACATAGTAGGGGAGAAAAACAAAAAGAATGCTTTGTCTTGGGCCTTTTTTAAGACAAGCAGATGCCGGTTCACTTGCCTCTAAGTACCATTCAAATGTTTAGATTTTCTCTAACTAATATTTAACTATTTACTGTGTGTCCTAAACAAGATATCTGCCATGATTTTTTTATTGTTTGTTTTATTTCTTCCTACTGTTAGTCCTTTGGGGTTGTTACAGGAGTGTATAAGCACACACGAAAATAAAAAACGAGACTTCCTAATGCGCTACATAATAAACAAAAGACAACCTGCAGTGAAAGCACACGAGTATAAAACAAAACGATGCGGTAAATACACATAAGGAAAAAAAGACACGTGCTATATAAAGATGACATACCAAACTTGAACTGCAGGAGTAAAGCCTTCTCTACAGGGCGGTTGCCAATGCACATAAATAATAAATCGTAATTTCGATATACAGTTGGCTGAAGCACTTTTGAAACATCTATACTGACACTGTTTACCATTTCTTGAGGTAGAGAGCTCCAATCTACTATTGTTTTTGCAAAGTATCGTTGCTTGCTTTTCCTAATATAATTTGGCTGGAATGGTTGCTTCTTAGGGGCCCAGATAACAGGAGTGTCATGTAGCAGTCCGAGTTGATATTACAGATGTCATTCTTGAGCACAAAGAGAAATATTGAACGTGCAATCTACAGGCCACGTTAGTTATTTTCGATCGGTGGCCGAGCACGTTGATGCATCGCAGCTTGGAGCGTGTGGAGCGGAAGATTGCGCTGCAGAACCATGAGGATTTTGGGTTTAACCCCCATTCCCCTGCCTGTTTCCATCTGGATGAGCATTGTACCAGCGTGCGGTCGTGTATCACTACTGCGTGGTGCACGTTAAAGACCCCAGGCTAGCGGTTCTACTCCACCGGCTAAATTTCTCATAAACAGCTGAGACGCCAGACGCCCATGGGGGCTGACTAACTTCCGGCTGTATAAGCATGCTCACAACACATTATTATTATTATTATTATTATTAATATTATTATTAGCAGTAGCAGTAGTAGTAGTAGTAGTATTCAAATTTAAATTTTGTTTGTTTTGTTATTGAGTTTTAGCTAGTTTCATAACCCACATGGTTTCACTAGTTTCTTAACAAATTCCGTAATCCACTGTCGTACGTCGACGTCATAGAGCAGGCATCGACGTCTTGAAATGTGTACTAATCCTTTTTTGTGCATACTGCGCACTTACTTAGCCGAGTCGTCAGCGGGCTGGTCTCGCACGCAGGTCGCTCGGGTTCGATTCCCGGCACTGTGTGCGCTTTTGCCTTTCTTTACAAAACTAGAAAGGCAAATTCATTATTATATTTCTTCTTTTATCTTTTGCAGTGTACAACTCGAGACGCAGCCATTCCTATGCGTCGGTCTACCCGCAAGCTCCCCTCGGCGTCGCCCGCAACGCCCGCCCACCCTCCGGCCCGACCTCTCCTTTCCCGTCTCCGACGGCAGCCGCCGCGGACTCGAACCGCAGGTCCGAAAATGTCGGAGCCGCGTCTGCGGGGGCGTCTCCAAGCCCGGGGAGTGGCGACGCTCTCTCCCTGCGGCGGGGCTTCAAGTGGGCCAAGAACCCGTTCCGGCTGCACACGGCTGAAGTGAGCTACGACAACCTGTCGAGCTGTTCGACGTCGACGACACGTTCGGAGGCCACGCTGCAGACGGACATCGGGACGTGCATCGACGTGGAAAGTCTCATCAGCCTCGAGGAGAGGTGAGTGTGGCACGGCGTTGCCGCTCCGCCGAGCGCTTCTCGAGCGTTTCAAGGCGTCTGCTACACTTGCGACTGCTTACGACTCATCTCAAAGGGGTACAGAAACGTAATTCTGGATCTCATTTGTTTGCTTCAAAATGATGTAAGTAGCAGTAGAACCTCAGAAACATCAATATTTCGTGGAAAAACACAAGGAAACATATTTTAAACTGAAGCAGACGATAACCAAAAACCACCTGGTTTTTGGTTATGAAGCTGCAGTGGGATGTCGTGATGGCGTCGGTCTTAGACGGCGGCGCAATTATATGGGAAGTATGCTCACTAGTACAGATTACCTGGCCCAGAACGTATAATACCGAAGGTTTGGTGAAGAAAGCCAAAGCACAGTTGGCCACCTTGGATTCAGTTTGCGAGCCAATCGCTTCCACTCACCGTTTGACGTCACTGACGTCAGGGGCTGATGAACTGCCTTTTTCGATGTGGCCCGCACTGCTTTCAACGTCGTTCTTGCCAAGAGACGTCGACCTCTCGAAGTGACCCGGGTTTATGTCGCAGAGCTGTGCCGGCATCCGCTGTTGTGCGCGGTAGTTTCTGCGCGACAATGTGAGACTTCGACGATTGTCTCGCCGTCCAACTTAGTTGCCGTCAGTGGACTAAGTGCCCCTGCCTGGACGATCACGTAAGGCTCGTTAGACGAGACTGACGAAAGCCATGCTGATCACTTTTTTATTCGTTTAGTGTTCGCCATTGAGGCAAGTCACGTTGCAAAATCGTGGCATTGCGGGCGTTTTTTTGTGGTAGTTTTTGTGCGACGATGTGAGAATCGTACAGTCGTGTTTTTTGTGCCTTCTCTTAAAAAATCGCGTCCCGTCTAGACCAACACAAGCTTCCTTTACGCCGATGCCTTCGTTCGTTCGTTTAGTGGTCGCCCTTGTGACAAGCAATGCCGTAAAATCGTCGCGGTGTACACGCTTCCTCGCGGTGGCATGACAATGCTGTGGTCACACCACTATCGATGCCCGCCGTGCTGCCTCATTAGACTCTGCCTGCTTCCCTGCTTGCTTTAATAAATGAAGCATTTGCCAACTGGTGTGGCGCCTTTAAAGTGATATTTATTTATCCGTGAAGCTGGCACCCTCGCCGAGTCTGGTCGTTGTGATCAGTCGGGGTTAAATCAGGTAAGCAGCAATTGCCTCGTCCTACCAATGCCACACATGATCCTGCCGTCACCTTAGGAAATCTACCAGCGTCTCACCTGGTGCGAGACAGCAGAGGTACACATTGCGACACCATTAGCACGAACACGTCATCGGCGATTTTCGCATTTTACTTCTAAATAATATTAGCGAGCACGAAATTTTATCGCTTACATTATAGAACTAAATCAGCTCTTTCCATAGCAATAATAACTTAAATGAGATCCCTTGGTTTCAGAAAATTTACCGCATCTCCACCTGGTGAATGATGTTGATTGGGGCGAAGCTCTGGTGGTGCTTGTCTGCGTAGACGCTGAGTCGCAGCATGCCGAGTCTTTCGTTCGGTTTCATCCATGTCAGAAAGAGAATGTATGGTACGGAACGTGGTTATATACGCATTTGAGCATTTGACCGCAGCGCCCTCTCATCTATAAATGTTGAGCCAATGCATGCAAAGTTTAACGCGATTGTATGCGCATTTGACCGCAGCGCCCTCTCCTGTATAGAGGTTGAGCGGCTACATGCAACGTTTCATCCATGACATCCCCAGCTCTTGAGTTACTACCACATCTCAGAGCCCCCTACTCGTCCCGCAGTCGTGGCCGAGTGGTTAAGGCGTTGGACTACTTTGTGGAAAAGAAATGTAACTACTTATATTTCGGGTTGCTGATTCAGATGTGTCTAGTGATGTGTCGAAACAATTTTGGGGCAAAATCGGCGGCTCCGAATTTCGCCGGAGCTCCCCTTTAAATTGTTTCACAACTGTGACGGCTTGCGACCTCAATCTTTTTACGAATTGCTGTGGCAATGGGGCGGTTGTAAACGGCTTAAGACCCTGTTGTCATAGCAACCCGTAAAAGGATTAACGTCGCAAGCCATTGCATACGCACTCGGTCGTACTCGTGCAAGTGTGTGGATCGCCCTTTACTCACTAGATAATGCCGCTGTGCTGGCATTCCGTTGCTCTGTTTCTCTTGCTGCATGTGTCTTGTGTTTTGTTTATGTTGCATCATGTAACATCTTACCGCATACGAGGCTGTGACGTCAGCAATAATTAAGGTTCCGTGTTTTCGGTGTATGCGGCAAGCCAGTTTTCTGAAAATTGGTCAGAGCCGACATATCCTCAACTCGAGCTGTCCTCGATTAGGAGAAAGCCGAGCTTCGCTGGGAGAAATCTTTTTGTTTACAGCTTTATTTTATGCTGACTCGGAATGCAGCCCCCATGCAGTCTTGAAGCTTTTAAGAAATCCCCATTTTTTATCTTGTTTTCTTATGTTTTTACAAATATTTGAGTCACCCATATGCATGATCCCTGGAAGTTGGGAAACCCCACGGCCGCCGTGTCCTAGACCGCGATTTCTTGTCCAACCCCGAAGATTGCCAAATTTGCGTGACAAAAATAATACCCGAAGAAACGCCCCCCGAATTTGAAGAAAAATAAACTCCAAAAATGCGAAACCCTAGTCATAATCTTTACAAAGCGCAACTGTGAGATGACGCTAGTGCAGTGTTGTCACTGTGCCAAATGCTCTTGAGCATTTAACGGCACTGTCATATTCTAAATGATGCCACTGCACTGGTATTATCTTGCACTATGCGCCTTGTTGCGGGTGTTGCGGGTTTTTTACATAGCTCGATCAAGATCGTAACACTTCTGTAATAGTCATTGGCAGGTTAGAAGTTCAGGGGAAGCTCCTTTCACTCCTTTCCACTTTAGCGGAGCTGTAACGTCAGAGAGGTTGAATCCTCTCCAGCATTCGCTCTGCTAAAGTGGGAACTCTTCACCTGCCGTTGACTATAGACCATATGGCATCATTCAGTTTTCCAGGTCAGCCGAGCCAAAGTTTTTAAATAGATGGTATGACTGCAACTCAGCAGCTGTACCCCAGGCGGCACGTCTGTGTCTGTATTTTCAGTCCGGAGAACGCCATCTGCTTCGGCAACACTTCGCCGATGACTGAGGTGTCAGCGTCCCCTTGGGTGATTGACAGCCAGCAGCTCGTGAAGGGAAAACCATTGGGCCAGGTAAGGTCCCGCCTCCAGACCTCCACGAGTCCACGCGACGTGCCGAAAAATGCCTCAGTTAAACTTTGAATTTCTTCGCACGAGTTCACTCGTGGCTCGCACGTTGGCATCATTGTCTCGTGCCGTCAGTCTCTTCTCGCAGTCGATGCTACTGTCACCGACGGAGTGAGGATGGCTGGGCGTGTCGTTCGGATGCCTGGTTCAAAAATGTTATAGGCGTGTCAAGTCCCGTGCATCTCATTATTGCCCCACAGCCAATGGGATTGTGGCATTAAGCAACAAAACCTTGAAGAATGATTCACGAAGTAAGACGCATGAGCACAATAAGCTACGCCCAATATCTCTTAGGTTGTCGGGGACCCTAGGATTTCTTGTTTGTTAATGGGAAACCATGGAAGCTCCCATCAATGTCATCTCAACTATTAGCGCAACTATATTTAAAGGGACACTGACAGGGTATTTATGCTCGCCAAGTGTTTTTATTTGTACATGACATATGAGAGCCCAACTACCCGGGACACAAATTGCAACTCGAAATTCGTTCTCTTTTTTTCTTTTTTTTGCTTGAAAAGTTTTGCTTTAGAACTAACCAGTTTGAGTTATGCTCACTCTCTTTTTTTGGTTATGTGCTTTTTTCTATGGTTTAGACACAATCGCCAAAGATAATCAAAGTCATGGGTCATCGAAGGCACACACTCAACACTAGAAATGGACAAAAAATATGATACCCATTTTTATGGCTTTTCAATAAGTGCAAATATGTTGAGTGAAAAAAAAAAAAAAATATATGTTGCACAGCCACGTGACTTCCAGTAACTTTCTCCTCCTTTATATTTCTTCTTCCTCCCCAGTCCAGTTTCGGTTTTGGTTTCGAGCAGTTGCATTTTTTTCTTTATTAAAAATATGCATGGCACTGTAGCAAAATATTGATTAGGTAGTTTTCTGAAATCATTATATTGCCTGGCAAAAAATAAAACAATTTTTTTGGGGGGTGTCAGTGTCCCTTTAAGGCGCATACCATAGGTGTAACACTTGTGCTGCAAGCTGTTTTTTTCACTTTTGATGCAAAAGAACTATGGTAGTTTTAGAATGTTCTACCGAATTTGCTCATGTTAATATTAAACGAGTCATCTATTTGAGATGATTTGCTCTATGCTAAATTTGATAGCTGTGTTGTTAATTTTTTTTTAATCGGGATTTGCCATGTTTTTGTTTTTAACTCTTTGCACTCTCTGGGAGATTTTTACTTCCATGTGAAATTTTAGTTGAAGTCTTTCAGCTGAAATGGCCACTGGAAATCACAATAATGGTCTTTCCTAAATTAATTTGGGGCAGCCTTGAAAAGACAGGTAATTAACTTGGAACGAAAACGATCAGACTCCTCCAGAAATGCGACTCCAGTTGGACAAGGCATCACTGCTTTCACAGAAGCATTTTAGGTACGAACACCTCTGCGAGAGGCGTACAGTATTGCTGCCTGCTCTGTCTATTGAGTATAGTTTACACTAGGCTAAAAGAAAATTGTGAACTTTCTTTTAAAAATTAAATTAGATTTATTGGATTTAAATAAGATTTATATGATTTAAATCCCTTCAGGTAGAAAAAAATGATTTCTTGTCTCTAGATATGTTTTTTTAAAACGGCTGCCTGACGTAAACTTTTTGAGGGGGCGTGAATATTTGAATTTTAGAATAGTAGTTTCAAATAATACTCTATTCGATATTCGCTTCGAGATGAACTACGATATTCATACTTCTCATAAGTGTTGCTCGCAGTGGCTAAGCCCCGTTGAGTGCGCTTCTCAGTGAGAACACGTGCACTGCGGGAAAGCAATACCCGCGGAGCTCTGGGGCTCCGTGGGTATCGCTTCACCGCAATGCACGGGTGCTCGCTGAGAAGCGCGCTCTACGGGGCTAACCCTCCGCGATTCTCTTGACAACTCGTGTTTATCAATCGTGCTTTTAACGTGAAACGTTCTTTGGCTAGGTGGTCGGCATTTCGTGAAGCCTAGATAAAAGCGTGGCCTCGACCCTCGATACTGATTGGTTGATGGATGGGAGAGGAGTGAGGTAATCGACGCTGATTGGTTAATGGGGAGGTCATGTGACCAGAGAAGTAGGCGAGGAGGAGTGAGGTGGGAGAGGAGGATCTCGACCACCTGCACACACTGGGGGGTGGAGCTTGCGAGTATGGAAGGCTCTGGAAGATCGCTAGGTTTATCAGCCCGATTAGCAATAGTATCGCTTTATTCTAGGAACAACTATCAAGTGTACACATGGTATGCGTTAAACAATCTGACGAATAGCGCTGTGAATGTGGGCATCTGGAAACTCGGAGTATTGCTAAACGTTTAGGACGCTAGAACGTTTCACGTATGCAATACAATTGCCTATCGATTTGCCATAGATGTTGTTTTTTTTTTGTCGCATTTTATATTGAAAAAAGAATATTTACATATAGCAAGCGATTAGGTTACCTGCAATAAATTTGTTGCTCACGGGCCACAACCCATAAATTCTGTTAAATTAAAATCCACAAGCGGAAGCTTGGGAACAATGTTCACGTGTTCAGCTGGGTTTTCTTTCACGCGTTGTGCAACAGAAGTGAAAGGCTTGGAGAAACTATTCAATATTCAATTCAAAAATATTTGTCCAAAACTACCACTATTCGCTTCGAACTCAAAAACTATTATTCGCACATGCCTAATATTCCTTGATCATTCTTTGCCTTAAAATAAAAAAATTAATATCCACAAAAAGCATAAAATAATAGACAAACGGTACACAGAAAAGGTTTTCGGGATTATTTGGCGGAGAGTGTTCGATATGAATCACGATTTGAATTGTGATTTAGGTCACGATTTATATCATGACTTTTATTCTCCACTCTGGTTTATGCATACGCTTCATCTTGCTGTGCACAGGGCTTCTTCGGCGAGGTGTACGCGGCGTCGCTCAAGAAGTGGGCGGGGCTGCAGGAGGAGGTTGTGGCCGTCAAGTGCATGCGCAAGAGCTCGCTGCTCGAGCTCTTCCAGTCGGAGTCGGGGCTGCGCGACCTGCAGCGCGAGATCGAGATCATGAAGAACCTGCGTCACCCCAACATCGTGGAGATCAAGGGCCTCGTCGAAGGTGACTCTGAAGCCCCCTCGTTATTTTTTTTTTTTTTGAGTCGTTGGCCATCTTAGAAATTAGCGTTTGACGGCTGGTTTCATGTTACGTTTCTGCTTCTTGTTTTTATTCAATGTGTCGCTCAAGAGTTGCCTCCGATCAGAATGAGGAATCGTGCATTCTTTCAGCATGGCTTTTCCGTCTTTAAAAGGTCATTGAATTCAGTTCGAAAGTATCTGACTCACAGTTATTTCAACATGACTACTTGTCTGATTTCTATTTTGCTCAATATGGTGAAATTACTGACTTAATTTTTAGTGATATAATATTTGATTTGTATTTGGTTTAGTTTTTTTAAGAAACATCGTAATGGTAGCTTTACCATTAAATTTGAATTCGAGCACAATTTCAATACGACTGTACGAGATGGCTCGATTTAAATTTAAAAAAAAGGAAGCTCCAATTTAATTTTATTTGAAGAATGCCGTGATCTTTATTTATTACATATTTAAAATTAAATACAAGTTCAAATATTTTTAATGGTGCTATAGTTTATTTGCTTTTGATTGAGTGTTAAAATATATTGTAATGGTAGTTTGGCTACTCATCTTGAATTTTATGCAATTGATAATTGAAATTGCTCTGTCCAACTTTATTTGAACGACATGTCTATTCTGTTCATATGTGATTCAGTTCACGACTGTAAAACACACATTGTAATTATTTAAAGGGTATGGCTATTTGATTTGCACCTAATTGAGTCTAGAAAGTCACCGTTTGCACATGCTTTAATCTGATGTGTCGATGCATGGGCAGTTTTAAAATCACTCTTTTGCTGTTGATGCCCCTTGCTTACACTTAAATCTGGACATACACGCTACCCTGTCTGGCTTATTTGCAGCCTTTTCTTTTCTTAAAGTATTCTTTGTGAGTAGGAAATATATGCTTTAACTCTTTTTGTTTCTCCGTCTGCATTTCAGAGCCGGAGATGATGCTGGTGATGGAATTCCTTGAAATGGGCTCTTTGCTGACCTACCTCCAGACCTACCAGACCAAGGTGTCTCATCCACAACTGGTCAAGTACAGTGAAGACATTGCCAATGTGAGTTTGTTTAAATAAGGGTTACTGTGCAGGTGAGCTGGTGAACACATTGTCTCATCTTTGTTCCTAGTCTCAAAGTTTTTTTTTTTTTTTTTTTTTTTTTTACTGTGAGTTTGTTGTCAAGCTCAGAAAGCTGCCTATAGCTATGTGTCGCAAATTGGGCTTCTGGGTTTTGAACACTAACTACTTTAGCAGTGACTGAACTGAACTGTTTGCTTCTAAGTGCATGTAGTGTAGTGTACAGTAATACAAATGAACCATTTTTATAATCTCTTTCTTTAAATTTTTAAAAGGTATAAAAAGGATAAGCTGAAAGGCTCAGATTGCTTGGTGGAAGGGGGTTGAATTCGTCTCATTAAACACCATGTCCAGGATGTAGCATTGTTGAAAATCGGGCATTACTCAAAAATCAAAAATGGCCTAGGTACAGTACCTATGTTGTCCATCTAAAGGTTTGTTTGTCAATACTATGCAAATAAAATCACTAGTTTTCTGCACACACAATGAGCTTGTAAATTGACATCACAATTGGGAGAAATTGCTGTTACATTGTTGAAAATCGGGCATTACTCAAAAATCAAAAATGGCCTAGGTACAGTACCTATGTTGTCCATCTAAAGGTTTGTTTGTCAATACTATGCAAATAAAATCACTAGTTTTCTGCACACACAATGAGCTTGTAAATTGACATCACAATTGGGAGAAATTGCTGTTACATGTTTTGAACCTACCCATGTCTTCTAATGGAATCAAATGAATGACTCTTTAGCGTTTTCTAAACACTTAAATGTTAGCTAGACTAATTGAAAGATGTCCACCAGCAAATTGAGGTGTCACAACTACTGATTGGCTTCCATTGCACACTTTCTGTCTAAACCATGTGTGGGAAGCTCCCGTTTTTTATTGCATTTCTTCGACACATTGGTTCCAAGGTTAGAGTAGACGCAATTACTGCTCAGGATAATGTCTTGACGTCCAACCTTCCTCGTCCCTCGTCTTTGCGTTCAGCTTGTCTCATCCTTACTCCTTGTGGCACGTTTTCTACACGCCCTGATGTTCGGTGTGGTGACGTCGTACGAAACTGTCGATGCAGGGCATGGAGTATCTGGAAGAGAAGCACATTGTGCACAGAGACCTGGCTGCCCGCAACATCCTGGTGGCGTCCAAAGACCTGGTCAAGATCAGTGACTTTGGCCTGGCCCAGTTCACGGTCGGCCACTACTACTACATCCACACGCAAAACCGCAAGCTGCCTATGAAGTGGTAACGTCACAAACCTCCTTTCTCGACTGTTGCCTGCATTTTGTGGCACGAATATTCTGTGTGTCATTGGAAAGAAGTTGCGTTCAGCACCGTCAGATGAAGCTTTGGCATCATATAGCTTGAGAAGTAGCAAAATTTTTCCAGCTTTTTGTTGTAAAGTTAGTGGTGTGATCATGACAAACTTTAATGGGCATGAGTGATCATGCCCCATTTCCCTTTGCGCACACACGCACGTCATACATTATGATTGTTTCCCATTGTGCATTACATGCCTGTATTTTTAATTATGAAAGCATCTTCCATTACAAAAACACATGTCTGTGTTCTCGAGTATGAATACAATTTCCATTTTGTAAAAACGAGTTTGTGTAGTCAATTCTCAATTATGGAAGCAGTTTTTATTGCACGAACACATTGCAGGAAGCGAAAGTATACAGCCAAGCAGGTTAGGAAACATCAAAATCTAAACCCTGAGACGCAGAGAAATAAAGTAACTGACAGCATGACACAAGATTTCAAATGCAGCTTGCTTTATTTACAAGAAAACAGCAACATATCACCGTCTCGACCGAAAAAAGAATAGCGGCGAATTTCTGCCGTTGGTGCGACATCTAATTTTGAGTTTAGTCTGTCTGGTCAGCTACTGTCTCATCTCTGCGACGGCTTCTCTTTCAACATCCACCTTTCATGTTTCTCTGTTGTCGGTTATATATTGCCGTTCTTTAGTGAATAAACCGAGCTGCATACGAGACCTTGTGCCATGCTGTCCATTCTTTCCTTTTTCATTGTCTCGGGGTTTGCATTACGACAAGCGCACATCCATATTCTTAACTGCAAGAACATCTTCCATAGTGGATAAACGGTGCCTTGCCCACATTCTCAGTTGTGGGAAAAGTTTCTGATGTGCAAATAGACCGTTTCCGTGACTAGCCCTTGGGGCACGTCTTGTGTCGCAGGTACGCACCGGAGAGCATCTTGTACGGCAAGTTCTCCACCAAGTCGGACGTCTGGAGCTACGGAGTCACGCTGTGGGAGATGTTCTCGTACGGCGAAGACCCCGTCATCCAGGACGTGACTCAGGAGAACCTCGGAGCAGAACTGCTCGACGGGAAGAGGCTGCCCTGTCCGCCGGGGTGTCCGACGGACATCTACCGGCTGATGCAGCTGTGCTGGACCACGGACTCCCACCAGCGGCCCGGGTTCGCTCAGGTCAAGAGCTTTGTGCGCGACCTCTGAGAAGTCACGTGCAATGTTTTTTTTTTTACGGATTTGACGTAATTTATTTAGCGAGTCGAGAAACTGGGGAATGAATGCGCATTAAGGCTGGTTTACACAACTGTGCGTTTGCTCACAAATGAGATCTTACAATCTTTTACGATGAGAGAGTACGCTGGCGCCGTCTGTGAGGTGGCCCCGGAACTGCATTTGATTAGAGCGAAGGTTTTGCAGAATTCGCGAGATCAAACATATTTACTGTCTTTGAAAAATGGTCGTTGATAACATTGCCGAAAGTTTTTTGAGCCAATAAAGAAAGGACGATGCCCGAAAAAATGAGAAAACATATGGTAATCGCGAGCATTCCACGGGTGCCCGACAGACGGCACCGGCGTATTCTCTCATCGCACGAAACCCGAAGAGGTTTTAAGACGCACAGTTGTAAACAGTTGCAAGTGTGTAACCCACCTTTTACCGCAAAGTACCGAGCAGGTGCCCACCCAAATCGGGATACCGTCTTGAAAAAGAAAAACAAAAAACTTGGGAACAGGTGCATGTCGTACCGCATTTCACATTACGTCCGACGCAGTCAATCTAGCAGTGCCAAACGCACTTTGTCGTAGCGCTCATCTTTGTGCGCTCGCCATCGCCGGCTGAACCAGTGGAAAAAAAGCGCAGATCACGAGGCATTGATTGCGCGCGATTGATTTACCCGGGGATGGCAGACGACGCAGTTTTGGTGCCGCTATATTGACTCCGTCAAACGGTGGCGTCGGCTACGGTCGGTGTCAAGTGAGACGGAGTGCAAGTCCGAGAGCAAACGTGCAGAAGGGGCACACGGTGGGGCCGGGCTTCACTGCTAGGCACCGGGGCGCTTACAGAAGCGGTTGACGAGGAGGAGCTCCCTGGTTAGCCCTTCGGAAGTTCGGGGTGGTTGCTCGATGCATCTTTTGTTTAGTTTTCAAACGTTTACAGAGTGGCAGGCGGGCACTTGTCCTGACTGAGGCACTTGCTTGGTATTTTGCGGTAGTTACGTTTTCGGTTTTAAATTCGGTTGTTGCTCGGTTAATGTCGGAACCGAAATCCCGTTTCGACGCGTGCCGTGCGACGAGTGTGGACAGGATTGCTTGTTCTAACGCCGCTTTGAACATACAACTGGTGTATTACGGTTTATTCGAATTCCCCCTCGAGCAAACCCCTGCACAGTGTGCCTAATCGCTCAAGAAGTCATTCTATGATGAGACTTGTGATACTAGCAACGAAGAAGGTGCCAGCTTTTTTTTGATGATTGTGATGTAGCAATGACTTTGTGGGGGCTAACTGGTTTTTGAGCAGGCTAGTTTAAGTGTCTGGATCAGGGTGCCACTATTTTTTGCATCCTTTCGTCAGATATCACTGAGTGTCGGTGAAGCCAATATGGCTGTGTCCAACACAAGCCTTCAAAGAGAATTTCCGGGAATTCCGTTTATGCCAGAGGAGACAAATTGCTGTTTCAGTCCGAGAACCCTGTGCCAAGCAGGATTCTGCTGTTTGCTTGGATTTGACTGGAACTAGATGTGATTGCAAATTTGTATGTGGGCTTACAGATTGTAACTACTGTAAATAGCATAACTCTTACTACTGAGTGAGAGTTTAGGTTTTCATTCTTATTGTATTGTTTAATGTATATATAGGGTATGTTTGTACATGTGCTAGCAATTTTTGTAAGCAATTGTGAGCCATTCAACTCTGTGAAGGCTGTTGGCCAGCGAGCTGTAGAGCACCACCATGAACTTCACCAAATGTTTATTTACAGTATATATACATAACTTGGAAACGGTAGTGATGATTGCTTTGTGATCACTATGATATACACTAATAGGTTTCATTACAACTTTGGTGAGATTCTTTGCTAAAGTTAAATCCCTCTATATAATGCTTTACATATATAAAAGCTGCTGCTTCTATATACTATGTAAAGCTATGACATCGCCCAATTAGAGCGGCAGAAGGCCAATTGTTCTCGGATGTGTCTCCATTATCACACGTTTCAACCTCTTTCGTTATCAAAATGCATATAGAGGTGATGGGGTGTATATGCATTTCCATGCAATGGAGTGCCTGTACATGTGATTTTGTTTCTGCACACGGATACCAAAAATGCATGGAACCCTAGCCATATACAGCTTAGCTGTAATAAGTGTTTGCTTGTTGGATAGTGCATACTGCTTCCTTAAGTTGTTTACTGATGTGATTTATAGGGAGGAATTAGATTACTAGACAAGGTGAGTGCTCAATTAATTTTGGGTGCTCATATCTTTGTTTATTTTTATTTTTTTATTTGTAAGTGTAAAGGAAGAAAGTTGGGATATGAACATAGCATTAGGAGACCTGCACAAAGTCACACAGTTTAACTGGGTAGCGCAAATGAGATGACTTTATTTAAATGGTCGATTGTGTTTGTTATGCATTGTGAAGGTTGTTTGTAAATATCCTTGTAACTATAGCTTGAAACATTTTTTTTGTGTTCTGTGTTAGAGTTTTTTTTTTATGTAAGAAAAGTTTGTAAGCTTGCCTGATCAGCCATTAGTGTGTTTTAGTTTATTTATTTGATCTTGCACCATATGGTGTACTTGTGGTACTGATTTCATGTGCACTCTTATGTCGCTCTCAATCGCTGTTCATTCTGGTGGGCGTTACTCATGTTACACGTCTAAATATTGTGCAAAAAAAAAAAATAACATCTTTGTTGTGTATAGAGCTTTGTCCAACTTTCACTCAGCTTGTTTTTTCCTTAAGAACCATAGTAAAAAAATGTGGCTTCTTGCAGAGTATTACTATTTGCCTGTGTTATATGGTGAATTAAGATTACTTGCATGTGCATTTAGGATCAATCATTTAAAGGTTTATCAAAACATGATTGTTTCAAATTCAAGAAGCATCATTTCTTTTTTTTTTTTTTTGTGACCTACCTTCATGCAGCCCATGTGAACTATGTGCAAAAGTTATGTAATGACTAGAAGTGTACTATAGTATATTTTTGTTCACATTTACTTCTATAGTGCAACGACAACAAAACAATTGTTCCTTGGTTTGTTAGTAGCAAATACTGTTTCCTGCCAGCAGACTTGCAAGAACTAGTCAAGTTTTTCTATGAGTAATGGTTGAAAAGACAGGACGTTCTAGGGTGTGCAAAATGTTTTCCTACCAGAACGTAGTGTACTTCACTTGGTGTATGGGCAGTCTTTTTTATTCCTGTATTGGAGACCATTTGTGTCTGTAGGTGTTATGTTGAGTACATTGGTTCCTCAGTTCCTATATAGTTGCTTAAATGTACATGCTACCGGTTGTAATATGTGCACATCTTTGCAGGGTCTTGTGGAGACATTCTCTCACTTAATTTCTCTGCCAGTCTTTGCTGAGGTACCTATGTTTAAGCAGTTTCAGGACTAGGGTAACTTTTTTGTGTAATTGGCACAAAAAAAAAGTACAAACAAGAAAGGGTGCTTTAAGGCAGAGTACCTAACTGAGATTGACGGTGTAATATACGGTATATGCATGGACATACAATGCCTGATGGAACCTACTGGTGAACTTCTCTAATTTGGGCAGTGTCAGTTTTTTTAAGGTTTAATGTGTTTAGCTTCTGTCAAAAGTACTGTACAGGTGGCAGTATTCCTCAGTGGGCCACAAGCTTAGGGGCACTTGATAACTGCTAAAAAATTGTTCAATACTAATTTCATGGTTTTCAAAGCAGTGGAATTAGGTTAAAGTCTGTATTGACTGTAAATTTAATGTTAAAAATTTTCTCGCCCGCTAATTTGTGAATGAATTTGATTCACGAAGGTGTGAAAAATGTCGGTTCTGCGTCACATGTTCGCAGAATCTCTTTATGCTTTTTTAGGGGAGTCCTCTCGGTGATCTCCACATTACAGTTTTATAGTTTGGAGAGCAAACTACAGGAGTCCTGAATGCAGTGCAAGCGTAGTAAGTGCAGGATGTGCCTCAATACCATGCTATATACAAGTTTATAATTGAGTTACACTTTTGATTTGTTGTCCCTGTGCAGTGTGCACTGTGCCAAATAATCTGGAAGATTTCTTTTATGCAGTTCAGTAAAGAATGTTACACTAGTTGAGCATTCTGTCATAACTGTTAAAGAAAAGGGATTGCTGAGATTTCCAACTTGTACCTGTTCATTGTTTGGTTGCCCCTTTACTTGTTATTGCGTTTGAATTGTTTTTTCTTGTATATTGCTTGAGTTTAAAGTGTGCACAATACAAATGTTTACAAAAAGGAGCAGATTGTTTGAAAACATGTACTCTGTTATTGGTGAACTATTTTTGCAGTCTTTAACTGTTCCATAGACGAATAATGTGGTATCTGGGAAAATGACCTCCAGAACTGTGGTAGGGTTCAGCCTTTTATTCCCAGAATTAAGGTTTTTTTGTTTGTTTTTTCTTCTTTCGGATTTGTGGCAGCGAAAGCAGTCTTCAAATCCGAACGTGAAAAGCGCTGCAACGAAAAATAGCAGATAATTAGTCATTGCAGTCTTCTAGGAAGTATATGCAAATCTACTTGAGCAACATTCTTTTTTTTTTTTTTTTTTTTGTATAGAGACAGCACTATCATGAAATGTGAATAACATGTGGCTAGGAAACTTTGGGGTTATATTTTCCGGATATTTTATGGTCAATGCGCTGTGCTTCTTACTGTGGTGGCACATTTGCCAAAATGTGCCACCACACCATTATAACATAAACCTATTAGTGCTTTGACCTTCCAGCGGTGCCTTGTCCTCATTGTATTGTCTAGTATGTTTTGAACAAAAGAAACATGAAATTTCGCACAAGCAGACAACATATCATTCAGCAGCATTTAGAGCACAAAAAACTGCGTTTTAGCACAACTAAGCAATGTTGCAGCCTTTATAACTAATTATTATCTAGAATTATTGTCTTTTATAAAAGTTACAACAACAGTGCTACTCATATAAGTAAGAATAAATTCTCAGCGCTGTCACATACATGCAGCAGCTTCGCAAATAGTCTAAAATCAATGAAAAAAAAAAAAGAAAACAATGTCGAAGTTATTTTGAAATTGAACTTTTTTGGAAGCCTTGGAGTGGCAGTGGATATTTGGCAAGGACGGCACTGTCCTGAACAGGCTGTTTCATTACTGACATAGTAAACCTCGCTATATCAGTATCATAACTCGCGCACGATCTTGCTCTAGTTTTAGTAAAACGTTGGCTGGCTTTCAGGAGGGTTCTTTTCAGTTACAATCGTCACAGTCGGGGCCGGTCCTAGGGGTAGGCGACGTGGGCGGTCGTCCTGAACGTCATCAAGGAAGAGGCGCCAGCGGAATCACTCATTTTTTTTTTTTTTGCGTTTTGATTTACCGTAGAATTTCGTAGGGAAGCTCACCCAAAATGAAGAGATAAATGGTAAAAAACATGGGGTAAGCTATCGTTGGGAATGCCACATCAAAAGCACAGCGCAGGGGAACCCAGTACAAACCACGTGACGCGGGAACTGATGTCGCCGACGCGGCAAATTCGCGTTTCACGATGCGATAAACACGCGGGAATTCGCTACCAACTCCTGTGTCACGAGAAAGGATATCGCAAGTGGCCGCCGCGGCAGATTCGTGTTTCACGGCGCGAAGGACTCGCGGAAACCCGCCGTGAACTCGCATCTCACGGGAACGGATACCGCAGATCGCAAACGCAGCAGATGAAGTGTCATGGTGCAGTAAAAACGCGGGAACCCGCTACTCTTGCCTGTCACGGAAACCGATATCGCGCGCGCAGATCGCGGACAAAAACACGGGAATACGCTACAAATTCGCATGTCACAGAATCAAGTACCGCAGATTGCGGACGCAACAGAATCGCATTTTACGATGCAATATACACGTGGGAACAACTCGCGCGTGTTACCGCTAAAAATCGATATAGCGCGCGCAGATCGCGGACAAAAACACGGGAATCCGCTACGAACTCGGGAACGTATATCGCAAACGAAGCAGATTCGCATTTCACGATGCAATATACACGTGGGAACAACTAGCGTGTTACGCGAGCCGATATCGAGCGCAGATTGCAGACAAAAACGCGGGAACCCGCTATGAACTCGCTTTTCGAACACACCGGTACCGCCGATCGCGCCGTTGATGGGCGATTCCCGTCGGACTTTGCTTGATGTCCAACGGGAATCGGGGGGTGGGCGATGTTTTGGAATTTTTATGTTACAGATATTTAGCCAGAAAAACGGGATGGGCGATCTCTCGGGGGAGGGCGCCTTTACGGGATTTTACGGTAGTTGAACACGGCGCCTGACATGACACTATTTGTTCGATCGCCTTTCGTTTTTGAAATGCGGTTCTTTTCTGACAAAACGCTCGTGTTGGTCCACTACTCACATGCTTACTAACTACGTTAAGTTCCTAGTAGATGGGGGCGTGTAAGACAAGAGAGGTTGGGGGGGGGGGGGGTATTGCACGGCCGGAGTTTGCCTAGGGCGCTTAAAGTTTTAGGTAGGGATGCCGCAAACCACCCTAGGTTCGATTTCGAAAGGTTTCGATATTTGCGAAGCAAACTGAGGTTCGATTTTGAAAAATTTTGATATTTTCGTACCGACTGAGGTTCAAATTCGAAAAATTCGCAACTTTCGATCACAGTAGAGTTTCGAATTCGAAAAGTTCAAAGCTTTCACGATTTCTAAAATTTCGGGTTCGAATATTTCGAATATTTTTTTACTTGAGGTTCGATAAATTCGAAGATTTCCAACTTTTCTAATTTGAAATTTGAGATATTCGAAAAATCTGAATTTCTTGGGATCTGAAGTTCGAAAAGTTCGAAGATTTCGAAATCCTTTGGAAATAAAATTCGAAAACTTCGAACGCTTCGAAATTTTATAGACATGAAGTTCGAACAATTCGAAGATTTCGTATTTCTTTCTGCATAAAGTTCGAAAAATTCAAAATTCGAAAAAAAAAAAAAAAAAAAAAAAACTTCGAAGATTTTGAATTTCTTTTAAGTCCAAGTTTTCAAAGTTCGAAGTCCGGTTTTCAAGTTCCTCCACAGTTTCAGTTTTAAATAACGTCACGACTCACTGGTTTTCACGAAATCAAGTTTAGAAAAGTTACGGCGTGATATCTAGACTGCGAAGTTGGTCAGGCAATTAAATGAGACGACAAGTGTCCGGGATGTGCTGGAATATTTGCCAGTGCAGAATGACGTGTGACCGTAGATCAGTAATTGTGACCGCCAGCCCGGGGGGGGGGGGGGGGGGGTCTTTGACGTGCATCACGCAGTAGTGATCACACGAACACACTGTTATACGATACTCATCCAGTTCAAAATGGCCAGGGGCGGGCAGGAGGTTGAGGCTCAGAAAAACCTTCAAGCGACCTGGCAAACTACCTCCCCACCCGCCCTTGCACGGTGGTAGTAATCCGATCGAACGCCGCCCGAGTGAAGTTAAGTTTGTAATTGTCCTGGAGGTTTATTTTCTGGGACGGAGGAATCGCCTCGCAAAAAGCATAGAAGCCGCCACAACTCGAGGTCGAGGAGCGTTCTACCATACAAGTGGCGTCGGAAGAGAAAAAACGGGGGGGGGGGGGGGGGGGGGGGGGGGGGGGGGGGGGGAGAAGAGGGAAGAGGGGAGGGGGGAGGGCGGGTGCTTCAGCTTCCCTTTCAGATATTCCGGACTGTTCAAGAAAACAATACGGGGAAAGAGGGCATGGTCGAGCTTATTTTAATCTAGAATTATTTATGCATATGTATAGCTACTGTCGCTCTTCACTGCCGCGTAGATGGTCATTGTTATAAACTCGTTGTCAGAAGCCACTACTCGTCACAGGCTTAGTGGTTCGGAAGTTCAAAGCTATGTCTTAACGACCTTAATAACTGTGCCAATGGTGTAAAAAAAAAAAAAAAAAAAAAAAAAAAATTAATAAATGCGGGGATAAAAATCTAGAGAAAAAAAGAACTATCAAGAACTCGCCGGAAATGTTGCATTCTTGCATATTCAGAGGTTCAGAACTTCGAAACAACTTTCTCCTACCAAAATGTGTACAGGCTAAAAGAAACACGTCCCAGGAACGTGAAGCGAAAAAAAAAAAAGTGTTTTCTTTTAATGACGTGCTGGACTTGAACAATATTAGAAATCTTCTCCCATGGGTTAATTTATCCCTTAACTTGAAAAAAAACAATAAATACATTATTTTGTATTCTGCACATGGCAATGATATGTACTGTCTGTGGTGTTAATTTAAATGGGATACCTCAAACAACTTAGACGAAAATAAACACCAAGTTTAGGGCATAATTGCATGTAGATACATGTTTGGACATTTGTTCGAAAGTCACCTTAAATAACAATAATCATATCTTAAGACGACACTTACTTAGGCTATACATAGATCAATCTTAAAAAGTTTAACATCTCTACCATAAATAGCTTCGGCTACATCGCGCTTCAAATCTGGCACAAACGATAATCGTCAAAAACCCGTCGTCCTTCCTCGCTCCTTCGGGAATTTATTTCTTTAAAACTAAGCATGCCAGAACATTGAAAAAAAAAAACGGTATTGTCTTTCGTAGAGAACGCAACACCGCATGTAAAGTTCAAGAAAAAAAAATTACGAATGTACCTCACTACTTGAATTCAAATGAAACCGTCCGCCGGTCTTTCGAAGTTCGACGAACGTCGAACTTTTACCCTAAAAGGTCGAAGTTCGTCGAACTTCTGACTTTTCAGGATTCGAAAGTTTGAAACCTTTCGAATTCTCTTGATAAATAAGTTGAAAAATTATCGAATTCCTGAGCATAGGAAATTCGAAAGTTCGAACAGCTTCGAATTTTTTAGTGAAAGAAAAATGAAGGTTCGAAAATCATCGAATTTTATGGTCACTCAAATTCGGAAGTTCGACAAGCATCGGATTTTGCAGCGTGGTAAGTTCGAAAAGGATCGCACTTTTTAGCGTAATAAGTTCGACGGTTCGAAAAGCGCCGAACTTCTTAGCTTAACAACTTCGAAAATTCGACGGAAGTCGAATTTTACGATATAGAAAATTCGAAATCTTTCGAACCTTCCGAACCGCTTGATCGATCATCGAAACTTCGATTCGAAAAAAGTTCGCGGCATCCCTAGTTTTAGGGCCGGCCCTGGTCGCAGTATCTGACATGCTGAATATTACTTGGAAAACGACCCATTAAAAAATTACCTCAACCCAGCACGCACATGTTCGTCGCTGCGAAAAGCGAGCACGAATACTGAAAGTGGAACCGGCCAGGAGCGGTTTTTCGGAAACGTCCATTGGGGAGGAGATCGAAGAGTCACGCCTCTAGCGGTACGCTTCAGCTGAGGAAACAACAAACCGTATTTTCTTGTTTGCTTTTTATCCGAGAAATCGAAGATGACGATTCGAAGGCCGCTCCTCGTGCGACTAAAGCACTGGTCAGAGCGAAACGCTCATGCCCGGACCGTGCAACGCGAGTTTCAATTTCTTTGTTATGCTGTGTTAGAAAACACCGGGCTGCGGGGACAAGCAGAGCTCCGATCTCCTGCCCAATACTTGGGGACAACTTTTCTTGACAAGGAGGCCAAAGCTATGGGTACACGTGTGCTGGCACTCATTGAGCGCCGATCACAGCTATGCTAGCTTGGTTTTCACTTTGGAGATGCCAGAAAAAGACTGATGCCCCACGCTCGCAAATCACGTGCAGCGTGAACATAGTTTTGCTAAGCTTGCAATTGCACGAACTTGCTTGCACGAGCAGAGCTACACTGTCAAAGCTTGCGTAGCTTCCACAGGGCTGCGGCCCCGCACTGTTGCGAGAGCACGTGGCCTTGGCGTCGCACTCGCTCGTGCGGCAAGCCTTGACAGAGTCGGAGCACCGCCGAAATTATGGTTTGGCCATTCGCGAACTTCGACCGCAGCGACGTTTTTGGTCGCGCACATAGCTAATAAGGTGTATTCACTGGAGGCCCTATTTGAGGGTGATGTTTAGAGCGCATGCTCAGAACGAGCTCACATTAATGGGCTACCAAGACCGGCAATCGTGATGGTGCAGAATGCACTTTGCAAAAGAACGGTGTAAGCTCGCCGCCAGCATGAGGTTGGATCTCGCAGATCATTTGCAAGTGTTCTCGTGCAAACGGAACCATAGATAAAGCCACGCGCTCGCGGCCGTAGCTTTGACAGTGTCAGTTGACACGAGTGTCGTTACCATAGTGACTGACAACATTGGTTCAAGGCACTTCTTGAGTTGGGCACAGCGCTGAGGTGCGGGCGCGTTCGTCTCCTGAGGCGTATTGCCTGTCCTCACCTGATGAAGTCTGGTGCCCTCGTAATGACGTGCTCGAATTCGGTGAAAGAGAGCTTGCCGTCGTCATCCATGTCGGCCTCTTCGAGTACCTTCTCCACGACGATTTGAACCTCTTCTGGGGTGAGCTGATTCCTCGTCAGCGCCACGGTGGCCTTCTCGATATCACTGGGCCCTAACATCTGGTCTTCATCATAATCTGTTTAAGAAGGAAATTGTGGTCTAAGCAGTGTTGGGTAATGTACATCTAAAAAGTATTTGAAGTAAAGCGCCCAGTAAACGAAAGGGTATGTACTTCAAGTAAAATAGTAAGTGCACCGCGCACAATGTACTTGAAGTAATGTACTGTAAATACAATGTCTTTCAAAGTAAAGTACGAGTACTTTTTTAACACAATATCTTTAATGATGCTCTTCCATTCCCCTAAATAGTTTTTTTTTTTTTTTTTTATTTGGTATTTATTGCTTTAGGGCAACGTTACTTCAACGCTCAGGAAACTCGCCCGAAACATGAACCGCTGGGGTCCACCGAGACCGAGCTAAATACGATTACAGCGCCACCCTGTAGCGACGAGTTGAAACATGAAAGTTGCTTTATATGGCTACTGCTAATGTTCCCCGAGTAGCGAAACACCCAGGCTCGAGGCGCCAAGATGGCGGCTCAATCTTTTTTTTTGTTTACTGTGGTCACCATGAGCTTTTAAAAGCATATTTTGGCGTAGAAACAAACGATAAAAAGCTCTTTTTGTAAGAGCTTTTTTTGGAGATTAGTACAGAATGACAGGCGCATGATGTTTTCTAAACTCTTTAGTTTACAAGGTTTTGTGCATAATTAATATTGTTTTTATACAACCATGTCTCAGCGGTGATTTCAGGTAGCGCGTCCCGACCTGGGCGCGTCCTAAGTTTGGTAGCAATTCGCGGCGCGTCCGCTTGGAAGGCGGGGTTGACATACCTGAAACCCTTTCCACCGTAATATATTTCAGCGCCAAAATGGACGATTAAATCCAGAAAAGAACAGTAACTGTGGACGCTATCGAATCCGATACTCCGGAACCAGTACAAATAGCCGTGCAGTTCCCCGAGTATTTTTATATTTATAATATTATAATATTTATCGTGTGTGCCTTCAGCCGTCGTTGTTAGAACACGGCGAGCAAGTGTTTTAAAATATGTCTTTGGCGCATCCAAGCGCAAAGAGGAGCACGCCAGTCAAAGGGCACCTAAGATACCGCGCGATGACGAGTCGGCCAAACTCCCGCCGTCATTGGCTGAGGTCGGGGGTGAACAAACGCACGTGGGCGCATTTGGGCGGTAAAAAAACGCATGGGGTGTGCAAGGACCAGACAAACTTGCACGTGGTATAGAATAATAATAATAATATTAAAAAAGACAGTCTACTAGACGGGAAAACAAAGCGCAAGCCTAATTCTCCGTAGAGAATTAGGCTTGCGAATTAGGCTTGAGAAGACACAGAGAACGTTGAGACGTTCTCTGTGTCTGTTCCTTCTGCTGAAAGTTCTTCCGATTTCTTCCACCGCAGTCTCAGGTGTAATACCACATGACTAATTCTCCCTCCTTCCCGCTCTGGTACGAACCAGGCATTTTGATGCAGATACGAGAACACTGGTGGCGCTACGAGTCGAAGGTCCAATAATCAGGCAGCGTAAAAAGCAAAACGTCACAGTGTTCCTAGTCTTTTTTTTTTTCTTTTTTATGACTCACCCGCCGGCTTATTTAATTAAGCGCAGATAGTGCGCCCATGACTCTGCATATTTAGTGAAGGTGTTTGTCTTCATTTGGGATGCCGCAAGAAAAAGTTACAGGCCGAAGTTCACAGAGCTCGTCGGTCGGACTCTCGCAACGATGACACCGCACTTTTGTCGCCAAAGTCCAATCGGCGCTCTCTTTTCGGCTGAAACTTTCGGCTACAACTCTACACTTGACGAACCTATGCGGAGCGCAAGTTTGTCTGCTTCTTTCGCAGGGGTTGTGGTGACGTCAGAACGCCGGGCTTTGATTGGCTCAGATTGAAGGATATAGTTGGTAGACCTCAAAGCAGGCTGCCTTGAGGTCTACCCACTATCCTTCAAATAGAGCCAATCAGAGCTCTGCGTTCTGACGTCATGGCAATCCCTGCAAAACAGCTTGCGCCCCGCATAATCCGTTCCAACTCAAGAAGGTAGGGCTAGGGAAGGGAAGGCTGGAGAGAAGGAAGCAGACGGAACGCTGGAAAGCTCCTCCTCTCTTTAGCGTTTCGTCTGCTTCCTCCTCCCCGGCCATCCTTTCCCTCGCCCTACCTTACTGAGTTGCTCCCGGGTTCCCTTCGAGATGAACTGACCGTATATGCGGAAGGCGTAGAAGACCTTGACGTCCCTCGGTGACGGCTCGCTAAACACGGACAGCATGTCCAGGAAGTCGTCGAACGTCATGTTGCCGCTGCCGTCGTGCGAGAACACCTTGCAGATGCGCTGTCTGAACGGGTTCTCCTGCACCCACGGACAGATTCAGAAGAGCATCCGCGGTTAGCGACTCCTGTGTTAATAGGCCATTTTCGTAACCCCGTCGAGAAACATGGCCGGTCGCCATTTCTTGCGCAAGGAGCGTATAATTGGATCCGGGTCCTCACCGATCACTGACGCAGCGTTCGCGTCTAGTACACGCTTAGAGTACGTGCTCAAACAATGGCGGACTCAAATTATAGGCGGATCAGCTACTATACTGTGTCTCACTTTGTGTTGTACCGCAGGAAAAGCTACAAGCGCGAGCTCCTTGCTCTATTATATAGGCACATTTCGGCGGCACAAGCCCTCGTGCACCAAGGGCAGCTGCCAATACTATGAGCTCGCGCTTCTAGCCTTCGCTGTGGTACAACATAAGGTGAAACGGAGTATAGATGGTGCGGGCCCTTCTGGAAAGAGTAGGCTCCTAGTGGATCGTGCTAGCTGGGTTTACGTCAGAGGTCGGCTGGCTCACGCATGTACGTTTGTGTGTAACCGACTGCGCTGCAACCGCTCGTGACTGCTTGCGACGAGCCCACACTGGCGCCATCTGTCGGATAGCCTTGAAATATTTTCGGTCAGCATATGCCTGTACCGAAAAAGGTTTTGCAGTATTGACGAGATGGAACTTACGAACTGTCTCCGAGAAATAGTCACATATACCATCCGAACTATTTCAGGTCTAGCCGATGGATGGCGCCACTGTCTCCTCTCGCTTTAAGCAGTCACAGGCGGTTGCAACGCAGTCTTTCACACTCAAACGTAAATGTGGGAATCCGCCTTAATGCGGATCTTTCGTGTATCGATCAATACACTGGGTCATTCAACGGAGGTGTATCCCTCACCTTGAGCTCGGACATCTTCTCAATCTTTTCCATGGGCACGTCGATGGTGTGGGCTTCGTTTCCCGTCATGACTTCCGGCACCCTCTGGCTGTCGAGCTCCCGAAACCTTTTCTGTACCCTGAGAGGTCGCGGAAATCCGCTTAATCATTCGCTTTTCCTTTGTCATCTGTGCTCTCTCCTTCATACCCTGCTCTCTCGCACCCTGTCAATAATCTAGCTACCCCGCCGGTTTGTCTTATTTATTGACAGAATTACTGTCGGGAGTGATTATGACACCCCATCACCCTCTTCTCCTAAACACAAAGAGAGTTAGTGTGCATCACAGATTCACCCTTTTCGGACACTCAATTCGTCCTGGGGATGTGCCTAGAAAACATTTAGTGAAACCGTTCCGAAGCTTGCGAAATTATTTGAGTAATCAAGTTTATTCTGTTGGGTTTGAGAGGGTTAATGCAGTGGTTCTCAAATGGGGTACGCGAAGGCATTCTAGGCATCCGCGAAGCTCAGCCTCATTAGTCAATTCGGCAATAAAAGTTGTTATTTTTTCAGGTTGAGAAGAAACTTTCTGAGTTTTGGGCGAGCTTTCTCGTGTATATGTTAATAAGAGAAGTTTACTTTACACTAGCCCTTAATCATAGCTACTTATTAAATCACTATCATAATTAGTCTATACCTTTCCCATCCTTTCACCATGAACGGGGTGCTTCATCATCTCCACCGATCAACAAGGAATATGCGAAACATCAAGGGTTAAGGCATTAAAATATTTACCTTTAAATTTTGAGTATATTGTAGTATAATGGCAGGAGCCAGTAAAGTATTGAATTTTGATTTTACCAAACTGATTTGTCCTAATATATATTTTTTTAATCCCTCGGAGCCTTGATTATTTGAATATTGTAGTGCGCCTGATTTTTAGTAACTTCTCCGTACTTCGTTGCACCCGTTCGCGCACTTCACGCTGTGTACGTATGTATCAGTATGCTCTCATATCTGCACGCAATGAAAAATGTAAAACCGGACGTCAGTTTTACGTTTGGAAATGGGATTCGTTACAGCCAACGTGCCTCACCTGAGTATTTCTTTCCTTGTGAAGTAGGTGCAGTCCTTTAGGCAGCACGAGTAAAATTGGGCATAATACGTCACGATGAGAATGAACCCCGTGCTCAAGCATTCGGAATTCATAATCTGCTTCTGGCAGCACACATTAGGAAGCTGGTTGTGCGTGCCCAGCGGCCATGCTCCCAAACTTGCAAACGAATCTCGGGAGAGAGATGGGGCGGTTTGCTGGTGCATGCAGGCCTATCTCCCGGCGGCTAAAATAGCCGCGAGAGGGATGTTATGATCAGATGACCGGATTTTAAGGCGCATGCTCATAATGAGCCCACATTAATAGGCTGCCAAGACCGGCAATCCTGATAATGTAAAATTCACATCGCAAAAAAAAAAAAAAGGGGAAGCTTGTTATTATTTACGCGCTCAGTTGTCGCGCACACCGGTCAACTATTTTCTGTTGCATTGTCAAAGGTGGCGTAGCTTTCACAGTGCTACGGCCCTGGGCTTACGAACCGGGGGAAGAGGGGGGGGGGGGGGGGAGGGGGGGCGCTTGCCTCCACCCAGTTCTCAGAGTGGGGGGTGGGGGTTGAGGCATGCGTTTTGCCCCCCCCCCCCCCCCCCCCCGCCGCCCTGGGGGGGGGGGAGGGAAGGGGGTCTGGTTTGCCCCTGCCCCCCCCCCCCCCCCTTCCCCCTCACACACACACTGCATAAGACAAGTCGGTACGCCACTGGCTACAGCTCGGCACTGCTGCGAGAGCACGTGTGGCTTTGTCTCGACGGTCTGGTGTTTCATCCGCACGCGCTCTCATGCGGAGACGTTAAACGAAACGACGGTCTCCCGAATGACTTCGACAGTTAAGGGGTATTCACGCAAGGGAGAAATCCCGGGGATTTCTCCCCGGCACACGCATCCCACGACGAAAACGTCAGGCTTTGCGACGCGCAAAAGCCCCGCGTTTTCATCTCGTGATGCGCGCGTGCCGGGGAGAGATCCCCGGGATTTCTCCCTCGTGTGAATACCCCTTTAGGCACTGTGGTTCCGTCCTTGCCTCGATTATTGATACCCTATTCCGCACGCAATGAAAAGGTGAAGAGGCTTGAAGCGTAAGGGGAATGAACCGGATTTGAGTGTACTTTAGGAGCGACATGTCACGTTATTTCTGGGAAGTTCGCGTTAAGCGTGAATTATAGAAAGCGACAGGAAAGGTGGAGCGGAATCGGGTGGAATGCGAGGTACTTTCTTCCCCACAGAGCCGGTCACGTGACCTCGAAATTCCTATGCGCAGGGAAAGTGAGGGAGAGGAGCAGACGAGGTGCAAAGGGACGTGAGAACGCCGACCTCTAATTAAAATCATTAGTGGACATTAAAAAAAAAGTATGCAGTGCATAGAGTTATTATAATGTGTGCAGTACATAGAGTTATTATAATGTATGCTAGAGGTTCAACTGGCGCTAGTGTCTATGCGACTTCCGGGAGGCAAATTGAAGGAGACAGCAACCAGTCTACTTTTACCGTGCTCCTCTGCATTCCTATGGGAAAATGCGCGTGCATTTTGTATCTTAGGCGGAAAATAATATGGAACAGTTTTATTTAAGTCGTACCGAATAGTATGTACCTTTATTAACACTGTAAAAGTGTAATTGCCTTAGTTAGCGCATTTTCCTTCATCGATGAACGAGGTTTAACTTTGCTATATTCCAAGCCCAAACCTCTGTTCCACAGCAGGTGTGTCAAAACAAGCGACGATCCTAAGCAAAATATCAATCGAAAGGAATATAGAGTGTGTCGAAGGCTCGCCAGCATTCCGGTAACGCTTAAATTTCGCTAATATGCCAGTCCTGTCACTATATGAAAATGACCCCGTCGTGCATGAGCGGATAAAAAAGATTCAGAACGTAAATAATAAAGCACGTGGGCTACGAAAGGTGTTTCTTTTTATTATTTTCTATACCGGCCAGCTTTTATCAGGCACTTGTTCTCCAAGATTTCGAGCGTGCGAGCGATATTTTAAACGTAGAAGAAGCATCTTCGCAGAGCAGAAAGAATAACGCAGTAGGTATTGAAAATATTACTATATTACGTGGCTTTCTATTTATTTTGATCGTACATGCACAATGAGTTGCTGATCCAGCGTTACTGCGTAGTTCTTGCCGTCTTTCTTGGCTTTCCAGACGTCCTTCGTTCGTTTGGCACGTATATCCCCCATGCTGGAAAGCGCCGGCGTCGTGTTCGCGCTAACACTGTTCGACAGTGCGCATAAATACACTTACAAAGCCGTTTTAGCACCGTTCTTAATGCAACGAATTGGAGAGAAAAACGCCATAACTGACCAATGATTTCGTCAGCCTGACGGAGAAATGTTCCAAGCTACCTAGTACGTACGGATTATTCGGGATATTTGCTGCTATAATCGAGCGCAGGGAGAAAATGCATTCACTTTTTTCCCATAGAAATGCATTACCGGAAGTCAATTTTCGACTTGTTGCTGTCTGCTTCAAATTCACCACAGCACACTAGCGCCATTTTAAACTCTAGTGTACATTATGATAACTCTATTGTGCAGTGGAGACAAAGGCAGACTTCGTCTCCCCCGCGCTCACCGAACGCGGAGCATATCGGGTATCGTTATCGGAACGATCTTCCTAAACTTCGCATTGTTGGCAGTCGACGGAGTGACGAGTTCGTTTCTAATCACACGGCGTGGAGCCCCGTCGCTCAAAAATGGCATCCGCGAATGCCGCCATATACCACCACGGGCGAAACGAACTAAAAAAAAAAAAACCTCCGTGCTTCTTCGGCTCTACCTGTCAAGCTTTAAAGAAGCCCGTCGGAACAAACATGATTTGGAACACAGAGCTTAGGTCGCAGTCTTTGCACTCTTTCACAATTTGAGAGATTAGAGAATTTGCGGGAACTGTAGGCGTAGAAGAGTATACGTATCCATTGTTCCAGCTCATCTAGTGTCCGGTGTGCGTGCATGCCGTCTCACCTGGTAGTCTTCGAGTTGTTCGTCGGTAAACGTGGCGATCTTATTGCCCATCCTGTCAGAGACGTGCCGTCGCCTGAACGACCCGTTAACGTCGGAAGGGGGGAGCGCTTCGTTGACGCGTGGACGTGGGACGATACCACGACGTGATTCTCTGTCGAGACCAATATGGAGATTTGTCGGGAGTCCGGAGGACGTCGGGGCGAGGATGTGGAAGGGCGTGACTCCGTCCGAGCTGTCGGGGGGCCCCCTAAATGATGCACGAACCGCTGATACACGCTCGGCCGTCTCCGCGGATCGATACGGAAAGGAAGGGCAAGCGTTCTCGGCCGCTGTCTCCAGTACGGGTACGTTCTGCGCTGACGCGGGGACATTTTTGCTTTCAAAGTGATCGTTGATCGGTTGCATACACAATTATCTGTCACTGCTTTGCGTGATACAGTCGACGTCGCCATTTTTCTTTTCTTTGACTAGTGGAAAAAAGTGTTTGCTTACACTCGTTAAATTGTTAGAAAATATCAACTCGCGCTATTTTAGGGCATTTGTATTTTACATTTATAGAGGATTTTTTTTTTGGCTTTAAAGATTTGTTTAAAAAAGCCGCTAAAGCTACACTAATGCGGTTTGTGCAGGTGAGTTATACGGCCAGGACTAATTAACTCAAATAATTTAATTAACCTTTTTATTTTTTATTTATTTATGTAACATACCTCAAGTCGCCTGGTTAAGGAAATAATGTGAGTGGAAATAAAGATATCGTTCCAATTAGAAACTTGCTGAGTCACGGTCATCGAAACCCGCTAAATCAGTGAGAAGACAGTCAATGTACAGGAATACGACGCGGTGGAAATCACGTGTTTAAATGATTACTTTCAGTCCGCCTTTTTGCTAAATGGTGTTCCAATTAACTCTTCTACGTTAGCGATGTTCCCGTAATGCAACGAGTCGTATTTAGTGTAAGTGGCATTGAGGTCTTATTGCAGAACATTGATGAAACAAAAGCCAGTGGTCCTGATGGCATTTCACCACGTGTTCTACACAGATGCACTCAGGCAATCTCTCCCTATCTATACTTAATTTATACCCCGTTGCCTACAGGCGTTCTACCAGACGACTGGGAAGTAGCTTACGTTGTACTTATCCACAAAGGCGGTTCCAAGAAGGACATCTCTAATTACAGACATATTTCATGAACGTCCACTTTGTGTAAGATCATTGGACACGTTTTTTTTATTCATAAATAATGTATCACCTAAATGCATACATTTTTTTTTTTATAAGTGAGCAACACGGTTTTTGTAAGGGATTGTCTTGTAAAACACAGCTTCTGGATTTTTTTTTTTTTCACGAATTGGTATCTGGTGTTGACGAGCGCAAACGAGCAGACTGTATTTTCTTGGACTTCCGCAAAACTTTTGTCACGGTTTCATACTCGCTTTTTCTCCCGAAAATTAAGATGTTCAATTTAGATGCAACTGTTATAAAAGTGTTTGAAAGTTATTTTGTTCAAGCGGCGCCAGTGTGTGGTTTTGAAAAGCAAATTGTCTGGTTACGTTAATGTGACACTGGAACCCCCCACGCCTTAGGACAACTCCTGTTCTTAATCTATATTAATGACATTTCTAGCCAAATAGCATCGCGTATGCGACTTTTGCCGATTATTGTGTATTGTATAGGAGCATTACGTGTGAACACGACACAAAACAATTACAAAGTGTACTGGTACGTTTTGAAAATCTGAGCACAAAAAGTGTGTCCATGTAAGTTTTCCACGGAATAAGAAAAAAAATTGATACTCAATACAGTGTGAATAAGACTCCATAAAAAATATGTAGGTACAAATATCTGGGTGTTCAATTGTCAAACGACTGTTCATGAAACGCTCAAGCCCCGATGTAGTCTTAAAGGCTGGCAGAGACATTGAGCATTATTCAGCGAAATTTAAAATGTCCCGAAACGAACTTGAAAAAAACGGCACATCCGACATTTGTTAGACCGATTCTAGAATATGCATGTGTTGTACAGGACCCCGCACAATAATTATTAAATGAAAAACTAGAAAAAAAATCCAAACTAGGGCAGCGATTCTGGGACGATAGGGACAAAAGAATAGTTGTACTGACATAAAAAAAAAAGAAAATTAAATTGGGAATTGCTTTTACCCTGAAGGAGAAAATGAAGACTTACATTTATACTCTCAATATTTAATGGCAGACTGAGTATTAAAAGCAAATACGTATTAAAAATACGATATTGTAGTTGGACCGATTATTGATTTAAAATAAGAGAATCCCGTGCGAAAACAAACATGTACACACATTTTTTTTGTAAAAATTATTTAACAATGGATTAGACTGTCGGAGGAGCTAGTGTGTTTTGCAACCGAAGAAATTCTTTTTTATTTAACGCTTGTAAACCTTTTTGCACTAACCCCTCAGGGCAACTTCTAAATAAAAAATAAAAGCTGATTGTTTCTTTTTTGTATTTTTGTTAACTAAACGCCTTACTTGATTTCTCTCTGTTTAGTGATATGTCTCCTGACGAGGGTACAGTTTATGTCACCGAATGCATCATAAATGCTGCTTCCTGTAGTATACCACAAACCTCAGGAAGCCAGCCTTCCGATGAAGTACCTTCCCTATTGAAAATTTTCATTTGTATGAGAAATTTTTGTGTCCAATAAACACATATGAATCACGCAAGATATCTAAGGACATATAAGAAGCATACAAGAACTATATGAGAATTATATGAGAACATACAAGCGCCATGTAAGAGACTTGTGAGAAGTTTCTTTTAAGTTTCTTATGTGGTTCTTATATATTTTATATAGTTCTTATATGTTCTTATATATCTTGTATGATTCATATGTGAATATTGGACACACTAAATTTATCATACAAATGACTTTTTTTCACTAGGGTTGGTAGACAGAGGAGCGCACAGCCGCTCGGAAGGACCAAAACAAAGCCTAGGGAGCATCTCGTCATTACTCCAGTATTCGAAACCGAATTGTATATAATTAAATCAGGTCCAGAGCGCGCTGGACCATAAAGCACCCCAGAGGGCTTCATGTACTAAGTGCCTCTCCCGGATCAATAGTTTTGTCTCTGCAAAGAAAATGTGGGATCGGCTAAGCTTTTCGAATCCATCTTTTTCCATCGTCGTCATTTTTAGAGGATCAAGCCAACGCTATTGGGAAGCATTTTCAGGACATCTCTAGATCGAATAACTACAGTAAATCTTTCAAGAAGTTCGCTTCAGTGGCAGATAATCAGCCAGTTTCCCCGTCTGGTGCTGGTAATGCAGCATACAACACGCTATGCGCGCTTGAAGTAGCACTCAACGTTGAGAGGCAATCCGCACCTAGACCAGACAGGATCTAATATGAAATACTAAAGCACGTTTCAGCTGAATCTTTAAACATTTTATTGACTTTCTTTATTTTTTTGTGTAATAATTTTTTTGTGTGTGTTGGAAAAGGGCACACATAATCCCTCTGTTGAAACCCAGTAAGGATTAATCTCTAACAACGAATTGCCGGCCCATTGCTTTCACAAACGTCTTGAGAAAAACCGCTAAATGTTCAACCAGAATAATAATAATAATGAAATTGCTTTAACATCCTGCTTGAGAAAGCCTTACAGAAAGTACGTGAGCCAAAATTCAAGCTAATCTTTCCTCTACTTTCATTTATTCTCTCTCTCTTTCTCTAAAAATTTGATTGAAGCTACTACGATTACGCAATCTAAGCACGCAGACATGACGCCGACACACAGTGAAACAAGTCCTAGGGCCAACACTATTATTAGTGTTAATATCGTGAGACGCATTAGGAAAAAATCAACAACGCTAAATGTTTAGAGAATTTGGGCGACATAGCTTTAAAACTACACCGCTATTTCAAAAAAAAGAAAAAAGAATGGTGTAACACTGGCACAAGCTTCACATCGATCAAGCTATATGTTTTTTTTTTCCGCAAGGAAACACAATGGTAGCCCGAAGAATAGACACACAATGCACACAGCCAACTTAATTCCGCTGTCACTTTATTTCAGTGTTCAAGTACACAGAGGTACATCGCTTCACAGTAGCTCTTATCCGTACTCTCGCTTTACATTTGTATTCTTAGTAATTACTACTATACACATTTTCTACATCGTCGTAATGGGCCATCGCTTCTACGCATCCCTTGTTTGGTATCTTTCCCGCGCTTCTCGTCACATGACCACCCTCCCCTCCAAAAAACTAACAAAAAACTCTCACTCTCAGTCGTTGCTGTTTTGTGTTTCCTTCCCGCTTGAAGTCACAACACTGCGACGGGTTGCAACCTATGTACACCACTTTTCTTTCATGTTTTTTTGTTGAGATGCATGTTTATTTTTATCTTATATATATATATTTATATAACAGATATTATGCATATCTCGCATGTATACTACAACAGCACGGCAACGTTTCTAAAGCGTCTATCGCATATACTTTATGACCTGCAACGGAAGAAGCGTTGAAACGAACGTTCAAGGTCTATAAGTCGCCACAAACGTGGTAGACTACAGCACGTTTTGACAACTGATAGGTCTGTCGCGTTGCCGAAGGTATCTATCACGAGAGCCGAACACAAAACGAGTGTGTGTGTGTGTGTGTGTTTTGTATGTATAGTTGTTGTACCTGACGGCCTTGTAAATCGCTACGAGTGTATGGTACATGTACGCCCCCTAGGAAAATAGAAACACATACGCGCGCGAGTTAAGTGATCCCCCACTGTCAAGGGGAGTCAATGTCGATTTCACTCCCGTGTACTACCATGCAGTTCTCCGTTTCAATAAGGTTTCCGTGCTGGACACGAAGGCATAGGCTGCGGAAGAAGTGTGTCACGTATAATTGACCTTTTCCGGCGTTTTGTTTTCTCCGATTACATGTGTCGGTATAGCTTTGACTCCTTTTATCACTTTTGTTTTTTGTAACCATGACCTGCGCTGACGTTACATCAGCGCTGTTGTGGCCTTGCCGATGATGCCGTACCTTCTGCGGCACGTATGTCGCACAGCCGACTTTGTTTTGCTAAGCAGAACAAGTGGGAAAGACCATGTTTTTTTTTTTAGGAATTTAGAGTGCAAATCAGATGCAAATAATGAAAGGTCAGAATACCTACTCGAAGAGCAAACAAGCCGGTAAAATCAAGAGACTAAAATTTATATTATTTGGATTACAAGCACATTGCGCTAAGACGAATTCAAATAATTCCCTTTTGATGTAGGTATGCTCGTCGTTTTGTCGAGTCCAACTTCGAAAACATCAGAGAAACTGTGAAGGCATATGGACGTGGAAACTTCACATAAAAAAGAAAAAGAGGAAGCCTCGCTAATGTCGAATTCCACCGAGAGAACTTGCGCAAAGGTTGAGGCAGATATATATATATCTATATCTATATATATATATATAGTCACATGTATCTGTACAAAATCATAAAAAAAAAACGTAACGTTTGCTGGATTTAGTTCGGTTGAACTTTATTGTTTCTCCGACGTCGACAGTGGCGCCCATCAAGGACTGCGGCAGTTCATGGAAGAACGTGGTCTTGAAGAAAACAAAATGTTCTCAAGATGGACTTGACTGACCTCAACGTGACATAGATAATGCCTCGTTTTGGACGCCATAACATTGTACATATGTTCAACTCGCTATACACACACACACACATATATATATACTAATGTAGGATTTCGTGTATTAAAATCTCTTAACAGCGTCTTCGCCCTGCAGAAGAGAAAGTACATGGCCGCGAGCTCGCTAACGATGGCGTCGCAACACGTGGTACGGGAGGTACACTCAACTAACACATTCACAAGCTGGGGAGGTTATTGTCAATAAAGATCGGCGGGAAGTGTTCTCAGGCACCAGCGTCGGTAGTGGACGCCACGAAGAAAGCTTAGCGCGCTCGACTATACACCGAAATAACACGTTTCGACGCTGGTAACGTGTCCAGGTATATACGCTGACACGGGAAGTGTGTGGTCTAAAAGAAGAGTTTCTAACACCCGCAACTATGCATATAACGCGGGTCTTCTGCGGACGACTGCACATGCATATGACGACCGCGTTAGATGTCTTTTTTTTTTTCTTCTTCTTCTTTACAACTATAATTACAAACACCAAAAGCTATGGTACGGTAACAATGATTGGAAGATGCGATGCCTGCCATTTTTTTAAATTTTTGTCGACGGTCTCTTCGTCCTTCGATGTATCAGTCGCTGTATTGTCACAAAAGCTACACGAGTAAATGGCATTGAACGTCCTTGTGTCTTGTCGTTACAGCTGTACGTAGCTATAGGGTGGTTATGCTGTTCGATGATATGTTCACTGCACTATGCGGTGTATTTTCTGTTTGGGGGTGTACTAGCAGCGTGGGAAAGTAAAAATTGGGGTGTTCTTCTAGGAGCCGATATATGGGAAAGGGGACATAACAACGCAGACAAGAGGCTTCAGATGCTAGAGTTAACGGACAACAGCAATATCACATCGTTTAGCGCAGGTTGAAAAAAAAAAAACACGAAAACTTTAAAACAAGCGAGCTAGGATAACAAAATGCAGGCCTGACTTGGCGTTCGTATCATCTCAAAAACTCGTCGTTTGTCATAACAAAGTAGCTGTGGTCTTCAGTCGACACTACAACAATGATCTCGCTACTGAAGTTAAATTACTTTCTTTCTCGAACAGCGGACTTTTCTCCGCTTTCTCAAAGAAACGCAGACTGGCGATCCCATGATGCACCAGCAGTGCGTTCCCTTACTATCAGATGCTCAAGATTATCAGTAAGAGCAACACTGTGTTTTTTTTGTATTTTTTTCGTTTTCATTGCAAAGGTGAATGAGTTAGTGATGTGTCGATTATGAAATCTTGCCGGGGTATTTGCCACCGCCGTTGTTTCGATCTGTAAATTTTGATTTCTGTAAAAAACACCTCGGTCATGACACAGTGTTCTTTTCTAGGATGACAACAACCCTACCCAGATTCGTTAAATACCGTTCGTTTCAACAATAATAAAGCAATTACAACGATTCAAAGAAAACAAAAAATTCCCAATAACATCATACACCATTCGTGCTAAACATTCAACAAGTGCAAAAAAAGGCAACTTATAGAAGCGAGCTGAGTAATGAGTAATTGGCGAGAAGTTCCAGAGTACTTGATGTAATATTCCGCACAACAATCACTCTTAACTAATGTGGCTTCGTCGTTTTTGTCTCACTCACCACGCGGTTTCACTGTAGGCACCGTCATTTCACGTGAATCTCGCCAGTTCTCGTTCCGCATCTCAGGATCATGTTCCCACAGTCCTCGTTCAAAGCGGTTCAGACCAAGCGACCCTGTCGAGGGTGTCGCGTTCCCGCGATTTGAGCAGCACGAGACATGATGTATAGGAATTACACGAGTGTATACACAGGGTTATGGAGTTGACGAACAGCGCGGCGCGGTTTCACCGTTCTAGTAAAATATATGTATATAGATAGATCTATGCGACGGCTGCGGGGATGGTCCTTGCTGTCTACGAGTAAGAAAGACGGCCTGTGAAGCCTTCCTTCAAAGTCGCGGTGAAGTGTCCCGTTTTGAGGGAACACGCGCGACGCAGCAAAGGTACTATATAGCTGTATGACCGCACGTTGGTCTAATAACATTGTCACAGATTCTGTGTACAGGTTTTCATCTCCCTCTTGGTCAGTTTTGCTTAGATACGCGTCGAGTATAGACTTTTGCACCGCTCATCACCCGAGTGAAAAGTGCTGGGTCGCTGGGCTGTAGACGCACGTGCGACGTTTGTTATACCCCAGCAGAGGAGAGCTACTGCGCATGCTCACAACGGATTCCACAGCCCAGTAGACGGAGGTGACAACGCGCGCAAGGGCGAGTATTAGAGTGGTCTATAGCGACAGAACAGCGACGTGTCTGCCATCTTCTCTATTCGAGGGTAGGATAGCTGTTTGTAATTGAGATTTGTGACGCACTGTTACCTATTGGGGTTCGTGATTGTATGCATAGGCGCACGCTATGAAACCATGCTCTTATTTGGGAAGTTGCCTGCAGAGATGACGGTATGCGAAGTTCCGTGGTATTGCTCGAACGTACTGGGGACGTTACGATGTTCCACAGATGTCTTACGGACTTTACAATCCATTATGGACGTTCTTTGGACGTTGCGATGTCCCACAGATGTCTTACGGATTGTACAATCCATTACGGACGTTCTTTGGACGTTACGAGGCTCTATGGACGTCGTATAGACGGTCATACGACGCCCTTGTGTTCCGTCTGGAAAAGCCTCTCGCGGGTCGTGAAAGCTATATCCGATATAGCTGCAGCTGTGACGGGGGTCAACTTGGCTCTTTTTTTTCTTATGTTTCGCATGTTTTGGCGAGCCGCGGTGTGGTCGGTGGGTTGACCAAGATGGACAACTCCTTGCCAGTCTTGTTCGTGAATCTAGCGGGAATCACAGGAACCGTATATCGGGGGTCACTTGTGGTAATAGATAACGTCACGTTTGCTTGAATGCCGTTTTATTTTCCCCTGTACCGTTAAAGTATAAACTAAAATGGCGGTCCTATAGCGCGGAAGTGTTCAGGGGGTTATTCCCTAACCGATTTGCATACTAACAATGTGCATAGATGATTCGCTGTGTAAAGCGATAGTCCTAAACTCTTCGTCGATATTTGCGAGGGGTTTGAGGGCATGAAAAATCACTAAGGATAGATCGAGGTGTTAGCCGGCCTAAGGAAGGCGTGCTATCCGTGATGAAGGGGATACAATAAACTTCGAAGGAATAATTATGACAGTCTGCCAGTGTAAGCATCTGAGCCTCATATGGTGTTTGCTTAACTGACATGTAAAGAACGAATGTTGCGCGTTGGCGAATTTTGTTTTTCATCGCAACAGCTTTATGGTGGTAGAAACGGGATTAGGACAAGAGGCGGTGGTCGTGCTAACCAAAGAACAACAACGCGATCTGCTTAATCCTTATAAGGCCTTATAAGTTCATGAAAATAAAAATTGCGGCTTGAATGCCGTTTGTTTTTGTTGGACACAGACTAAGACCATGAAACTATTAGGAGTCCCTTGTTTATATAAGTTTTCTTTTGTCCTTTCCGTAATAGCCTTTACTTCAAGTCTGATGGTGTTCGTTTGCTTGACATGGTTTCGATAGATGCATATATTGCGATATAATAATATTCACACATTTACTCGAGAAAATGGCTGCTCCATGCTTCGTAAACCTTCCGCTCGATATATCGACATTCATTTGAATGCAATTTAATATTCATAAACTACTTTCACGGGGAGAAATACCATGGCAAATTCGTATGTTTGTTGTGATCCTAGATGCAGAGGATTAAATCATACGCCATAAAGTTTGGGGTTTTTCAAAGGTGTTAGGCGTTAAACAAAGTTACGTTATTTGCATCACTATTTTGCCGCATTTGGTTTGGGTATATCATATAATGTGAACATCTATGAGAGTATGCTCATTGGTACACTGCAGCATTACTTTAAAAAAAAAAAAAGATCAAATGCTTGTTTTAGCACATCGTCCAAGCTACACGAATTTTTAACGCAGGCGATGAAAGAGGGTTGCGGGGCTGCAAATGGTTACGGTAGTACTTGTAATAGTTAGGGTATGTTACACGTGAAACAACATAATAGTATTCATGCCGTAGTCTGAACGTCGGAATTGACTTGGTCGAACTGAGTTTGGTGGCGAAAACGCTACGTTTGATCACCGTCTATTGCGTACGTTGAACCCTGCTTGGGTACTAAAACCACCTGCAATCGAACTTAGTCTGAGCATCTGTGAAATCCGCGATTTCGATAACGTGTCTCGATTTGTGTTTGACTGTGTTCTATTCATGATGGTCTCATTCTTCGAAGTTTTGATTCACCTCAGTTAGTTTTCCTAATCTTTCATGAATTTGAATAAATTTAAAACCCAATTTTATTGTGGGGATGATTATCTCGGCTTGGGCGAAGTCACTGTTCCCTGCCTTTTGGTAAATGCATGTCTGTTGATAACATAACGCACAAAAGAAAACGGTTAAAGAGTATAAAGAACGCAATTCTACTACGGGGTAATCTACTACCATTGTTTGTTTTTTACCTTATTTCAGAATGGACACTAACATTTTCGTTTAATTCTAGCGTGCGAATAAACTTTTAACAGATACCCATTCTTGTCTTTCTGTGGTGTTGAGGAGGTTAAAGGCTTTATCAGGGGCTTTGTTAAAAAAACAATCTTAGTTCTCAAATAGGAAAAGAAAAACACAACAACAACAAGGTTATAGGTTAGCTTGACAAAACAATGGACAGACATATACTCTTGAAAACTTGCTATTCATTCACACACGTCATAGAAGTAACGAAGTGTTTATCACCAAAAGCTGAAAGCTCCTCGCTAGACCTGGAGAGTTACTTGGTACTGCCAGAGTGGCGTATCCGATTTCTTTGTCTAGGAACAAGGCTGTCTTGCCGACTGGTTTCATGCAGTGACGTGGTCAGACGAATTCCTAATGATAAAGTTCGTCCGGAGCCCTGTTGTGAACGTGGATGAGTGCCATTTTAGCGAAGAGAGCGTATTGATTAATAAAGTAGTCGCGGATACATGGCGATTTTTGATGCTCTGTGTATCACAAAACCTGTTTGTTTACGGTTCCTAAAGTCTGCGTCATCTCCACTTATGGTTGGTTGACTGACATTTTTATTTTTCGTAAGGCTTGACTTTAGAGTATAGCATGAAAACAGCGAGCTATCTTATCTTGACAGGGCTGGCAAAATGTAACGACCTTAATTTGGCCTTTTCTTTTTATTTCTTCTTTCTTTTTTTTTTTTTTTTTTGGGGGGGGGGGGGGTGTTAGTTTTTGCTTAGCAGTCAACGAAGACCAAGTTTCCCACGTCTCTAGTTCTTTATGCACACACATTGAAGAAGAAGCCTCGCGAAATGTTTGTTGTTAAAATTAAGCAATACTTTCCTAATACTAACTTAACTATCAACGTGCAACGGGTTTGTCAGTCACTCTCCTGCACTTAACCAGAACGAATCAAAATTTAAGCGGCACTCATCCCAAGTTGCCGTTTTCTAATCAGTGATAATCACGGAGTGAACCGGATGATAAACTTACTTTCCAAATGTCAACCTTAAACGATGATTTACGTACACATGTTGCGGTACCAATCCCAGATTTCACGCTTGAGGGGAGTTCGTTAACGGCACGGCTACCCAACTCCGAAGTTCTTTAGCGACGCGTAGTCGCCAAAGCAACATGCCCTGCTTCGACGTCCTCAGAAGTACAGCACTACGGTAAAGGGACGTTGCGTCTCGACTGTCCTCGGCATGAAAACAAACAAGAGGCAGGCGTTCGCGCGTTGACTGAACGAATTCCACGCCAGGCCTAACGCAATGATCACTTGACTTAACTGGTTGCACAGAAATGACGTTGCTCATCCCTTGAAGAAGTTGATGATGTCCATACAGCGAACTACTTCGTATTCGAGGATGAGGCTGCAAGCGATGAAGACGAAGTAGAGGAAGAACATGACCATGGCCAGCCCAACGTTCATGCGCCACTTGAAGACGGCGATTGTAACGATCACAAAGATAAGCATCACGAAGAGGATGAAGATGGAGCAAGCCATGCCAGTGCTGCTCACTTTCACAGGGCCGTAGATCATGCAAGACAGGAACCAGGGCAGAGGAAGCCTGCGAAGATAAGGTGGCATGGACTGTAATGCAGTTTGTTCCTCCGGATGCTTCACATACATAATGATGGAGTAAAAGGAAACTTCGTTAGAAGCTATAGGTTCTCTTGTGCTACTATCCAGTTCTTTTCGTTGTGAGAGGATTAAGCTCTCAAGGGCCGCGGCACTTGTGTGGCTCGTCAAAGGCAACATAACTCAACGTATTAAGCTTCCGTCATCACTCGCCAATTTCCATTGACTCGCTCAGTAGTGCTCTTGTTCTTGCTGCTAAAGATTACATCAAACGTCGGCAACATTGAACATGGTGAGCTCAGATAGTCTCGATATTACAAAAAAAGATACACATGACAAAACTGCAGTTACCAACCAAAAAGGTAGGCATGCGACGCAATTGTTTTGCCTCAATTTATATGGGCGTCTCCTGAACGTGATACAAAATTTTAAGTATGGGTTTATGCGATAAGTACTTTGAATCCTCGCCGCTAGTGTGCAGGATGGGAGCAAGAAAGGGCATTAGAAAATACTGCATGAGTAAAAACAATCTGTAGATGCAATTTGCATTTACGTAATACACCATACTATGTGAAGAGAATGTCGGTTTTTGTGCTCCGTGTCATCCTAACCGAACGGCGAGGGCCATGGTCTCAGTGGGCCAGTCAGCGCGTCAGAGAGAGTCACGCGACTTGATGTGCGCAGCGCTGTCAAAGTCACGGGTGAGAGAAAGGAGGAAGCCTTCTTTTTTACAAATTTATAGTGACGGGCTAATCTGAGGGGTACAAAAGCGACGTCTGGGGAACACAGAAGAGGTTGCGTGTAAGAGGGGAGCTCCTCCTTCCCCTCTTTGTCAACTGCTTGGGCTACACCCTCGCCCCTGACACCTTTGGGAATGTCTGTCACGTGCCTCGCCTCCGTCACTCTGGTTGGCTCGAAGAGGCCGTAACGTTCCCTCTTTAGCCAAGTTACGGTGAAACGAAGTATAGGTACGCACCCTACAGCCACGTCGAAGATGTTGCTTCCGACGGAGCTGGACACTGCCATGTCGCCCAAGCCCTTGCGGGCGACCAAGACACTAGTGATGAGATCTGGGATGCTGGTACCCGCCGCCAGGAAGGTGAGACCCATGACCTGTGGGAGGGGTGTCATCAACGCCAAGTGTCAACTTTCGTGGGCTGAGTTTAGAATTCAATTAAGTTTGGTTGGGTAAAGTCGGATTGGATTGAATCAGGTTGACTCGGATCGGATTGGATAAGATCGACTAGTCTGGGTTCGGGTCGAGTCAAATCGGGCTAAAACTGGAGGGATTGGCTAGCATCGGGTCGGTTCAGGTCGGGCCTAGTCGGGTCAGCCGGGACCGAAAAGGACTGACCCTTCCTAACCTGTCCTATGTCGTATTTTGGTAGCATTATTAGGGTGCTAACATTTATGCTATCTGATCCGCCAGACGCACTCATTCTTTCCAAAGGTAGGGTTACCTTGACGTTTGTTAAAGCGAAAGCATTAACTGTCCCATGGAGCGAACCGACGTCATCAGCATTTGAAGCCGCGCCAAAAGGCACGTTCCCTTGTCCCAATGGAGCGAAGCCTGTCGTCCGTAGCAGAAATCTGATGGATAGGCTCCCTTTGGCTGGCGCGCGTCAGCCTTCTCCGTGGTAGCGCAGCGCACGCAGCGACCCGGCCGCCGGTAAGGCTTGGCCACAGAGCCCGCCGGGCAGACTCCGGAGAGGCTGCACGGCCGAGCTCAGCGCGGCGCGGCCCCTTCACGAGAGCGCGCGCTCGGCCGTCGGCCGCTACCTCGGCAGTAGCGAAACGTGGCCGTCCACGCCAGTACACAGCACACGAACTAAGGGAGCGGAAGAACGACATTCATGCTTTCGCATTCACAACTCATAAGAAGTGCTTAGGTGTCTTCGGATTCCTTTTTTTTTTTTGTATTAGGATGGGGATATCAAACACATTCACATTAGAAGGGAAACTAACGCAACGCCTCTACTTAAACTATATCAAATAGTACCTAAGCACATAACTACTTTTTTCAGTCCTGGAAGGAAGTAGTAACCTTAGCTTGATGGCATTTTTTTTTCGCTCGTTACTTTGCAATTTAAAAATGGTGGCTGACGTACTTTGGCAAACAAATATTGCGGTTCGCTAAACAACGAAGACTTAAGTGACGGCTTCGCGACCAGACGAGAAAGCGAGGTGCACCGGTTGATGACGTCATGAATATTTTGAAACGCGGATGTTCTGCTGACTGAATAATAGGGACCTAAAAATTCGCAATTATTTCGATTTCTTCCTTCGAACTACCAATCGGTTGAGCTGGGCTAGAGAAATAGAAGATGCACAGTTTGTGAGTTTATACATTCTTCAGGGGGTACCTTATCATCCTTACGTTCTGTCGTTAGCGAGGTCCTGACGACTGTCGCACGAAAAATGCTTCACCCACCGTGATCAAATACTTACTTGTAGAATGGTTGTCAAAGCTAAACTGTGGTTTCTCGAGAGGATGAACAGAAGCTATGACTGTGCCCCACGGAAGAGTAAATAAATTATTTTACTAATTGCCCAATCAATAAGTAACGGAAATATAAAATAAATTCTTACCAACAAAGGAAACGAGATAATTACAGTGTACGCAGCTGCGTTCAATATAGTCTGGCTACGCTGTGGGGCCTTACATCGAGATACAACAGTGAGTTATCATGACAATTGAGCGTTGCTTGGTTGTCATAGTAACTCATAGTCGTATATCTGCGTAAACCGCTCAAACACAATAAATTGGTACTGAGTTTCAACGGGAGCTTAGGAGGACTCCGCTCCCTCTATAGTCGGTTGCAAGCTATAGTCGGTTGCAAGCTAAGAAAAAACCGGAAATGCCTCTCAGAGGAAAATGTAATCCTACGCCGAGAAACGTCAGCCAATCGTTTTCATGACGTCACGATTCCGTGGACCAATTGCGATCCTTTTGAAAAAAAAAAAAAGCCCAACATGGCTGCTGGCCTTAGCAACGCGACGCTAGTTTCTCGTGACAATTATTCTGCTTTTTTGCACCGTGTTTTACGTGCCCGAGGTTACGCCACGAAATCTTAATGGTATCGGCTTGCGTTTGCAGCAGTTTTTGCGCGACAACGTGAGAATCCAGCGACGGTATTGCCAACGAAAATTTCGAAGCGGGCGCGAGGCTTAGCACTGCTGAGAGGTATGTTAGACGGTATGTTAGACAGTATCTTGGACAGAAAATGAATTGTGAAGACGGTACATTGGACATTACTTTCTTTCTTTACTAAACAGCTATTTCGTTGACAAAAACGTATTCTAACTTATTTAAATGTCCTGAATGTATTAAAAATATTGTAGTAGTTTAAGACACGTTTCCTGGAGGAAGAAAAAGCAACGTTGCTAGCGAACTACTTTCTCGACAGCGGAGGCACTTCAGATGGGCGCAATGCGCTTGTGGGTGGAGCTAAAAGATTGTTCTCAGGTTGCATCCGACTATAGTGAGTATAGCGTTTTGCAAATCAGTATACTTGCCTTCATGGAGTAGCGTCAGTGTGCGCTAAGGTCAATAAAAGCCTACAGTTTATAGATATCATTATATCGTTAAATACGCTAGAGCGTGTACACCTTGGTGAGACGAATGTACGGATTATTTGAGAATTTTTTTTAACATTATCAAAATATTTTTAAACCAAAAAGGGAAGACTAATGCGCGAAAAAAAAAAAAGAAGGGAATTTAGAGAAATACAAGGCTACTCAATAGAAGATCCCAAAAAGCTTTAAGGAACTCTGTCGGAAGCAGTCGCAAGGGTGTGAATTAGCCTTAAGAAGGCATCCTTGATATACGGTGTTTCGTGACCTTAAATGGCAAGTACCGCCAGGCTGATGTCTGGTGGGATGCACATCAGCAAAAAATGGCAGAGCATCGCCGCAAAAGCCGCGCATTGCCGCGGCGCGGCGCCGGTAGCCACTTTAGACCGATAGACCGTTTTATCGTAGCGGCCGCCATGTTGCATTTTGACGTAGCTGAGTTGGGGACGAACACCAAATCGCTTTATTTACCGATAGGAAGGTGCTAGAGTTCGAAAGGATCGTGCCAATAGCTCTATTTTTTCTTGGCTATACTTTTTTTTTATCGTAGTTATGCTCAAACTATTTACTTTAGGTATTGTCGCCCAACCTAGCTACGTCCTATTTCAACATTGCAATAGACACACGAAAACGGTCTGTTCACCAGCTCAACTCTGTTACGTCACGCCGCGGTGGTGGCGCTTCGGGCACACTTCCGGTCTGGCGTGTGGGCGGAAGTCGCCATGCGGGCCGTGTATTTCTGTGTTGTTTTGGACGAAACCAGCCTACAACCTGCCCTCTCGTTAAAACGCCGCGCGACTAAGGCTGCACCAAAAAAAGCTGGGAAAAGTGTCAATGTCGGTTTTCAGGTATCTTCTGCCTGTCCGGTTCGTCCGAGAACGTGAATAGATGCCGTGAAAAAGTAAAACCAGGCGCCGTCGGACCACGATTGCTTGTGCGGGAAGCACTTGGGGTTGAATTCACGGAGACTTATGGTCGTCGGATTAATCTCTTTTGCTCCAACATGAATGCGGGAAAACCGTCCAGTTGTCCGGATCACACGCGGACCACGTTCAGTGCGTCTTCACGTTCAAAGGGTCGTCTGCAGTTTGCTCTTTCAAGGTCGCCCGGTTCTTCAAACTGTCGTCCGCACGACCAAGCGACAACGGCCCGTAGACCACACGTTGACGCGGTAATTGTGATAATTAAGGGCAGGACTCTAGAGGATTTTAAATTTCAAAGATGTTTGTGGTAAGTAGGCTCGATGTAAACAGTGGGCACAAGGGTATGTTTATCATGGTTACCGGTGGTCATTACCGACTTGTGATGTCGGATTTACATGGTCCGATTCTGCTTGCGATTTTCAGTATCGTCGTACTTAGATCATCGCAGCCACCGTCCACGCTTTTGCAGCCCAAGCCAAGTCGCGACTGAAATAAAGCCAATAGAAGCCCATCGTGTGAATCAGGTGTTAGCGTCCATTCTGCGGCGTTCACGGGGAATGAATCGCCGCACGTCACATTAATTTTCGCGAATTCTCGCGCTGTATCACGCCTCGTTAATTTCGCTGAAGGCCACTAAAGTAGTCGTAAATTGCTAGGAAGACGTAGGATTAACAGTTCCAACGCGAAAAAGAGCACGGGGACTCACACCGACGCCGACGACATCGCGTTATTGTCATTCTTGTCCAGTTCGCTTGCACCTTTGCATTCATTGCATTTTTATCGCATTGTAACGGTTCGTTTATGGGCGACGGCGCGCTTCTTGCCCCACACCCCATCGCGCATGAGCTCCGCCGCGGTGGCGTGCCGCTAGGGGCGCTCCGACTTGTTTGTAAACATGAGTTGGGGTCAACGTTACTAGAACCACTCAGTTGGGAAACTGCCATAGAGCCTGCTCCGAAAAAGTGCCGCCGATCCTCATCCCAGTACCGAGCTAATGGCGATCGCAACGCCGCCATTCATGGCCAGCTTTCTGAGACACATTGTTTTAGTTCCCGATTCTCACGCCACGAGGCGTACCAACCTTCAGAAAGATAAAGCCCCTCGATCTGTTTGCGTTTTTTTCGCTAGTAGCGTCAAATGGGCGCCAGTGCACGAGGCCCGTGTCTCGAGCGGCCCTTGGAAGCAAATGGCGCGCAGCACTGAAATGAGCGGTCCTTGGAAGCGAATGGCGGCGGAGCACCCGCTCGTGGCACGTGTCTTTCGCGTTTCCACAACAATGGTTGTAAACGTTAGTTTTATCGAGGGACTTTAGAGCAAGATAGAGTGCCTTCATACACACGCGCCCTTCTTCTTGAGTGGTGACATCGCAGCCATTTCCCCGCCCAATCGTTTTTTATGCATTTTGAAGCGTTTGCAATCTGGTGTCACTCAGCTCGAGCGCGTAGCTTTAGCTAATGCATAGAGGCCATTTTACCACCCAAGTCACGCACCGAGTGCGCGAGAGCGTCACGCGCTGGCATATTTAGGGCAACAATGGATGTCTTCACCCTCAGACAGACAGACAGACATGTAGGCACCCTATACTTCGTTTCACCTTAGCATGGACTAGGGTGCCTCAATGACCTTCTGTTTAGAGTGATGCCACCCTTTGTAGTACCCGATGCCGACAGCACGCGCTCACGGGGAAAATACAAAGAAATCGACGAAAACAAAATGTCGCCATAGCAGAGTCAGCGCCACAGACGCGTGCAGGGACACGCTCTTTCACGCGCTTCTGAACAAAAAATAAATGTAAAAGTGGGAACAAAATGGCCAGATGTTTCCACCCTAAGCAAAGCGCACATGAAGGCACCCTAGCATGGACTAACCGCGAGTGCTGTGCCAGCGCGAGCGGTAGCCTTGACTGCCTTGACTGGAGCACTCGCTGCACGAGCGCTCGTGCAGCCGCCGAGGCTTCATTCGAAGCAACTATCTCGCGCTTTTAACACGCGCGGCTAACAATAGTCCATACTAACGTAAGACGAAGTATAGGGAGTATTCACTGGCGGCCATATCTGTGTGCGTGGTTGCTGAGCGCGTGCTGATGGCGAGCTTCCACAGTTCTATTGCAACGTGCATTCCGCACCATCAAGAGTGCCGGTCTTCGCAGCCTATTGATGTGAGCTCGTTCTGAGCATGCGCTCTAAACAGCACCCACAAATATGCGTCCAGTGAATACTCCCTATAGATCAAGATAACTGGAGAATTCGAAGCGCGAGACCACCTATCTGTACCTCCTCTCCTGTGCATCTCTCCGGCCTCCCACTCTTTTCACCGTTTGCGTCTGGCCAAATACTTTACTAGAGGGAATACATTCCACTCCGCTCATTTGCGCGACTTACCAAAATAGCGTACTTTTGTTTTTCGTCAGTCCTCAAAAATGTGCCTTTAAATGTATAGTCTATTTATTTGGCTCTGGAGAGCCGCGGAAAGGCAGCGGCCCGTACCATGGAGGCCCGCGGTGCCGCGTCTAGGGAACATGATAATGTTCCCTAGACGCGCATGATGACGACGACATGGATTGCTGATATTGGGGAGGAAGGCAGTCCGATTCGCAGAAGTCCAGATTTCGTGGAGGTGGGTTGGGCGGGTCAGCAGTGAGCCATGGGGATCTGGCACGCCGTTCGATCGGTGCATGAGAGAGCCCCAGGAACATGATGGCGCTGTTGCTCACTGGGGTCCACTGGGGTCGAAGCATCAGGCTCCAAGGAGGTAGCCCAGTCAAAGTAGAAGTTGCCGCTTCCGAGGAACCAGGGCTCAGATTGAGGCACCGCCGTCGTCCGGTGTGCCATCCTCTCAACGTCGTCGCCGTGTTCTTTATTTATACGCGTATATATGTATTAATAAAATAAGATAGATAAAAATACACGAAATCGAACGGCCAGCGGCGCGCCGTTCTAGTTATAATTCTAGTTATACGTGCCTGAAAGAATTTTGTTTAGTTTGTGTCTGTAACCGAGCTAAAACTTTACGTACACAGGCAAATTCAAAGCAAAATATATACAATGCAAGTGTTTCTGACCCTACATAACTATTGCTTATATTTGAAATCCAGGGCACAAATTTTGATTGTAAACATCTAATTATTATGTAGTCATATTATAACTGTCACATTCTTAGTCAATATGCTGTCACAAACGCATCGTACAAATCCTTTTTTTTTTTTTTTGTTCGATAAGCCTATGTAAAGGTAGCTTGGCCGCAAGCTGCTTGGTGCACGGCGGAGTGCTAAATTTACAGGGGCAAAAAGAGAGCCGAATTTGAAAGTCTCGGGGAATAAAAATTATTATTTAAAATACCGAAATTTTAACTACGGTGTGTGCTAGGAGTCGGCAGCTATTATATTCCTCGTGAAAGTTACGATTCTTCATTTCAGTGAGAAGAAATTTAAAGTTTTGTCAAAGTGGCCCATAGGACCCAAAGCAACAATATTATATCGGGCCCAGGACTAAAAAGTATCCAATACTGAGATTCAAGCAGGTATTAAATAACCGTGTATAAGTGCCCTCTATAGATATCCCGGGGAACGTAAGGACTTTTGAAGTAGTTTGGCTGAAATTATGATTTTACTGCGTTTTGCTGATAATAGCCAAGAGATGGCGCAAGGAGACCGTGTCTAGGAATGCTGGGGATGTCTCCAGCAGCGGCACCTCTGTGAACAGCACGGCTGCTTACTGGTTCCCTCGAGTCACGGAAGGGCCGGTGGCGCCATCTCGCAGGGCCATCTTGCAATAACCATATAAAGCAACTTTCACGTTTCAACTCGTCGCTCAAGGGTGGCGCTGTCATCGTATTTAGCTCGGTCTCGGTGGACTCCAGCGGCCCAGGTTTCAAGGGCGAGTATCCCAACTGAATTTTTTGTAACGTTGGTTGGTGCATAGAAGCGGGCTCGAAAACGGCGGCTTGTGAGAACGCTTCGGATCATTGGCGCCTTATAGGAACGCCTGCGGCACGACTAAACAATGAGGGTACTTCTGTAAGCCGGACTATCCAGCGCTTTCTTGGATCGGCGGTGGGACTGACCTCTGTTGGGATGCCGAGTGTTTCGCCGACGACTGTCGCCCACCAGACCATGAGGTAGGAGAAGATGGCGATCCAAGTGATGCTGCCCAGAAACGAGCCTGCCACGAACTTTACTTTTTCCTGCGGACAAGGGGAAAAAAACAAAATGGCCTGTTCCTCGAGGTGCCTTGTAGATGAACCTAGGCGAGAACCGAGATGCTGCACTCTGGTGTACACAGACTACCCCCAACCATCCTCTACTATACCATTCAAAATTCGGCAAAGGTGGAAAGAATATATTGTCGCGTGACGTCGGTGTTACGTGACGCTGACGTCATGTGACATCGACGTCACGTGGTCGTCTAACATATTGTGACTTCTGCGTAACCTTTGATTATAAAGCAATTAAATGGAATGAGGAGGTCCCCGGTTCGATACCCGAACCAGGCAGATTTTTTCGGCCGCGCACCAGTCACCTAGTTGTGTTTGGAGATTTCTGTTTCTCCTCTGTCCCTCTTGTTCCCCTTCTCCAGGGATTATTTTCGTCGTGCTTAACCTGACGTCCAATTTCACCGCTTAATTTTACGGAAAATTGTTCTCGCTAAATCCTGCGGAGAGACGCGTTCATACGGAAGCCGTCATATGGCGTCACAATTTTCCCGCTAAATTTAGCGGGGAACGCTTCACGTGAGTCTAGTGTCAGATGACGTCGTGGCATGCCATATGATGCTTCAAGTGCCCCCCTAAGTGTGGCGTTGAAATTCCTCCGCATAATATAGCGGCGACATTTCTCTCCTAAATTTTAAGTTGAAACACTACTCATGACGTCGTAATGTCACATGATGACACAGTGTTACGTGACACCGATTCCCTGCTAAGTTTGGCGGGCTTCTCCGTACACCGTATACACACACCAGATTCAACGCGAAAGCTCGCCTTTAACGGCTTCCGCTGTGAAATAAAGCAAGGGAAGACACGATTTAGTACTGCGATCGCAAACCATAAAATCTGCAAGAAGGAGAGCGTGAATTGATTCGCTGCCTTGCGCAATGCGAAACCCGCGAAACGTGCGAGGAGGAAGCAGGCCTTCGAAGAACGCAGTTGCCAGAGCGTTTTATGGGTGGACAGTTACAAATGGGGCACACTTTTCTCGTCGTTACACAAGTCATTGCCATTAATCACCACGATTGCTTGCGGTGAGCTCCACTTGGCTACCGATATATACGTACGCTGTAAGACCGAAACGAAAGAGGCCTTGGTGGTGTCGAAATAGTTAGTTGGGATGGTTAAGGGTCGTAGGTTCAATCCCCACCCCTGATCTTTTCGATCTGGACGAGCGTCGTATACTGGCGTGCTGCGGTTCGCCAGGCTCGCAGTCGTTTTCCACTGGATAGACTTCTCATGTACAGCTTGAACCAGTGTCGGATACTTTGGCAGACCACCGTAATGCTGCCTAAGCATCTAACGTCTTTTGGCCTTGAAACTTAAACGTTAGATGTGTACCGTGTGCCTTTTAGCAGACAGTATTCGGAAAATGGCGCTATCCGTTGCTGGTTTCAGACGTTGGGTTCGTGTGTACATCTATTGAGCAGACGCTTCGTTGCCATGGTGAAGATAACCACATAGCAGACGAAAAACTCATCGTGCGGAAGGAGACGGCGGTGTGGCGAGATCAGGTGCGTGCTTCGGCTCTTTTGCCGAGCTTTTCAATGGGCGGAACGTGGACAAAAAATAGCTTCAAATAAGGAACAGAAATGGCTGATTTTCTCCATTGCCTAATGCTTTGACAAATCCTAGACGAAACGCATGTTTTCTGGCCATCCTGCGGTTGGTTTGTTTTTCTGCAATATGTGTTTAAACGTCGAGTCATTCCTCTCCGACCTCAGCCACTCGGCTCAGATCAGAGTCCAAGCGCTGAAACTTCAAGTCAAGAATGCGCCAGCGCCACTGTCGGCGTTGACTCAGCGCTGAGTCATTGCTGCATTTGTGAACAGGAAAAGGTCGGTTCTCATGCAACAGGGCGCTGATACAGCGCAGATGAAGTGAGTGCTGTGTCAATAGCGCTGAGTTAGCGAAAAAAAAAGTGGTCAAAAGTCAGGCGAACTGCAGCGCATTAACCATGATGTTTAAAGCCAGAAACTGGAAAGAAATCTTGCGGATAATTTTTATTTTCCCTATTTGATATTCAAGTTTCCTTCCCAGTGTCAGGGTTCAGACATCGTGACTAAGTTAGCGCTGTGCAGCTATGCGAACATTCATTTGCCGAAAAGGACACCCAACACTAGCCCCCAACGTTTAGAGAAGATTTCTCAGGACTTGCCGTCCAGTCAAAAGCTATTCACTTTTGCTTTGCCTAAAAAAAAAAAAAAAAAAGTTATTCTACATTTCAGAAACAAGTCTATAGAGGAATTTTCCCCGCCATATTTTGGAAGTAAAACAATTAGATTCTCCCGAGTAAAGAACAATTGTAGCCATGCTCCAGTGATGCGTCATGGACTAATCGCAAAGGGCGCGCAAACTTGAGTCTCATCGCGCGTCGACTGCACGAGCGCTCGTGCAGCGAGGTCACCATTCAAAACTACCACTGGGTCGCTAAACTCGTCGAGCACAGCTCCTAAAGTTGTGGAACGTGCTAATTGGACTCTCGCGACGCTGACGTCAAGCCGAGCGAGGTGTCAATCATTAAAACGCTCATTTCTTCGAGATCGGCAGAATGTAGCAAAGTTATCGAGGCGCGCGAGGAGCGCGCTGATTGAACGGCTGCGCCGATGACGTAGCGCCCGGGTCACGGGTTTTGTACATTATGGTCAAAGTGACGTTGCTGAACTTTGCGAGAGCCGTGGTTTAGCTGGAAATCTTCGCTTCGGAGGAGTCTAACCTTTGTACTTAGTCCATGTTGAAGCGAGACAACGCGCAAAGACGTCATCGAGCGCCTTGCCACATGCGACGTCTTTGGTCGCTCACACTGCGGGAGGGCGACTTTAGGTTCGCAGCGGGGGCGGATTACGCGGGTACTACTATCAGACACTTGTAATGTCCTCACGGGCCTCCGGACGTCGGGAAGGGTTAGCCATAGTGGGAAGATGATGGGCGCCAGCACGACGTAGTTGACCCGTTCGCGCCAGTTGTCCGGCCAGGCGACGCTCAGTGGTTCGTTGGGTTCGTCGATGTTGTCCACGGGCAGCTGGTTGTTCTGCAGAGAAAAACAACCTAAACATCCTCACACTCGACACATCGTGGCAGGTACGAGCATCCTCTGACAACGTATCCTCTCCTAGTGGCGTATCTAGACTCATATCTCTTGATCTGCTTAGGACAGCTTCATGTTTTTGGTCGTTACGCGTGTGAAGATTTCTTTGCGCGAAGTCCTCATCGTGGCCTTTGAGACTGCAGGTCCGCGAAGCTTCCTCCAGCCGTTGCATTCGTGCGGTGAGGCCGTGATTGAGAAATACAGATCTTTGCTCTTTCCGCCGTGCGGCAGCACTCGTTCTTGAAACTGGTCTCGATAGCTGATGGCAGTGTATTCTCTCTGCCATAAAACACTGGCATAGATGATGACGGAGGCCGAAAAGCTCGCACTCTGGCATAGTACGGTAAGAAAGAAAAGATATTTTCCTGACGCAGCGTAAGCGACCTGGCATGTGACTTCGGACATCGAACTTTGAATACATGACGTGTCGAGACAGACGCGAACACAATGAGACATCCTATAGCGTGGTCGGGGTAATTGTAGTAATTGCTTGGCTAGGCATATTTGTGGGTTTGGTGCGGTAAATAGGAATGGGCTAGTGGTAGCCTTATTTGGCAGACTGACTGCAGAGTTTTAGAGCGCAGCTCTTAGGGGCCCGTTTCCAGCCTGAGCGGCGTCGGCGTCGCCGTCGGCGTCGGCGTAACCGGGGGGGGGTCACGTGACCCCCCCTCCGAGGTCACGTGACCCCCCCTCCGAGGGCACGTGACCCCCTCCGAGGTCACGTGACCACCCCTCCGAGGGCACGTGACCCCCCCCCGAGGTCACGTGACCCCCCCCCCCCCCCCCCCGAGGTCACGTGACCCCCCCCCCCCTCCCCGAGGTCACGTGACCCCCTCCGAGGGCACGTGACCCCCCCCCCCCCCCGAGGTCATGTGACCCCCCCTTCCGAGGGCACGTGACCCCCGCCCCCCGAGGTCACGTGACCCCCCCCTCCCCCGAGATCACGTGACCCCCCGAGGTCACGTGACTACCCGCAGGTGATCTGACCCCCCTCAGTACCCTTCCCTACTACTCCTCAAGTGCTGCGCTCCGATTCGGCGTTACAGGGATTTGTAAACGGCTTTCATTTTTTATCGTGTCGCCAGGCCAGGCTTCAGGTTGTGGGTCGTTCTGAGCTCGCTCAGTGCTTTGTCTGCAAACCTTTCCACACGCTAAAAAAAAATGACCGCATCTTCACGTGGTGAATGATGTTGATTGGGGCGAAGCTCTGGTGGTGCTGATACGCTGAGCCGCAGCATGCCGAGCTTTTCGTTCGTTTTAATCTATGTCAGAAAGAGAATGTGTGGTATGGAACGTGGTTATATACGTATTTGAGCATTTGACCGCAGCGCCCGCTCGTCTATAGACGTTGAGCCAATGCATGCAAAGTGTAACGCGATTATATACGCATTTGACCGCAGGGCCCTCTCCTATATAGACGTTGAGCGGCTACATGCAACGTTTCATCCATGATATCCCCAGCTCTTGAGTTACTACCACATCTCAGAGCCCCCTACTCGTCCCGCAGTCGTGGCCGAGTGGTTAAGGCAATGGGCTAGAAATCCCATTGAGGTCTCCCCGCACAGGCTCAAATCTGTGCAACCCCTACCCTCTACATCCCCCACCGGATAAGATGACTTTCGTCAAGGTATCCGGTGTCCCCTTTCTGAAATAAACGTATTCTCACTCACGGTCGACTGCGCAAATATTCTTTTCTTTTTTCTAAGAAGACAGATAGGATGGCAATCGATGTGAGCACGGACGCCGGACAAGGCTAGATCATAAAGAGCTTCGCCCCTAAAAAAAGGGTGTAGCCCTTACACCCCTTGTCACATATTCGACATTCCAAAACTTCAGTTCGCCGTACAGCGCACTGACATCAAGCTGACGGCCCCAACTTTTACGAGAGGATTGATGACGGTGAGATATAAGATATTAAACATCTAAAGTGAGCATCAAAGAGTACAGATAGAAAACACTGAGGTTTTACACTAAGGCCAAGAAAACCCCTATAACTTTTTTTAGTCAGTTATACTAACGTAACCTACTTTAATAAGTTGTACAACTCGACTATCAAGCCGCTCATGAAAGTTGGTAGCGTCGGTTGAACGTCAGTGCGCTGTACGCCCAACATAAGCTTAGGGGTGTCGTATATGTGACAAGGGGTGTAAGAGCTACACCCCTTTTTTTTAGTGTGTGCGCGGCCCCACGACTTGTTTATATTTATAATCAGCAAGTCCTCGAATGTAAATGAGGACGAGCTCTTCCAATGACAGCGAGGGTAGTTTTAGGCATTTCTTGCAACCCCAAACAGTATTAGGGAAAAATAAAATTAACGACATATTGACTTCACGATGAATTTCGTCGGCTGCCATCTGACGTAGTAGAATGCGTTGACCAAATTGGCGTAGAAGAAATAACGTATCGGTAAGTAACAACTTTGCGTATGTTCTGGCCAATCAGGGGCATGAAACTAAACGCAGCATGTCGCTGCAGTGCACATTTGACTGGGCGCTAATGCCATGGTAGTTTGGACCTTTCGGAAGGCATCGCAGCCCAGTGGAGCTCTGGAGAAACAGAGAAATCACGCGCCTTCTGCCGGGTGGCTGAGCGATTGGAACGACCAGAGGAGAGCACTGCGCTCCGGGGTCCTGCAGGGAGGTATGTCATCCCTGTACAGCTTCAGCTTTCCGAAGCTTAGTATAGCCTAGGGTGCCTACATGTTTCTGCCGCTCGAGCGGAAACATGTAGGCACCCTAGTATAGCCCTGATCACCTCATTAGAATTTTGCACCCTATCAGATTTGAGAAAAAACCGATAAGCATAGTTGAAAATCGAACGCCAAATTGCGAATGCCCTTGTGACTAGCCGGGCCATGTCGTCATAAGCGGTCAGTGATTAGTAGGAACATAAAAACACCAATCACTTATGTACCTTTGACGACTTTTACAAGTGAGGACAGGGAAGAGTATCAAGCTCCGATGATCGTGCGGTCTCAGCTACAACAAGATAATCTCCTTTGTTTTGGCATAAAGACCGTATATGACCATTAGACAATTCATATTTCACTTTGCCCACTCACTTGGCTTCTTTCAGAAAAAAAAAGAAGATATCGTAGCAGCTCGTCCTTAGCTAATCTGACCTGCAGCTCGTGATAACTTACTGTGAGCATGCGTCTCCAGAAAGCGTATGCACTCAAATGTTTTGTAATTGAGTTTCACAACGGAAGTGGGCGCATTACTTACTTTTCAGAAAGCCTAGATGGACAACAACTCCACCCGTGCTGCAGAGATAAAAAGAGACGCCGAAGGGATTTCCGTACCATGGCCTGTGCCACCGTGGCGCTGTTGTAACCGGAGTCTGGTAGCGCGGTCCCGACGGCTTCCGTGGTCGCGCCAGGGTTGCCCGACGAATCGATGGACTCCTGGACAGGTCGCGGGTGCAGGATGGCCACGCCGCCGCCGGACATGTTCACCCCGCCGCCGCTGGCCGCTATCTTCTCGCTCAGGTTGGACGTGATGGACGACTCGCTCTGCGTACGAGGACAGGCGCGCGCTGTTGCTATACGGTGAGAAACTGAGGGAGAGGAGGAGAGGAGAGGGCGCGGAGACGTCACAGCGCTCAGCTCCGGTACGAACTGCGCATGCGCTACCGTAGAAGTCTCGCACATGCGCAGTTCATACTAGAGGGCCTACCGTACCGTATCTGATGTTCCCAAAACGGTTCCCTAAAACTCTCAACTGTCTGGAGCCTTATACGGTGAGAAGCTGAAGGAGAGGAGGAAATGAGGGCGCGTGGTGACGTCGGAGCACCGAGCTCTCTGAAGAATGGCGCATGTGCCGTACAAATGGCGGCTTTTTGGTTGAAGATGCTCCTAAGCGGATGGTTCGAGGCGTCTTAGCGACGTGCGTTGGCTTTCCACGATTGGTGAAACCACGAGCATAAGAACATTGACAGAGATTGCCAACCTCGACGGTGTTAGTTTCAGAATCTGACGGCTCCTAGCTTCCACTCTGCTTTCTGAACACACCATGAAACTTGTCGCAACTGATGATAACCGTTACCCAGGGTAACGGTTCGAGACGTCACAGTGGGGCAAATCCGGGTCGTGACGTCACGGACGGAAACCACAAGAGGCCGCCACCGAAACAGTTCGGCGCGGATAAGGGTATTTATTCTCTCGAAGCCATTTTTGAGTGCACTGTTCACAGCGCATGCTCAGCACAAGCTCATATTTATAAGCTGGTAAGACCGGCTGTTGAGCTGGTAAGCTGGTAAGAACAAGATCGCCGTCAGCACGCGCTCAGCAGCCGCGGACTCGCGGCTATGGCCACCAGAATTGAACGCAAGATTTGTGTAACCGTTCATTTCTAACTCAGGTCCAGTCAATCTTGGTAGCACACAATCGGCAGCAAAGCCACTTGATGTATAAAACTTCATCATGGCGTCTACGTGGGTGGGCTCTTCGTTCTGACCGGTTCCATCTTTGTCGCCGCCGACACTGGAAGAGATCTAGAAACAATGGTATACAGTGAAGAGCACATTCTCGTCTGCCGTTGACTTGCGAAAAGGACCGTATACCCGATAAAATATGGCAGACTACAGCTTCAATACCGCCATTAGTATGGCCAAAGTTAATCGGCCACTTGGCCCACCAGCTGGCACTGAATTTCGGAATGGGTTGTAAAGGGCGTCACCCTGCAGTTGCCCAAGGGGATGCCAATTTAGTAAAGGCTTTGAAGGCAGTGACAAAAAACATGCGTTGTGAAAGTGAAGGTCACCTGTGCTTGGTGATCTCCACTTTCGAAACGACTGTTTTTACGTCACTGCCTTTAATGTCTTTACTTAATCGGGGACATCTTTCTTTTCTTTTCTCGACTCGCGACACCACAGTAGCGACGTGCATAGTAGCGACATGGGATTATTACCTTGCTCTATAAATTCCGAATGTAGAAATAGTTAAAAGGCTTAACCTCTTTTTTTTTTTTAATCTTTGGATATAGTCACAGACAGATTAAGAACCGTAGGGCTTGTCTTTCTAACGCCCAGCTTCCAGTACGCGCTTCGTGCCTTCCTTTGTTCTTTGCCTGCGTGCGCGCACGCTCAAGGGTCCCAAGACGCCGAAGGCGCTGTCGAAGGTGGGAAGCTCGTGCTGGCGGCGGGACAAGTGAAGTTCCTCCCTGCCTTTTTCACCTGGCCAGTTACAACAGGGGGCGCAAGTCGCCGCCCGATTAAAAGGGTTCAGCTCCAGTCACGCATCCATTCATCCAATTAGAAAGTCGGCGCTGTAACAGGCCTGGAGGGTCGGGACCCCCGGCCCACCTGGAGATTCGAGACGGAGTCAACCCTGACCAGGGCTCCGCTGTTGCTGAGGCTGGTGAGTCGCGTCTCGGCGGAGCCGCTGCTCCCGTCCTGGGTTCCCCCCCGGGGGCAGCCCCCCTGGGCCAGGGGGGCCGGGGGCGGACCTCCGTTGGCCAGCCCGGACGCCGCGCCGCCGCTGCTGCCTTCGCCGGGCTTGGTGGCGTCCAGCAGCACGCGCAGGGACGCGATCGTGTGCAGCTGGCCGGCCTTTTCGTCCAGCTTGGCTGCGTACAGAGCGTCCATGGGTCAGTTGAGGAGCGACAACGGGGTTGTGGTCCCGGTACACGCTTATGAACAACGTTTGGGAACGTAAGATGTCTGACTGCCTGCTTGTGTTTTAAAATGTTTGGGAACTTAAGACATTTGTATTTTAAAACGCTCGGGGTTACCTAAGACGTTCGGGCCTTAAAGCATTTAGGACTTAAAACATTTAAGAACTTAAGATGTTTCTAAACTTAGGACGTTTGGGATTGAAATTAAGACGTCCGGGGCCTCCAGACACCTTTTGGAAGCTTAAGAGGCTTGTAGATTTTAGACGTTTGGGCCTTAAAATATTTGGGGACCTAAGATGTTTGGTACTGTAGACATTTGGGCTCTTCAGGTACATGTTTGGAGACCTAGGACACTGGAAGGCTTAATGGGGTTTCAGACATTTGGTTCTTGAAACTTCTGGGCACGGAAGACGTTTTGGTGGTGTTAAAACGTTTGGGCCTTAAAACGCTTGGCAACTTAAAATGTTCGCTACTGTATGCGTGTGGGGACTTCAGACGTTTGGAGCACATGGCACACGCTGCGAAAGCAAGAGGAACATGCGGGACTTTCAGGTAACTCACTTCGCGCGCGCGGCATTTTAGATTTTTTTTTTTTGCAGCAGGTTTACAGTAACTGACAGGGTGAGAGCGCCAGGGCGTTTCTTTCAGACGCCGGGTCCCCAACACGCGCACCATGCCTTTGGCCGTGCGTTGGCTGGGCGTGCAGGTTGGAAGCTCTCGAGACTCCAAAGCGTTATCGAAGGTAGGGCGCACGAGGCGGGACAACTGAAACCCCTCCGTGCCACTTTCATCCTGTCAGGGACTGAGTGAAGGCGCGTGTCGGGAAAAACAGAGGCGAAGGGGTGGGGTGGTTTTCGGTGATGGTGGGGGGGGGGGGGGGGGGAGGGAGGGGGGAGGGGGTTAAGGAGATGCGTACCGTTGGCCTCTCCCTCGTGTTCGTGGAGCGGGTCGATGGAGTGGATGAGCAGTTGGAGCAGTCCGTGTCGGAACTTGCTTCCGGAGTGGAGGATCGGGGCGCTCATCCTTCGCCTTGCCATCTGCGCCATTGTTCGGAGAGGGAGGGAAAGAGTTTAAAATGCGAGAGACACTCGAGTGGTGGGCGAACGGTCATGCTGACACAAACGCATTGAGCTCGAGCTAAAGAGAACGCAAAGTTGTTTTTTTGTTTGTTTTTTGTTTACTATCTATTTTCAAAATAGCCACTTCACATTTATTGGGCATTCAACATGCATATGTTTTTGTTCGCGCAGCGTTTTTTTTAATTTGTTTGCTTTGAATAAAGGGCGTTTTGACGCTAAAGGCCCGTTCAAACTCTTGCGACCTCTTAGAACTGGGGTGCCTTCAAACCTCTTACAACGAGAGGACACACTGGCGCTATCTATTGGTAGCAGTGTAAAGTTGGCGGTCGGGCATATCTTCTATTCCTCTCGCACATTATCCTTTCCTTCTTGACTCGAAAAACTTTTATCAGCGTTATAAACGAGCCTTTCTCATAGGTATTACGCACATTTAACTCGGAAATCCCGTAAAACCTTCGCTCTTGTGAAATGCAATTCTAGGGTCACCGTATAGATGGCGCCAGCGTGCCAGTACGTTTTTTCGTCCTAAGAAATTTTAAAAAGTTTCAACAGGTCTCGTCTCTCTCGGTCGTACTTGCTTGCAAGAGTGTGAACGGGCCTTTATACTTCTCCTGAACTGACCGTATACTTCTGCCTAATCAAATAAAAAGAGGTTTGTTCAACTAATCGAAGAAAAGGAGGTTTGTTCAAACACGTGTCTCCGAGTTTTCCACGCGTGCACGCTGGTGCACGCGTGCACTACAGTGCATGCGTGCACTGTAGTGGCAATTTTGCGTATGACTTTTTTATGATGTAAAAATTGGTAGGGAGTAGCCAACACGTTGAAGTCATTGCCAGCAACTCAATCTGCTTTCACATGTCAATAAAGAAGCATAAATTCTTCGTGATGAATAATTTTCTTATTCGGGAATGCATGAGGTATAGCACAACAAGGCCGTAAGCTCTACAAATAGCAAAAAAAAAAAAAAAAATTGTATCCAGTAAGCATTTGGGATACCGTGCCCGTCAATTGAAGTTACCAAATTTGTTAAAATATACAAAATAAAATATTTTAGTTCCTCACTGGCTCTTTTCATACTTCAGTGTAGCTTATAACTTTTCCAGACGACGAAAGCAATTCAGCCCCACGTGGACCAATGCAAACGCGGGGCCGGAGTGAGTGACAGCGCCCGGGATGGGCACCTATTGACTCTTCGTTGCCATAGCACTCAACGTTCTTGAAGTTATTTTGAAACTAGGTATAAGACTAAGAATCGGTTTGCGTGATGTAGTAAATGATCAGACCCTAAGTTCGATTGTATCCTGGGGCCCTAAACTCGTCAAACACAAAGTTGGAATCCAATGTTCGCGGAGTGCGCGGATTGGACGTCCGCGTAAAAAGCGCGAAGTCATCGTCGTGATAAGCCAATCGATGCGCTCTGTCAACTTTGGCCTCAACTTTGTGTTTGACGAGTTTAGGGTCCCTGGTTGTCATAATCATGGCTATCTGTTATCATCGTTGTCAATGTTTTAAAATTGGCTATTACGTGGCTTATCAGTCATCTTAGAAAAAAAAAAGTTCATATCGGCGTGTGGTCGTGTTATCTCCACTGCGTTGCGTACGTTAAAGACCACAGATCCACAGTCGTCCTTTGCTGACAAAATTTCTATAGAGTCTACAGCGTCATCCAGTGTCGCCGTACCTCGCAGGCATGCCAATCTGGCCATCTAGACATTCAACGTCGAGTGTGTTTTTTCTTTTCGGGCACTAATCAATGCAGTCTGTGACATGACATCAAATGTAAAATTCGTGCTTCTAACCCGGGAAAAGTCATCGCAAAAAACAAAAACAAAAATCGAAAATGATTAATTTTTAATAATTAATTGAATTCCTGTTTACAAATTTAGAATTTCTCTCTCTCTCTCTCTCTCTTTATCTCCTTTAACGCTTCCTCACACGTTGAAAAGACCTCAGTGCCGGCAAGTTATGTCCGGAAACGAACAAAATAAAGGTTTTGTCAGTGTCCGCACTCTGTAGTCCCGTCATTATATGTGTTCCTAAAAGAAATTTGCAGCGCGCACCGTCGATATACAAAGTACAAGTCGCCTATTCGAACCCATGTCGATAGGTTTCAAAAAACTTTTTTCGCTTATTAAGAAGAGCGGCTGTAATTGTGTCTCGACGTCAAGAAAACCACTCCTAGCTAAGCATTCCATAGGACTAATATTGTTTTGTGGATTAATGAACGAATAAATAAACTTCATTGCTGTGGAGTCCTCCATAATTTATTATCGCGGAGGATTACCTCTATATTCTTTACAGACCTTTTGGCTAGCCCTTCAGAACATGACGCAGCTATACAGCTACTTTTTAATATGCAAGGATTGTGCCCGATACTTAAATTTGAAGGAATTAACGGTTATTTTCGGCATAAAGGCGGCACCTGGCGGCGGCCGCATGAAATTACTTCGGAGAAACGTCCTTGGTGTTCTCCAAGCCGGCACCAAAAGCACCCTATGGAAGTTCTGAACGTGCGCGAGCTGCTCGCACATCCACTAAAATGTTGTCTACTATTTCGCATGACCCCGTATTCTATAAGGCCTATCCAAGCTTCCGCAGCTAGGTGGAAGGATAGTTTACTCATGCTCAAAACTCTTCTCAGAAGCAAGACCTTAACCATCAAGGACATACCTTAAGAATTTGTGTTAACTATATATCACTCCGAAAAAAGCCCGTGCTTTTACTTTCCCGCACAACACCTCGGAGAGCCAATCACCGCAACTTATACGGAGGCAGCTCAGCGAATGACGATGCCTTTAAAGAAAAAAAAACAACAACAACAACAAAAAACAAAACGCAGTCTGAGTTGTGACATTAAGCAATGCAAGCGTGACGTTTTGCATTGCTTAATGTCACAACTCAGACCGCGTTTTTTTGGTCTAACATATGTCTTGGCATCGTCATTCGCTGAGCGGCCTCCATACGTTGTGGTGACTGGCTCTCCAAGTGTTGTGCGGGAAAGTAGAAGCACGGACGTTTTTTTAGAGTGTATAGATTATGCTTCCTTGCTTTTGGTCGTTTTTCCAAGTCACAGAGAAACAAAATATGGACGATTTCAGCGTTAAAAATTGATTCCATGGATAAATTGCACAACACAAAAAAAACTTAGGCGGTACAATTTGTAATTTAAAATGTTACGCCACCCGCTGGCGTTCAGTTATTTTCTACTTGGGGAAACTCTGGGTACCGTAAGTTTTCAAGAAATTACTTAATTTATGTATACTTTTTTTATTGAAAAGGGAAGATGCCAGTCAAGCGTTTCTTTAAAGCTGCTCATGAATTTCCTGAGGTTTAAACATTTGAAGAATTGTTCATATTTCATCAAAACTAAAAACATGAAAACATTTTCTTTGTTGTAGTGGTTTTTTTTTTTGTTTGTCTTTAAATAAAAAGTGAAGGGAAGGGCTGGCTCATTCGAGGGATTCGAAAATTTTGGACAACTAGCGCAACTCATATACAGTTTTAAGTAGAAGGGCCTATATAAGTAGATGTTTCCAGTAAGACGGTTACACAAGTACCTAGTATTTAGGAGATAAAAGTAACGAGTGACGAGCAAGGGAATTGTGGCATGTATAGTCACCCCAATACTGAATGAACGCCCATCATGCATTCACACATGCGTCCACAGATAAACGTAAACCGGGCCAGGTTAAGCATGCACGTAAAGATGCACTTGGGTAAAGCACACGAGTCATTACAACATACCCAAGGGCTCGACACACAGGAACATACAACAGGAAATACATGTGGGGTATAATTGGCAGTCTGGCTCAACACATATAGGATCGCCATATGATGACGTCACGAGCGGGCCTTGTCTTCTTGGCGGGATTCATTCAATCCCCCAGCCCTGCACGTTTCCATCTGGATTAGCATTTTATACCGCCGCGTAAGGTCGTGTATCACAACTGTGTGGCACACGTTAAAAAAAAAAAAAAGAAAAGAAAACCTCTCGGGGACATTGCACTGGCTAAATTTCTCATCTACAGAGGAAACACTAGGCCTCCATTAGGTCTAACGTCCAACTGTCTCAACATGCGCACAACACGATCCTTTTTTTTCTGCACATCTTGATTGCGCACGAGTTCAGAATTACGGGCACTCTCATATTTTTTTGTTGTTTCTGTCGTGAGATCAGAATTACAGTGATTTACGCAATGCTCCGATTTGTAGACACTACTTATACCATATTGATCTTAATGAGAATATGTGACATGGTTGAGGGTGTACGACATAACAGTGGCGTATATACAGGCCAGCAACGGCCGATGACACAGCGAAACAGCGATGGGACGCGGAAGGCATCGCGAGCAGCAGTGTGCCCCGAACCTACGGAAGTGCGAGATCGACCAGTTTCGACATTTCCGAATTTCTATCGCAAAGTTCGACGGAAGTTCGGCTGAAGTTCGACTATGATGCGCAGGCGCGGAAATGGAAAAAGAGCTGGCGCCACCTACGGAGAACGGGTACAATATTTATCGTTCGTAATGCTTCACATTACAAAACATCATTAAAAAAAATAGAGTCTGCAAACACTATTTACCGCAATATCTGTGGTTTGAATACCGCAATATCCGTGGTTCGAATACCGCAATATCCGTGGTTCGAATACCGCAATATCCGTGGTTCGAATACCGCAATATCCGTGGTTCGAATACCGCAATATGCGTGGCTCGAAGCACGGATCCCGCGGTGACTCGCGTTCAAATCTGTGCGCAGATCCTGTCTTTTATATGACGTATATGCAGTAGGACTGTGGCTTAGAATGGGATGCGTTTGATTCTATGATGCGTAAAGCATAAAAGGAATAACTACAAAAATATTTTCTCGCAAATATTAAAAAAAAAGTTCGCGTAGAAATCGGCGAGCACTGTCCAGGGAGTCGAACATTGTCTACCGTGGACAGACGTTTGAAGGT